GTTTTCTCCGTGTCCTCCGGTGGACGTTAAACCCCATTTCTCTCTTGGGTCTGAAAATGCCACTTCCCTTATATGTTTCCCGCTTAATAAAAATATATATAAAATGTGGAGGATATGTTCATAAAATATTAAACATAGAACTGGTCACCAGGGCGACGAGTTCTATCCTTAGTCACTGTGAACCTTAAATGTCGATTCACTTGTTAACGTTGTGCTATCGTCTAATTTCTAACTTCTATTCATGTAATTTCGAAATTAAGACAATGTATAATCCAGTTTCTTTATTTGTTCAACTTAAAGCTACGTTCCCAGAAAAGTATTTATCGGGTGGTTATTTCCAATAAAAGTATGGCAATTTTGGTATATATGGAAAGTAGAAATATCCAATCTTACTAGAAAAATACTGGATTCCCTGAAAAATACTCATGGAGCGCATACAGAACAAAAATGTACGGGTTTCCCAAATCGACAGCCCGACGATTAGGAGTGTCTGCACGCGTGACGTTGAAGGTTGCACGCGGAGATTGAGCGCGTGATGTACATGTTGATAAACTTTATGAAGAGTTAAACGTACAACACTTTCTGGGATAAAAATCACGGAAAAAGACGCGGGCAGTGGATAATCCGAGAATTTAATTAGGTTTCCATATTTGTAATAAATAATCAGCGATAAAGGCAACATCGTCTTTTGTATGCAATGAATTCTCCTCCGACATCGCACCTGTTATGTCACGTGACACAAAACATGACCTCTTTTGATCGAGTATTTATAGCCGGGTATTCCCTGACAATTGCAATGTTTTGAGAAGGATTTGAAACAAAATTATGATAAATTAATTAGTTTGAATATGTTTTTAGTCCAAATATATCATCAAATCACCCAGTTTGTACCCGGGAATGTATCTTTAAATTTTAATTCTATTATTAATTAATAAACTATCTTCTTCATTGACGCCTTGCATGTTTAGCATGAACATCGCACAAATTTAGAATTTTGGCAGTTTCTACCTTGCAACCATCATTATGAGGTCGTTTGGTGTCGCTACTGAGTGCTCAATTTGGTGATTGAGCACTTGATCGGGACGGGAACATTACGTGCATATAAGAGACTGGATCTTCGTCTGGTTTAATGGTTGGATGGAGTGCTAAAATCGGAAACAACATCTAACGTGATATAGTTTTCAAAATACTGTTCATAAAATATTAAACGTACAGAACTGACCATTGGTCTTAACTATGAGTTGGGTGATATCCATTGGAACAGTTAGTCCGAATACCGCTTTCCCTATATTCCACGCTTAATAATATTATATATAAATTGTGGAGGATATCATGATCATAAAATTTTAATCATGATACTCAGTTGAAAGCGCCTTATAATGGTATATATTAGACATTTGCCGCTTTTTACAATATTCCGTCCTTACATAATTGTATAAACAGGTGTGAACTTGCCTGCCAATCAACACACTGCCAATCATCGGATAAAAATTTTCCCAGCTTTATATTTCCCTCGAGACAGAAAAGTGTTTTCGTTTGAAACAAGTAAAATGTGGACGGAAAAACCAATCAATAACAATGGCGAAAGGGTGTTATTTTTGTTGAGTTTATGAGAGCTATTTATTTAGCCTACATTAGACGATGAAAGGATACAGAATGAGTTTTACAAATGAGATCATAAAATACACCTAAACTTCATTTTATAGACATAATATTTCAGACTGAACATAACACTAAAAAAATACTCTTACCAAAAAGTATATTGGTCAATATATTGGTCATCTTAAGTTCACAATACGTAATATTATTATTTCACGTGGCAATAGTTATTGTTATTGAATGTCTCAAGGATAATTCATTTCTGTCTATGAACACCCAGCTCACATTGGTATCTAGCCTAAATGTCAAGATCGTTTCCATCCTTTTCGTGTCGTAAAAACCATGCATTTCAATTAATTAATTGAGGGTTTTTTATCTGTAGCACCATGGGCCTTCTGTCTGACGTGGAGAGCGGGCGTTGGAAAACCGGTCGCCACATCCTACGTGCGACCCATGCATATTTTCTTACTATATATCTTAGTAGCCTTGTGATCGTCTAGAATTTGTCTCCAGCTGTCTTTGCTTCCACTTCACGTTGTGTATTTACTTCTTACTGTTTTCTTAAGACGTTTGTCTTACCAGGAATAACAATGCAACAGTTCGTTTTTACATTTTATATATCATAGCCGGATACATGGATACAAGCATAGTATAGATTACAATACTAAAGTCATTCTCAAACACTAGCCAGCCAGGCTCGCTGGGCGAGTCTGCTGATAGAAACTGCTACATCTTTCCCCATCCAGAATCTGTCTACTGTCTGGCGATTGCTGACAAATATGATAGTTTTGTAGCTTGGGTTTTGGACCTTTGATTATCTAATTGGTCAAATATGATGTAAACAATTAGAGAGATTGGTTAATTGAGTCAAATTACGTCGAATCCCACCCTTATATGGTAATGGAAATTTACTGGAGAAACTTCCCATGAGATATCTATTATCAACCTAGAATTGAATGTTTACCACATTATAACTCTTTTTTATGTAACCATTTGTCACTCATTCGCTAATTTGATTTAAGTACAAATATGTGAATCTACTAACTCGCTAGAGATATTAATTAATACAATATAATGCTATCTTTAATTATAAGAGCAAACATTCTAGCAATAGAGAATTAAACGTCACAGTTGTTTTAATATTGCATTTTTGTTTTTATTCGCTTGAAAACAATAGCTAATTACAAAATAGAAGCCCCCGACTGCCCCACGCCTTCCAATTCTTCAAATTAGTCCCACCAATGTCATATTTGGTCGTGGGCACAGTAGGAAAAATTTAGTCAAAATCGGACATTTATTCATGCTATTTAGTAAATCAATATACTGGTTTAAGAAGTGCGAAAATTTGCAACCCGTATAAAATACGGTAACTTCAACGGTTGAAACTTAAGTTGAGCAAACACTAAACGTTTTATGATCCTGGTCACAGTTGACTGTAATAATAACATGAATTTATAAATGTCTTGACCCCGAGTTCTCAGACTTACTGTCTGGACTTTCCTATTTTATAAACGGATTTCTTCGCTAATGAACAACTTACTTAACTTTGGTTATTATGATCTCACCTGTGTGTTTGAAATTGCCCCCGGTTTAATAAAATCCATTGTACAGCTAAATATCCCATCGAATAAATAAGTTCTCTCTTGTAAAATTGAACTCGTCACAAACTTGGACATCGAAAAATACAAACATGGAAGCTAATTACGTCACTTATCGGGATAGATCATTTCGTACAAGGGGTCGAAGCAAGACTTGTTTATCGTAACGGTGTTTGGCTCGTTTACGACAATTCAAATTTGTGTATTCAAGCTATTACTCTCCGACCCAGTAATGAGTTTGGGGTTTACAAGCATAAATACGCCCGTAGTCCGTTATTTTGTTTTCGTCTTGTATTAATTATTTGGTTAGAGAGTTGGGTGGAATTATTTCTTTTTAACACAGGTGCAGAAACAATAGAACGACATTCGTTTTACGGGTTTTGAACCTCGCCCTTAAACTTAAATATTTTTACTATTTCCTGGTGACATTTTGTAGATCGCGATCATGCCTTAGCCAATCAACGCTTTGAATTTTATTACCGTAAAAGGTACCATGCCATGAATTATTGTATACTACACAGATGCAGTGAAAATGGTTAAATTTAGCGCGAAAACTTTCACGAGTTTTTCCAACGGTCTGCATAATTAATACACAAGACCCAATAATACACGCAATTTGCGATGCTTCTTTTGACGAGTGATTCTTTTCGTTTTAAATACATTTTTATAAAGACGACAAACGATTTTTAGTGTACCCCGAACTGTTCTTATCAAGAATGTTTCGATTTTAGTATCTTCGAATAAACAAAAAAGATTAATTTAATCAGGAATATTATTGACATGAACATTCGGAACGTGGATTAAATATGGAAATTATTGACAAGCGGTGGCCTTTTTTCATATTTTTTTGTGGTACCGGGTAATCATAAAACTTTATAAATGGACTATAATAACCACAGAGCATTGGGATTAGACCCTGTTATGAAATTTGATCAATAAAAATTATGAAATAAAGTGTGTTTATTTGTAAATGTTAGCCACAAAGTTGCCTGTAATTGGCAGGGATTTAATATAATTTATAAAATATACATAACATACAAGCTATTTTCAATTATGGGTCGATGAATATGTGAACGCAATATTATATTTACGAATAAACGTGTAATCGGTGATATATTCATTGTGAATAAAATTTAGTAGACTGACAATCAATTAATTGTTTCCAAATTGATATCATTGTCTTCAGATGCTAATTTGTTGCCCAAACTCAAACGATCGAAGGGGTCGTGTGCTGCTTTGATAGCAACACACGTGATTGTCAAAATTTGTCAATCTATACCCCCCTTCAAAATATTACGATGGTTTCGCTCATCACGTGTTGTGATGGAGACTGTCGAAAATACAAGCAAAAACATTGACTTTTCTAGAGAGAACTTTTTTTTTCGTCGGGATATTTAATTGTGCCATAGTTTTTATTCAACCTTAAGTGATTTCAAACACATAGGCAAGTTTTTAATAACAATTATTCAGTAGTCTGTTCACAATCAAAGAAATCCGTTTATAATTTACCACGGTTCAGACAGTAAGTTATGAATTTACTCAATTTTCAATCACTGTTTATGAGAAATATCTTTGATCCACAAACACAAAACTATGCACGTAGTTTCTTATTGGTGTATTTGATACATCAAAACAACAAAAGTTTTATAAAGGGCTATATTTTAGTTAAAATAAGGCGAATAATTTTGATCAAATTCTGAGAATGCTTTGTGAATTCGAGTAATGGTCTGATCCCGGATTGTAAGAAAATATCTTGAGAGTTATCTCCCGTAGTAAATTTTGATTACATCCGGGTCTTTGTCACCACAGCAATAATGTCAACACTGTGGCGGCCATAACAAGGAATTTGTCAAGTAAAGTGGTGTTAATTTCTACACGAAAAAGCTGAAATTACGCTGTCAAAATGAGTTTGAGGGGTACAAACAGTATCCTCACTGAGCTAGAATGGGACGAGGGATTGAGTATGCCTGTAGCAAACGCAGAAAACAAGTTGCTGGAGGAAGATGTAAGTACTAAGTATGGTACCGTAGTTAAAATGTAACTGAGCGCCATGGAAAACGCATCACTTAGTTTTTCGTATAACAAAATGATTGTGTAAACATATCTTATTTATTTTGCTTCTTATTGTGAACAATATTCAAATGGGAACACATCAATAACAACACATTTGTACACTTATGGATGTTTAATCTGTAATCAACGCGACAACGGTACACTACAAAGTCAGAGGCGTCAAAACCAAAAGTATACGACACACACACAGATGTCAGTAGCGCGTGTGTCCTCTAGGGCTCTTACGTACGCTGTGCAGCCGCGTCGCATGGAATTTACCAATGTTTGAAAGCAGCTTTTAAAGCAGCAATGGTGTGCATCTGTGGTCTCCGATACAGACGGCGTCCAATCTCATCCCAGAGACATGTTCTATCCGTGCCATGTCCGGAGACATGGCTGGCCAGTCCAAGACATTGATGTTGTTAGCAGCCAGGTAGTCCATACTAAAACGGGCGATATGCGGACGTGCGCTCGAAACATCGGAACAACAATTGGTTGCAAAACATCATCACGGTAGGCTACAGCATTAACGCGACCCCTGCATATGTGTAGGGCGGTCCGGTGATGAAATGTGAAGCCTCCCCACACCATTACACTCCCCCCACCCCATTGATTCGTTTTGAAGACGCAGCAGTCTGCAAGACGTCTCCACACACGTTGACGGCCATCAGATGAAAGCGACTCTCATCACTGAAGAGCACACTTTGCCAGTCTACTCTTCTCCATGTCTGGTGTCCTTGAGCCCATATCAAACGCCGCTGACGGTGATGATCCCTGAGGATAGCTCCAACATAAGGTCGTCGTGCACAGAGTCCTACTTCTCTTAGACGACGTCATACGGTGTTGGTACTTACTGGTCCTTGTCTTTCGACGACTGCTGCACCTGTTCGAGTCGCTGGGCGAAATCTGTCACGCAGATGAGTGACCCGGATGCAGCGGTCTTGAGTCTGGGTTGCAACGCGTTGTGGACCAGGACGTTGACGGTCACGTGTTGATCCAGTAACTCGAACACGTTCCACCAACCTTACAATGGTTGACTGATGACAATTGAAGTGTCTGGCAATAGCACATGTAGACATGCCAGCCCTGGACATTCCCATTGCTTCATTCCGTTGATTTTCAGTAAGTCTCGGCATCTCTAGCTCGATTCCTTTACACGTCCAACAACAAATTACAACAGATTGACGTTTCACAGTTCATGTACTGCACATTAAGTTGAAAACATGCTTTTAAAGGGCTCACACACAATGCTGCACGTGAATATTGGGTTTTTCATGTGCATCTCGTGCAATTTTTTTTTTGCACACCGGCCGATATTTTTTGCGTTTGGGAGCATTGTGTGAAACAATAGTTCATAGTATTGCATAATATTATACATACAAAACCACCTAGTAATAAAATATTTGGGGAAAAAAAAGTGATGCGTTTTCCATGGCGGTCAGTATATATATCCACTGGCACTGTAAAGTCCAAAAATTAAGTTTAACCATAGTCTGCCATAGATAGATAATACGTATTAGATCTATTTATGGTTTAACTAATAATATTTGATAAATTGTTATCATAATATTTTTTTTTTTTTCAATATCGCCCAACCTTAGCCAGAAATATATGAAGAAGAAAAGCTGATGAAGACACTAATTATTAATCTAACATATTAGGCCTATTGGCATGTCATCTGATTAATTAACTGGAACATGGAAAGTTTAGAGGAAAATTTGGTACTATTTTGATTATATTATTATTATTATCCTAGATTTTTGTTAATTTTTCAGTGACATTAATATTCTATTTTTTAGGTTCAAACAAAACAGAGGCAGATTGTTTCCGACACATCCGAGTTATCAGAAACAGACGATCGTCTTCATGCTATGTCAGAACATTTACGTAATGTTCGCCAAGAGCTACATCATACACAGGTACGGAGATCTTCTATTTATTTGAAAGCATGTGCACTTTTTGAAACTCTATTGTAAACGGCTTATTTAAGATCCTATTTCTTTTAGTTTTTTTATAGTTCAAAATTGTAATTTTACATGTCTTTACTACACTAGGATCTGGAAGAGTTGTTATATAACCTGCGTTCTGGTTAATATATGGATTAGCCAATGAAACGGTCTGTTGCATGGAGTTCTTGTTGTGAGATGCATGGAACTGTGCGTATCCTACTGATTGGTTAATCAAATGTCTTGACATAGGGTCAAAAGCCACTCATCATGTGACACCTCAGCCCACTACAACTGGTCAAATCTACATGTTTTCTTGTGTAAGACGTAACATTTTTCCGAAGTGATGAATGTTGAAATTTTGATCTGTATTTAAATGGCCAAAGTGCAGGGAACGCACATGCAAAACTTGTGACATGGGACTGCTTAAAATCGTGAAAAAAGACAAGTGTTGCGTTTGCACGAACAAAGTTCCTTACCGAGAACTGATATTGGGTTCAAACCCAGAACTCCACAAAATGAGACCATTCACAAGTTTCACCTATGTGCCATAAGATAGGAAAGCCCAAGAAAACGTTTACCAGAAATATTTCACGAATTGGGCATTGCGTTTTTAATGGCTTTGAGTGTATGTTAGGACCTTTCTGATTTAACCAGTCACTCTTAAAGTCTCTTATCTTCAATATATCTAATAATAGTAAGTGCAGGGGAACCACACTACACACAAGACAAATCTGCGAATAAGACAAACTATGGACATTGCAAGCAATCAACAACAAATATCAAATCAAGTAAAAGAAGTAAAGGAAGTTTTGCATGTTTAAATTTAAAATCCATTTCTCACCGTTCTCGAAATGAGTATGAATATTTATAATATCTTTATATACATGTGCTATAGCTTTACTTGAGATTATTTTCTTTCATTCAGGGTTTGGTTAATGCTAGGAAGAAAGAGACTGAAACAGAAGAACATCTACTAGTAATTGCTCAACGTGAAGAAGGGCGTTTGAAGCAAGAGATTAAAAGGATCGCTAAAGAATATGAAGATCTTAAGGAAAAGAAAAATATATATGAGGTAATTGTAAAATTAACCGTAATTAATAAAACTAATTATTTATAAAAGAAAATTATACTTTTTCTAACTTCTTCATTGTTACTGTTATTTAAACATCCTCAACATATTAACAATTCTGTCATTTTTTGTATTTTTTCAGAATAACATTTTCCGGCAAGCTCAACTGTTAGAAGAAATGAAGTCACAGATGAACTGGGATCAGCAGGCTCTAGAGGCATGGCTGGAAGAATCGGCTCGTAAAGATGAAGATTCCATGACCTTACAGAAATACACCAGACAAGATGAAAGCAAAATAAAGGTATAAAATATACTGTAGTACAAAATGTATGCAACCGACTAACTACAGCTATTTCGAAAATGGGGGGTTGGATGGCCGAATGGTTAGCGCATGTACGTTGTATCATAAGGTCTGTCTTTCAGTCAGCTGGCATGGTTTCGATTTTCCGGTTTTACGTGACAAAGAGTAGGGGCATCTGTTCAATCTCGTGGGTTTTCTCTGGGTCCTCCGGTTTCCTCCCACCGCTAAAGACCTATGCACAAGCAAATTGTTGAAATAAAATTGAACCATATATGTTAGTCCAGAAATGACCTAGTTTTGTTGAGTGGACATTAAACCTCATTTCTCTCTCTTATTTCAAAAATAAATTGCAGAAAGCTTGCCTTAGTACTTTATAAATACCCATGAAATCAACCCTAGCAGTATTGAAAACTTTATGTAAGCCTCAATCAAGAAATGTTTGTCTCATAATTTGAGTCGTATTGCATTTTGTTTGAACATTATATGATTTATTCTCTATACCTGATTTATTACCGACACAAATAGGATAATGATACAGCCTTCCACAGAATGAATATCTTAAGATAATATTTTTTTTTACAGGAACTGTCATTAAGAATGGAGAAATTAACAGAAGAGGCCAGACAAAAACGGCGTCAACTTGATCATGAGTTGACAGACACACTGACAGCACAGGTATTATATATTATATTGAGAAGCGATCGAAACTCAACACTTTTATAAATAGATGATAGTAAATCTCGTTTGAGAGATACAGTTTAATCTTAAAATTCTGAATGTAAAAACATACGATCACACCCATAACATGTGCGAATGATGTTTACATTACCACAAATTAATTATCTTAATAAATATTGAATTTGACAGAATAGGAATATGTGGAAAATCATAAATCAATGATGCAGACATGGGTTATGAAATGTGGCTTTTGAAAAAGCTAGGGTCATTACATATCTGCAGGATCACACGCTGACCGCTTTCTGTACTGCTATGGTGAGGTTTCATCGGTGCTGATATATTAGTTGTTATACAAGAAGGGGGGGTGGGTGGCTGAATGGTTAGCGTGCACGCGCTGTATCCTAAAGTCTGTCATTGAGTCGACTGGCGTGGTTTCGAATCCCCGGTTGTACGTGACAAGGAGTAGGGTTGCCTGTCCAACCTCGTGGGTTTTCTCCGGGTCCTCCAGTTTCCTCCCACTGCTAAAGACCCCTATGCGCAAGCGAATTATTGAAATAAAATTAAACCCGAAATGACCTAGTTTGTGTCGAGTGGACGTTAAACCCCATTTGTCTCTCTCTCTCTGTTCCCCAATCCCATTTAGACAACCTGAATAAAAGTATTGTTTATAAAAAAAAAACTGACAACACACATTACTAGTTTTGATCACTTTTATTTTAACTGTCATGGTTATTTTTAGATCGAGTTGGATAAAACAGCCGAAGATTTCCGTAAAGCTCACATTGATCGTCAAGATTTAATTAAACAGTGGGAACATACAATAGAACAAATGCAGAAACGAGATAAAGACATGGATTTATTAGCAGCCGTAAGTATGGAATAAATAACAATTATTTCAATGAATACTGGTACTATGGAAACAGGAATAATTGAAAGCAATAAATATGAATATGTTAAATGTAAATTGAATTCCAGTTATGTTAATTTCAAAATACTTTTCTGTTCTGTTAAAATAACAGAGTACTTATCTGTAGATCATAACTCAACTGACAGTGGACTGTAGAACGTCTTCATGTTATATTTCTTTTTTATACGCCCACTGTTGAACACAACATTAGTATTAATTTTATCTATACAAATAAAATGTTAAACACTAAACAGTGATAATTATCATCTTACAAAACAAATCAACCAATTGAATTTAATCAACACTATTAATTTTAAGCTCAATTTAAAGTAGCTGTAAGTCTAACTCAATCTCATCCAAAATCTTCCACATCGAAACACAAATTATTTGTTAATTTAAATCAACATTGATGTTGTGATCATACCGGGAAAAGATGGGCTTCCGATATCCAATATTCAAGACAAAATAAACATTTTACCATTGGTACACGAATCGTGTACCATAATGCGTTTCAGTGACTTGAAGAATGAGGCTAGACATATTCTACAAGTCATGTCAAATGGTGACTTCATATTCTTATATGGAGAGCATGCGCAATGAATACTATCAGCATAGACTCAAATAACCAGACGCTAGAGATTTCCATTCGATTGAGACTTCTGGCGTTTTTCGCCAAACATAATTGTTTTGAAATTAGAGTAAAAACGGAAACGATTGAATGTAAATCAGTTTATATACATTCATATTACAATATTATATGCGTTGCGACCTATTTGTGTCAATTTCAAGGCCCGAAATATTAGTGATTTAACTCCTTTAAAAGGGACTTCTACCTTAAAGATACATTATGGGAGATTACATAAAGAGCTGGTAGTTCTCACTATAATAGTTACAAACTAGATAATGTAAAGGGAATTTTCTGAAAATTTCAGTCAAATTGATCCACCCTGAACCTAGATTTTAGCAATTGAATTTTCGGCCTAGCTTCGATCATCATTACTAAAGTCGATGCGATAAAAAACATAGTCTCGATTGTCCATTTCATGATTAAAGCATGAGTGGAAGTTGAACAGCAGATCGAAACCTAATCCAATAAACATTGCAGGATAGCGATGACATCGAGAGATGATTATGGTCTGGATAAGTTAATTAATGTCTAATTAATAATTTAGATAACATTTCAAGCTTAAAGAAAGACCTGCAATAGGCAGATTTAGCTCTTGCATAATATCCCTGGTTGTACGTGACAAGGAGTAGGGTCGCCTGTCCAACCTCGAGGTTTTCTCTGGGTCCTCCAGTTTCCTTCCACTGCTAAAGACCCCTATGCGCAAGCGAATTATTGAAGTAAAAATAAACCATGTTAGTCTCGAAATGACCTAGTTTGTGTCGAGTAGACGTTAAACCCCATTTCTCTCTCCCTCTCTTGCATAATGTATGTTTAATGCTAAAATTTTACTCTCCATCTTTTGACATTTCAAACTAAGAAAAAAAACTCAATTAAATTAATTTTGAAACAACTTTTTTATGTCTTGTAGCAATTGGCAAAAGTTAAGATAGAAGTAAGAAAGCGAGAAGAAATGATCAAAGAAAAGCAACAGTTTTTAGACAGCCAATCAGAAAACAATACTGAACAAGAAAAGAAAATCTCTATTGCAGAAAGGACGTCTGCTAGAATCCGATTAGAATTACAAGAAGCAGAAACGCAAAGATTACAATTTCAAGATGAGGTAAATATGTAAATCATTATCTATGCTTAAAAATGCTGCCTTCAATTATTGGTCCAATATATTGTTGCACGCGGCCTTTCGAAGAAAGCAGGGGACTATTAATATGGTTCTGTTCGTCTGTCCATCTGTCCATCACACTTTTTGGGACACAATAACTCTCCTTCTAATTGAGCTAAAATGTTCAAACTTGGTGTTGGCATTTATTAGGTGAATTCCTTTGATGGAGTTCGAAGATGAGCATTTTCTGCTAAGGGTAAGCCGAGATAAGCAAATTGACTGGTTGATGCTTTGGGACACGGTAACTTTGGTTCTAATCAAGGTATTATATAAATCGATTCATTATATAAATACCTTGACAAAGTTTGAGATGATAATTTTCTGCTTAGACTAAGCAGCAATAAGCAATTTGATTGTTCAAGACTTTGAAACATAACAACTCTGCTTTTAATTGAGATAGAATATTTAAATTTGATGTAGATGTTCATTAGGTGAATGTCTTGAATGATTTCAAGGGTAAATATTTCCCACTAAAGCTAAGCAGAACTAAGCAATTTCATTGGTCGATGCTTTGGGACGAGATAGCTTTGATTTTATCTGATGGAGAGTGATGAAACTTAGTGTATATAGTTTCACTTCCAGGTACTTTATTTAAAAACCTAGCTGAGTTTGATCTGAACATTTTATGCTTAGACTAATACTAATAATAGATAATCAGTTTGATTGCTCGATACGTTTCAAAAGATGCAATAAATGAACTAATATGTGTCATCTATTTATTTTGGTATTTCGGTGGGGGACATCAGCCTCACTGTTGGCTTGTTTATATTATGTATGCATTAAAAAATTATACTATTATAATTGAAAAACTGGAAGAAATATTTGTTGTCTATTCAAAGACGAGATCCTTGATCCCCCACACACATACAAACTAGAGTTTACAAAAGTCACAAAACTTGGCCTATGTTTCTAACTTGGATAACGTCTGGTTTTATTTTATATTTACAGTTAGATACATTAAAAAGAACAGTTGATAGAACAGCTACAGATTTAGAATCTACACGATCTAATGTATCACAATTAAAAAAAGATGTCATAGATAAAACTAATCAGTAAGTTAGTTCTTTATTTGAATAAAGAAAGTGATGCAGGACAGAGGGCCTGACAATGTACACATTGGCGTGCACGTAAAAGATCCCTAGGATATAAGAGTTGGCTGTAGTGCCACTGTCCAGGCAAACTTTCCCTCATAGCACACTGTATGGCATATGCCTGTCTTCATTAGCCCAGTTCGGAACAGAACAGTAGGACGTTAAACCCCATTTCGTTTCATTTCATTTCATCTTTGAATAAAAAAATATATATTCCCGGGCATAAGAGCCCTACCAAAACAATCTGTCAGGGTCATGTCATGATTCTAAATAGCAGATGATATTAGGTGCTACCTTTGATAAATAACTTTATGGTTGCAACTCCTTTGATAATTTTTTTTTCTGGAAGACTGTGCTGGATTCCTCTGTGAGCCCTCTTGCTTGTTACGTAAAACTATGTTCAAGAGCAGATGAAGATAAGACAAAAATGATCAAGTCATTTCAATAAACTTTTGTTTTTAGTCCTTCAATGATTCTTTTTTTCCTGCTTTGATTTTATGTTTGGTTGTCATGACATGGATGTTTTTCATTGCAATCCCTCACTCAAAATTTCAGATTAGAAATGGCCAAAGAATTGCGAGAACAATTAGTAGATAAACTGAAAGTAGCCACTGAGTCTACTCTCTCTGCAGAAGAAAAAGCTGCAAGGATGGATGAATATTTAAACAAAGAGGAAGAAAGACAGAGAGATATTGAACAACAATTAAAATATTTACGTGATATGCAGTTCCGTAAAATGCAGGAATTACACGATAACAAAACAGAAGAAAAAAATATCGAAGCTGAAATTCAGGTAAACTTCTTTCTTGTAGTTTCATAATTTTTTTTTACCTTAAAACTGTCTAATGAATATTATATAATTAGATTTCTTTGATTACTATAGTCTGTTGTTGCACATTAAAATTATTGCAGAAAAATATGTCAGTAAGATCTTGTTGCAAAATTTTATTAATGGCAAAAATTGTTAGTTTAATATTTTATCTGTTGGAAAAACATTCCAAATGAATATTTGGAATGTTTAGTGGATAGATGAACTGGATTATTAAATTGTTTTCATAATTGTCCGCTGGACTAGTAATAGAATAGGTCTTATCATGTATTATCATTCAATTCACCTGACAGAATATTATTATTTGGGTACCAGTAGATATAGCAATATCTTTAGCAATTGACACTAGACGAGATAATGGTTTTCTTATACTTCAATAATACTAATTGTATTTAAAGTCATGATTACTAACCATTTGTCTTTCTGATGAATTAGATATTTCACACATGGATTTATTGGTTGAAATTATAAAAAATTTGATGACATTCTTGTACATATTGTCTTGATTTGTCTAACCAAGAATATTATGTTGTATGATTAATATTGTATTTGTAGGGAAGTTATGCGGCTTTAAGAAATCTATCAAGTAAAGTCAGTAAATTGGATACAGATTCTTTAAAACAACAAGAAATTATTTATAATCAGGTGAAGTATTAACCATTCAATATAATTCACATAAAAGGTATTTTCTGAGTTTGAGGGGGGTTGGATGGCCGACTGGTTATTGTGTACACGCTATATCATAAGGTCTTTCATTGAGTCAACTGGTGTAGTTTCAATTCCCCGGTCTCTTACTCTCTCTCTCTCTATATATTTTCTGAGTCTGAGAAACCTCATTCCCATTTGTTAGGCATAACCTGGCAAGAAATTATCTTTGGGATCGAACCAAAAATATGTGGTCTACAGTATAATTTTCTAGTATGTGAAAGTTCACAAGTGCAATTTATTAACTAGAATATCTCGTTTCCTTACAAGAGGTTAATTTGGGAAAATTAAGAATCGCTTTCATGTCAATGTGTATCAAAATTTTGCAGTCCCATGTTTCTGAAGCCAATCCATTCTCAGCTAAGGTGTTTTGGCTAGAATTTATTAAATGAAAGATTGGCTAGTCTTTTTGCAACTGTATTTAGTGGTGATTTTATTCTGCTTCCTTTACCTTTTTGTGACATGAGAAAGAAATTATGAAGTTTAAACGCATTTTTCAAAATTTATCTTTCCATTCACATTTAAACTCTTAAAAGCTTGTGAATATGATAAAGAAATAAGTGTGAGTTGAATCTTTAAAGATTCATTGGTATTGTTTATTTGAAAGACCACTGTTTTACAAAGTTACTGATTCAGGAAAGAGTATATATACAGAATTGTTGGAGTTTTTAAAAACTTATTAATTAATAAGTAGGATTTGTTTACATAGATTTTAGGCTGTCTGTGTTCGTTATTAGAATAATTGATTTATTTCCTCCATTAAAATCATGTGTTCAATGTTGATGTTTTTTTTTCTATATTGTAGGATTTTGCTATTCAACAATTGGAGAGAAGAATGAATCGTATGCAGGGGGAAAAGAGTAATGAAGAGAAATTACATTTAGAAGCTAAAATAGTTTCTTTAACTAAAGAATTAGAAAATAAACAAGCCACACATACTTTATTAACTAATCAACTTAAAAGACTACAGGTTAATATTTATAGTATTTATATCTTTAAACATACATTAGTTCACATCTTAATCTGCCTTTTGCAAGTCTTTCTTTAGGCTTCAGGTGTTATAGAAATTATTAAATAGACCTTTATTTACATGACAAGCTGAAAATCAACTTTGTATCCCCTCGAATGGCTTGGATATTTTCTTTTTTTTATCATCTGTTTTTGAATTATTATAGCAAGAATAGCCAACTCTTTAGTATGCATAATTTCCCAATGGTTACCTGTCGGCACTTTGTTGATTGGGAGCCACGGTGGGTAAGGCGCTGGCTCGCTAGCCTGGAGGTTGCGAGTTCGCTCTCGGTGTTGGCCGACAAGAGTTCATCAGGATTTTCCAACGTGGTTTCCCCTCATCAGGGATGCAGGACAGAGGGCCTGACAAGGACAGCTGTCTAGTCGTTCGGATGGGACGAAAAACTGAGGTCCTGTATGCATGTAAAAGATCCCTTGACAGTTGGAATTTGATATAAGAGTAGCCCTAAGCACCACTGTCCAGGAAAAATTTCCCTCATAGCACACTGTATGGCGTACGCCCATCTTCATTAGCCCAGTCTTAGCAGAACAGTAGTACGTTAAACCCCATATTATTTCATTTCATTTCTACTTTGTTGATTTTGTGGCATAAATGTTTTCCCTTTGATGATTCAATATATAAAGATAAGATATGAGTTGTCACTCTGTATTTTTAATTTGTTTGAGCATTGTTCACAAAGATTCAAACTAGTTTTTAGTTTAATAATTACAACTGAATGATACTTCTGGTCCCTGGTCTCATCTGTTACCCGACATGACATGTAACACAATCACGATGCCAACATTTGTTTGTGAAGCTGGCAAATTTGGGGATTTAGTGAATTATATCTGCTTGTACAGAGATTTGCTATTCCCTATAATATTTCAGATTACCAATATGTTAATTTTTGTTTTACAGTACCAGTAATTAGATTGTATCAGAACATTTTTGATAGATAAATAAAACATTATTTGGCAGTGATATTAATAATATAGAAGTTTATCAAAATATATATTTTTATTTTATCTGCATTTTACAGGATGATGTGCGTCGAGTTACTTATGATTTACAGAAGACTGGTGCTGAGAAAGATGATTTAACCAGTAAAATAGAAGAACTTGATTTATATAATGACAGTTCAGAACGGGAACTTCGTAAAATTATTTCTACTAAACAGGTATAGTTCATTGTCATACTAATCCTTTGATCTTTATGTATATTTCATTGTAATATAAACTGTAATAGATATACTGATTAGTGTATGTGTTTGATTTATTACTGTCCTCTACCAGGATATATTAAGGTAACAGGAAAAAAAGGGAGCCGTGGTTACTCATGAAGTCCCAGGTTCAATCCTGGTGTTCGCCTAGAAAGTTCCTAAGGAATTTTCGCCGTGGTTACTCTAGTGAGAGTGCCGCAGGTTAAAGACTTTGACAAGGAACAGCATCTGGGATGAATAAAAAGAGGCCCTGTGTACACATGGCCGTGCGTGTAAAAGAACCTTTGACAGTTGGAAGTCAAAATAAAAGTAGACTGAAGCTCTGCTGCCTGGGCAAAATCCCCCCCCCCCCCATAGCACACTGCACGGTGTATAACAGTCTTAATTTGCCCATATGGAGCAGAAAAGTAGGATGTTAACATCATTTCATTATATTTCACATAAAAAAAAGGAAATTTAGGATTATTCAAAAATGCAACCAATGAACATTTAGTCAGAAAAAGTTCAGTAATTTTGTTTAAATTCTATTCAGTCACATGTATTCTATTACTTAGCAATTGCCTGTACTGTGTTTAAAACTAGTTCATGAATGATTTTCTATATGGGTATTACTATTAATTGTTGATTACAGAGTATGATGGTGGATGAAAATGTGATGAAATTAGAGATAAAAAGATTAAGAGATGCTCTTAATGAAAAATCTGATACAGTTTATAATCTAGAAAAACGTCAGTTACAGCTTGATACAGTAAGTCAATTTTCACATTTTTTAATACAAATAGTTTTTAAACAAAATATATGTAAATGAAATTATTGTGATTTTAAATTGCCTCGTATAATAATAACAGATCTGTATGAATTTGTTATTATTTTGTTATGAAATTTATGTAAATAAAATTATGGTTTCAAGTTGTCTGATTAAATAATAGATCTATATGAATTTGTTATTATTTTTAAATATATATAAATAAAATTGTTATGGTTTTAAATTGTCTTAAGAAATAAATATGCATTATAAAGGATAATCTCTTACATTGTTTGAAAATTAAATCTGTTTTTATACTACTGATCATTAGAATTATGTTGTATGTAATAATCTCTACTAGGGATTTACACATTTCTTCATTATTTTTTACATTTGTAAAGTATAATTAAAACCCTTTTTCCTAGGCAATGAAAGAAAGAAAAGAAGAAATTAATATTCATCGAGATATGTTGGTGTCACAGTATCGGGTAGCTAACGATGAGAGGCAACAAATTAGCGCTGAACTTCATGAAAGAATTTCGAAGATAGATAAATTGAGAAAAAGGTAAAATTCTGTAATAATAGCATGAAAAGACTGGAGTGTAAAAGGAATAGAGATGTTTTGTCAAGCATTTCAGTCAAAACATTTAAGGAATTTATCCAGATATATCAGTTGCAAGTATGTCTGGAAGTTTAATTATTTCTAAAGGAAAAATACCTGGTTACTTTCCCAAACATTGCAGTGTGAGATAATATGCTAGATCCAGATCTTTTATCACACATATCATGGAAATACTTATTACCCAGATATTTGAGTCCAAATCTCTGTAAGTTTACCCAAACATTTACATGCTAACACAGTCATTTCAGTGGGAACTGTGTGTGGATGTTTTTCCAGTCATTTCATTGGGAAATGTGGATGTTTACTGAGTTGTTTCAGTGTAGAGGGGTTGGATGGCTGAATGGTTAGCGTGCGCGCTGTATCATAAAGTCTGTCATTGAGTCGACTGGCGTGGTTTCGAATCCCCGTTTGTATGTGACAAGGAGTAGGGTCGCCTGTCCATCCTCGTGGGTTTTCTCCGAGTCCTCCGGTTTCCTCCCACTGCTAAAGACCCCTATGCGCAAGCGAATTATTGAAATAAAATTAAACCATATGTTAGTCCCGAAATGACCTAGTTGTGTCGAGTGGATGTTAAACCCCATTTCTCTCTCTCTCTCTCTCTGTTTCAGTGTAAAGGTGTTTACTCAGTCATTTCATTGGGTAAATGTCTACAAACGTTTTACAATCGTTTTAGTCAAAATTATACTTACCCAGTCATTTAAATTGGAAATATGTGCAGTTTTTGTGATTGTTTTAGTCAACATTATACTTACCCAGTCATTTAAATTAGTATTATGTGCAGTTTTTGTCAAATGTATATAGATGTTAACCCAGTCATTTGTACTATTTATTTTATCACAGGTATGAAATTTTAATGGTTTCAATGGCACCACCAGAAGGAGAAGAAGATAAATCTCAGGCCTATTATGTTATAAAAGCTGCACAAGAAAAAGAAGAATTACAAAGAACAGGAGATGATTTGGATGCTAGAATACGAAAAGCAGAAAAAGAAATTAGAGCCCTTGAAAATACTCTTCGACTTATGAATGGTAGAAATGAACAATACAGAAAAAGTTTCAACAAAATAACTGAAACAAGTAAGGTTTTTACTTACAAATTTATTTTAATATTAGATATGTTTTGATTTGCGTACAGCCTCGGTCAGCCGGTTCTAACAATTTGACATTTTTGCTTTATAGTAATTTATTAAGGACATAAATTGTATAAACAAGGACTTGATAAAAAAAAAGAGATCCCTGAAACATGTAAACCCCATTTATATTATCACCTTTTCGTGATGCCATGTGCGGTCAAAGTTGAAGACATCATTCAAAAGTTTCCAAGCTAGATTAAAGTGCTTTTAATCAAATGATTTGTTTCTTTTGTAAAAGTAGATCTGAGTATTCTTTAAAATAAACTATATAATATGATATTATTATTATTATGTTGTCTAGGTGATGAAATGGAAGATAAACAACAAATAGAAGAACAGATGAGAGCCGTAATGGATAAATATAAATATAAACGAAGACAGATCCGTGAATTACAGGAAGATTTACAGACAATGAGTGGTACTTTAGATAATTTAGTTCGAGATGAAGATGCTTATGTTGAAATGATTGAAGATAAAAAGGTAAGATTATCAGTTTTACTCTTTAATACTATTTGAATCTATATGAGGATAAATCTGATGGCTGGATAAATTAAGTTATCACCCAATAATACATTCTACAGTAGATATCGCTTGTGTGATATATTTCATAATCTACTGTGATAGATATCGCCTTACATGAATTTGATTGGTCAGTTGAAAAGGAACCACTTTTTTTTATTTTCAAAAAACAGTTCATTTCTTATTAAAAGTAACTTTTTGTTTTATTAAAAATGAACTATTGTTATTCAATTGACCTTGATGGAAAGACTGGGTCAATATAAAGGACTTTGCAAGGGTGCTCTCAAAAACTGATGTATCACTATGCCGTAATGTACAGTAAAAGTGAAATCTACAGCAAAGAATTATATTTATCTATTTGTGCATGTAAGAATGGATTGGGTGATAAATAAAATCTCTTACTCGTCTTTTTTGATATCAAAAAATACTGGTAGGAGATTCTCTATATATCAACTTCACTCGGTTTCAAATACAGTATTGTATTTATATATTTTTTTTTTTTAATTTAACTGATGCACACTCTTACATGTATTTTATTCAAAATTCATGTAAGCAGTGGTATATATATAGTATGGAATTTTGTAAAATATTACAAACATTTATTTAGGCTACTTCATTGAAATTTTAGTTTGGTATTTAACAACCACTTTGTAACATTATAATACCAAAATAGAATTTTAGAAATGTGAACAAGATTGTTTTCATTCTTCAAAATTTTTTTCAAAATATACTGCAATACACATTGCCATAAACTTTACTAAATCCAATTATTTTAGGTCAAAATACACCGCCCTGACTTGAACATAATGTTTCTAAAATTATAAATCTTATAAGCCATGACCTGTTCCCATAACCAAATTGAAAATACATGTTGTAAAAATATCCATGTAAATAAAACAGGTTTTATTATTTTTATACAAAGATAATTGTTTTAGCCTCCCAATGTCTGAAAGTGTGTATATTTTGTAGAATAAAATTCTTCAATTGAACAAAGATTTGGATGAACAGAGAGCTAAATTAGAAAGAGTTGCAAAACAGGTGAGTCCAGTTTACTTTTATAAATTAAGATTGTATGTTTTCATATGGGGAACCTAATTCAAGTGCAATATTAGTCAAACTTTGTTAATTCTTTGAATCTTGAATTGTTATCAAAGTACAAGAATTTATATCCTGATTGTGCACACAAATTAGTATTGGTAGTTAATGTTTGGAAAACATGCAGTCAAATGTGTAATAATAGGAATAGTGTATAAAGTGTAATAATTGGAATAGTGTATAATAGTGTTATAATAGGAATAGTGTATGAGAGTGTAATAATAATTCTGTATGACATTGTGTGATTGCTTTACCTAATAGTCATTTATATATTTATGTACTTTTGTTTGTTAGAATGTGAAGTATTCTAAAGAACTGAGAACAAATAAGAAAAGTAAAGGAGAAACTGATGAAGAGGTAAAACAGGTTGCAATTTATTTAAAAGTTAAATCTTTTTAAAACCTACTTTTAAAAAAAATACATATAATACAGTAGGCTATTTCCTACCCAAAATTTCGATCATGATTGAGATATTTTATGGTATATGTATTATATTATAAATGACTTCTATTGACAGCGGGATTTTGAAGTACGAGAATTACGAGAGTTCAATAAGAATGTTATGAGACAAGTGGGAGAAAGTGCACAGAATAATCCAGAGATAGCAGAGGCTGTTAGCATGTACTTTGCTCAGGTGAGAAGTTTAGACTTAAAAGAGTTGAAATAATGTTGAACTTAAATATATTGATCATGAACATTTCTAATCCTCTTCTGTATCCAGTGGCAAGGACATATAGAAGCCTTGACAGTTGCAATTCCAAAAAGAGTCTATAGAAGCACGCCAATTGATCTCTGACATAGATATGAAATAAAGAATGCATATTGGCAAATACTGATTATATTAAAGTAAAAAGTTTCTTTTTACATTTAAAATCTGGATCTATATGAAAGTGATCTTAGGTCTTTAATTACACGGTTTAAAATATTCATAATAATTCATTTTGTGTTACAATTTATTTTTCAGGCCAATCTGCCACCACCTACACCATCAGGACGTGGGTTGGGAAGTGCTCGTAGTAGCTTATCTTCCGTTCGCAGTACAACATCTAGTGTTGGTAAAACTCCTCCATCAAGTCGTGGTAGACCTACACCAGTACAGATTGGATCTGATTTAGATGGTATGTAATGCAGTTGTTATTAATGAAAAGATATATATTGGGTTCTCTTTGGTGCATCATCATTGGCACCAGATAAATACTCTTATTTTTTATGCCTGTTGTGGTCAAAACTGGTCAATCTTTCAAACAGACTGAATTATTCACATCTGTGATAATACTTGATAAAGATTGGCTCTTTTCTTAGTTAAATGTTAATTTTTAGTATATTTTGGATTAAGCAATGAAAAATTACATAGTATAGTTTTCCAAAAATGCAAAGTAGGGATTTAGTCCTTGGTTGAATGTGCTCCTACATTGTGTTTTTGTTTGGGAACCTGTTTACTTGACAGTATATTTCCACTCAAATATTCTCTTCTTTTGCTAAGTTTTGAATTACTTCTTTTGCTTAGTTTCAAGCCTAACAATCTGAGGGTGGATGTTTCTCTACAGGACGGATGTTTTTCTTAATTTTCCTAACTGTTAAAAATTTTATCAAGAAGAAACATAATATGGTTGAAATCGAAATCTGATTAATGGATTTTATGTGTTTTATTTAACAGTATCTGGGGTCAGATCACCAGCAAGTTCTCGTTCTTCATTAAACAGTGTAAGAAGTGTCCGCAGTCAACTCAGCGCTGGTGGCAAGAACTAAGCAAAGATATAAAAGTGTCCAATTTTCTGTGATATTTGTCTTTCATATTTATAATTTGTAAATGTTTAAAAAGCATTATTTTCACTAAAACATTGTACAGTAAATGCATATTTTACCAAAGATATGAAAGTTTCTTATTGTTTTAATATCCATAAAACAATCTGAGGTATTTTTTAATATAGTTCAGTTAAAATGTGGTGTGTTATGTTAAATATTATTGTATTTACAAAATTAAAATTCAGATTTTAAATTTAATATTTGCATTTTATTTACATACAAAGAAGCTTTACTTGCTTTTACAGTGACACAACTAAACATAAATGTCAACATCATATTATACAAGCCAGGATATAAGGCACTGGTCACAGACATTTGTCAGGCACAAATTCAGAAAAATGTCAGGCACAAATTCAGAAAAATGTCAGGCACAATCCCTCTGACACCTGTCATTTTGTCTGGCACTGATCTGTCTTTTTTCTGTGTTTTTATTGATATTATTCATAAATTGAAAATATCAGGAACTATTTCATTAGTGTCTGATATTTTGTCAGGTACAACTAAAACTGTTATATCCAGTAGGCTTGATCATATTATAATGATGTATTTTTTAATCACCATTAAATCTTTCTCTTAAATTTAACTATTCATTTATGAATGTAAAAACTACTCTGTAAGTTGTTACTGTCCTATTTATTTGATTTGTGATATTTTTGGAATTGTATATTATGTACAAATATTTATTAAACATATATATATATAGTTAATAAATTATTAACTAATTGAATTTTATTTGTTTTCAGTAAGTCTTTTGTGTCCTTCTGGCTTATGTTGTAGCCACTGTCCATCATCCATCTGTTAACTTTTTATATTTTCAGTTTCTGGGTAGTACTAATTCCGATTTATTAAAATGAAGATGAGCAGGAGCACCTAGAAGTGGCAAATGAAGAATTTATTAAGACTTATAAACCAATTGAATGAATTCCAGCCGAATTTGGTTAATTTGCTCAGGCAACAGAAACTGTGAAAAATAATTACTAGACTAATAACTACATGTACTGTAAATGCCCTCAATGAAAATTATCAGTTAATAATTATTTTTTATTTAAATTCTATTGAGAATCAAGCCACCTAAAACAATTGTCAGTCTATCTTGGCACTAGTGATCTTCCTGGAATTATAGTTGACTAGGTATCTATCTTAACGTCTTGACAACATTCCTTATGAAACGCTGCAGGTTATTTATGATAAAGCAAGAGCTTTGGGGCTATTACAATAAAGCTCAAGCTGTCCATGGCTACATTTTCAAAATCACTTCTTGATTCTTCAAAATTGTTTTTGAGGAATTGAGCTCATAGTCTGCACTGAAAGATGCATTAGCTCTGCCATTTGGTAAAATTCATTTTTATATCCCGATATTGAAATGTGGTCGTATATTGTCGTCACGCCCATCGTCGGTTCGACGTCCACAATTGCTTGTTGACGCTCTAGAGGCTAAAGTAAAAATCTGGTTGACTTTACACAGTGTCTATGGTCATGAGACGAAGAAGCTTATTAATTTTCAGTGATTTCCGATATCTACTGCTATAGTTATGGCCCATGATCAATTTGAAAAATGAAATGGGGTTTAACGTCCTACTGTTCTGCTCCGACTACTGGCTACTGAAGACGGCAAATCACTTATGAAAATCTTGTAAGTCACACCCGATTAACTTTAAATTTATGGTCATGAGATGAAGAAGCCTGTTGGATTTCAAGGATTTCCGATAATTACTGTCAGAGTTATTGCCATTGATAACTTTGAATTAAAGTTAATATCCGATTGACTTTAAATTTATACACAGTGTTTATGGTCCCGAGACGAAGAAACCTATTGATTTTCAATGATTTTCGATAATTACTGACAAAGTTATGGCCCTTGATCACTTTGAAAAATCTTGTGGACGTTCGAATCTAGGGGCTAATCCTATGGGTTTTGAACAATTTCCGATAATTACTGCGAGAGTTATGGCCCTTGACCTCTTTGAATATTCTTGTTCACACTCTACAGACCAAAATTATCAACGGATTGACTTTATATTTATACACAGTGTTACCGGTCACGAGACAACAGAGTCTATTGACTTCCGATAACTTGAACAGCTAAATTCATGATATTAAATGTTTTGTACAGTATACTAAACGTTAGCATGTGGCAGAACTAGAAGCCAAACAAATTCTAATGACTTCTGATAATTTAACTTAATGGAATAATACTCTTAATCAGTTTCTAGTGTGCTGTAAATGTTTTCATTACCGACAAACGAAAAAATATGCGACAACCATTATTGAATTGGCTGCTGTGGGAGTATGTTTCGTTGCCTGACAACCTATCTGCTATGGGGCTTTGCAGTCACACGGGTGAAGTTTCAGATGGTATTTAAAACAACATTTGAAAGAAAAGGTAGCTAAAATTTACCTTATTTTAAATAGGTCAGTTAATGTTAACGATGACATTCATTTCTCAACTGGAGTGATAATTCCTCTTTAAATTTGCAGATGGAATGGAGAAAACCAAAACTCTATAATAAAACCTTTTTATGTTCTAATTTGCTTTAATTTAAATATAAAAACAGATTAATATTCACATCTAGAAAAATCAAAAAAATATAAAAAGGCTATTTTAATAGTATATTAAATCACTGATCGAATTAAACAAAATAAAAACCAAACGACCTATGGGTCTTGTTTTCAACACATTTTGTCATCTGGCAAGTGATATTTTGAAGTCGGTAACTTGTAATTATATTTAGAAAGCACGACGCAAATCAAACGAGCGTAGGATTATTTTTTGTATGGTGCTGGACACTTTATGACCTGGGAGAATAAATGAAAATAAAATTTTAAATAAATTAGGGCCAAATGGGTGTTACATGCCGGGGGGTATATTTAGGAACTAACTTTTTCACTATTAAGATAAATCAAACCCGATGTAATATACCCTAAATTCATGAAAATCAATTTATGATTAGTAAGGCCTGTCTGGTCCTGGTTATTTGGGATATTGTAAATATATATAATTGTAAATATATAGATATAAAATTATTTGTCATGATTTAAAATTGTGATTTTCCATACTGTTCGTCTTCGTAATCATTTTATACTGCATTTATTTTCACTGAAATAGAATTTTAAAAAGTTTATTTTTATATTTTCCAATAAATTATTATTAATCTTATAATTAGAAGCTTCTTTATTCATACAAACTCTGTTTGACAAAAGGGGGGCGGGGCTTTATAGATGCCAAGAAATAGAACGCACCTTACATGTACAACAAATATCCAAGAGTTCTGCCTTCTCCTACACCATCAAATTGGATAAATGGTCCTCGATTTGTTGGAGCCTGATTGTACAATTGTATGCGAAATCACCCTATAGAGGTGGAAGCGTACGTTAAGCCCCGCAAACGAACGAACTGGGGTCTGGAATATTCAACCTGTTTGGTTTTGTGTATCTGTCCTGGGAAGACATTTTCATTGCATTTACCAAGTTGTTGTACCCATATCTGTACGAGGATATTTATAAGTTTAGCAATTTGACATGCCTTTAATAGTGTTCTGCCAAGCACATTTTGTCGGATATCTATAGCGTTCGAATAAAGAGTTTCAAAATTAAAGAAGCTAAATCTCTAACTCAATATTTTTCTTAATATTCGAAATTAAAAACACGAATCAGAATTCAATATTTGTCAATTTCAATATTTTTTTGTCATGTAAATATAGGATCCTAATATCCAATTTTTAAGACACAATTAACATTTTATAATCAGTACACGAGTCGTGTATTCTGTGGTTTCGGGTGCCATACACAAAACATTGTATCAAAAAAGTATTTATTTTCAGAAACTCAATATCTTGTGGAACTCTTGTGGTAAAAAGTTCCACACTAATGCCCCCAAACCTTGCCATAGATGATTTTGTAATGAAGAAATAAAAACATACCCTACAAGACAATGTAGAAGTAATTAGTAAAGGCTGATTCACAAACGGCAAAATAATAATAATAAAAAAACAAACAACGTGTACTATGGACTAAGCAGGCGTAAACGACTGTCGTTCAACTATTCACATATTTCCCCGAACATAATTGATTAGAAATTACAATATTTCTTTCTTCAAAAATTGAATATAGATCACTTTACATACATTCATATTACATTAATATGTGCTTTTAGAACCATTTTCGGGGTTCCAAAAAAGAGCCATATACAACGCCCTGTAACTGATTGTATTTTACTTACCAGAACACATGGCGCTTGCTATGGTTCCTGCGTATTCGGTGATATAGCCAACTGGACATGATTTACAACTTGTTTGTCCAGCGACGTCTTGATAAAATCCTTTACTGCACTTGACACACTTGTTATCAACAGCAGAAGTTCCAACTGGGCAAATTACTAGAAATAACACATTAATAAAAACAGCACGATAAATTTCTTACTCAACTGTGGTGTCGGATGGAAATTGCGTGTTGCCGTGGTAAAGACCGATGTTAAACGCCTTCAATACTGATATTTCATTCCGAATAGAGAAGTGATCAGACGTACTGGGCACCAACCACATTAAGGGATAAGACATTAAAGAAAAGAATAGCCCCTTGATACATTTGTCCGCACTTGTTAGGGGTAACACCGAAGGAGCTGACAAAGAAATGGTGTCGCTTAAATGGGGAACACCTAAGGAGCTGACAACGAAATTGTGTCGCTCAGATAGCTTGATGTTAACTCCCACAAGACTAACGTGTCATTCTATTAAAATGAACTAAATAGACCCAGGATATTATTAAATAACAAGTTAAAAGTAGAAAATCCTTTCGACCATAATATACAAAAGTGAATCACAAAACGACCCACTGATTATATACTTACCACATATACCATGGGTTGTAACAGAACCAACGGGACATATTACAGACCCCGTTACATCCACAGTCGCTGGTTCAATATAATTACCATCACCATTACCAACTACCAGGCTAATATTATTCTTTAATTTATTACCAGAACTCTCTAATTCTAACAATATATCAGTTACAACTTTCAGCTGTCCAGTTACTACAATAAAATATCGCATAATAAGCATTTTTAAAAATGAAAAATGTTGGGTTTTTGTTTTCGAAAATTACTTCCCAAATAAACTGAAATTTGGAAACCCAGGGGTGCATTATCTTGGGTGCATTCTGAAATACCTACTTTCAACAATTACCTTTAACGCACAGACCCCATTGAGTCTGTCGCATCTTTGGACTTTACGTGTTCTTAGATTCAAATAGTGTATTACTTGCACACCCAGAAATCTAATATATGCCGTATATGCCATTGTATTTTTGATTGGATGTCTCAAATTTTGCACAAAGTCCAATTTGCACGTATTCGGTTTATAGAATAACAGGAAACTATCAACAAATAAGGTGGCATTTGTATTGTTCCTTAGCTTTATTATTATTATTTCATTTTCACTGTTTATTGGCAACCAGTTCAGTTTTAGAAAGATTATGCCCTGCTTTGTTTTTGTTATGACTACCAACCTGTATTATTTTGACTTAAACTGGTGATATCAAGTTCACTCTCGGGTAGATCTCTCCAAAGTTTGACTTCAATAACAACACCATCAATAGTGTTACGTCTAATTCTATGATTGACTTGGCACTTGGGTAATATTATGTCATAATTACAGCTGCCATCTTTAATACAATCCACTTCATTTTGGATGTTATAAATAAATGTATCTACTTCTAGTTTGTAGCAGTCAGTATAATTGTATGTGACTCGATTGGATATTTCCAATTTTCTGGGAGATACAATTTCTGAAAATAAGAGAAAGGGCCCCATAAACATGATAAAGGACAATTTTTCGAATATCTTATTAAGGAAATTCGGTAACATTGAAGATTGAAAGTAAGTAATGGTTTTTTTTTTTCGAGCGTGATGCAACGATAACGAATATATAAGATAGCCATGCACAGCTTGAAATACGTCCGCACAGCAGCATTGTCTTGGGGGGGGGGGGAGATTGTCGCGTCTATCATGTTCACAAGTTTCTGGAAAAAGTGGCATAACTCCAGAAAAAACGGCACCGAACGGCGAATATTTTATCTTTGGGGTTCATCGTCTCGATCATGACTACAATTCTTCGTATTAAATTTGAAATGAAATAAAATGGCGTTTAACGTCCTACTGTTCTGCTACGACTGGGCTAATGACAATCTCGAGCCAAGAGATAAGTTTGTCCTTTGTTTATTTCTGGTACAACTAGCCGACCATGCGTCGGCCATTTTGAATGTCACGTGGTGTATCCTTCCGTCGGTCGCTTTACAAAGATCCAAGATAGCGGCTCCAACTCGCGTTTCTTCACGTATTTAGCCGAATCACTAACATTGTGAGCTAATAATAGTTCCCGGTAAATCATCAAATCGACTGTTTTCGAATGAACTTTTGATATCAAGATGCGGAAAATGTTTCAAGTATCATTAATAAGTAACCCATGTAACGAACCGATGCCTAATTGTCGAGAAACCGGCAGCATTATATTGTAACAAATCCTGGGGCGGAGTTTAGGAACCAATTTCACGCTGATTAATGGCCGGCAAGTTTTACTAGAGAGAAACGAGAGAGAGAAATGGGGTTTAACGTCCACTCGACGCAATCATTTCGGATTGAGATTGGGCTAATGAAGACGGGCATATGCCATACAGTGTGCTATCTATCGAAATCCAACTGCAAAGGTATATTTTACGTGCATGCCAGGTACACTGTTGATAAGTAATCAATAACATCTGTTTTCGTTTTACACACCCCTTACAATTTCGGGGTTTTATTTGAGCAACAAAACAGTATTATGGTTCAAAACCCAAAGTTTAAAATAGTTCTGCTTACTGGTACAAGGTTTAGTAACTATTCCAGGACTCCACACTCCTTCCTCACAGGTATAGACAATTGGTTCTTCCAGGAAGACCGCGCCATCATTACATAATAAATGACACTGTAACTTGTTGGTACCAACAGAAGAACAATTAATACTTACGTATGGTGCCAAAAGGATATCATCTGTTGAACATACTGTCATAACAAAACACATAACGTTAGGTTTGTTGTAATGTATTCTTTGTTATTTTGATCAAAGTTAAGTCAAAAACTCTTTTCCACAACCTAATATTCCTTATCGAATGTTTTGAGAGAGAGAGAGAGAGAGAGAGAGAGAGAGGGGGGGGGTAATCTAGGTCATTTCGGCGCCAACACATGGTTCAACCTCATTTCATTAATTTGCTTGCGCGTAGGGGTCTTTAGCAGTGGGAGGGAACCGGAGGACCCAGAGAAAACCCAACGAAAATGGACATGCGACACTACATCTTGTCATGTTCAAGCGGAGAATCGAAACCACGCCACTTGACTCAATGACAGACCTTGTGATTTCACGCATACGCGTAAAACCACTAGACACCCCCTATCCCCCCTCCCAAACGTTTTGCAACTGGTTTTTCTTTTCTAACAGATACTGACAGTCGAATCCTGATAAAATAACAAGGCATAATACATTAATAATTTGGTAACTTACCAGGGCATGGAGGTCTGTGACAAATATCAATATTTTTATTGGAACCTTCACAGTTTTTACCATAAGCATCTGGTGGTGGGTTATCACAAGTACGAGTATGTGATATAGTGCCGCTTCCACATGTAACACTACACTCCCCCCATGGATCCCATGCACTCCATCCCCCGTGTACTGTAACACATCAATACATAGACTACTTTAACAAAAAAATCCGCTTCTATCTACTTATTATATAATAACTCAACATTTTATTGCTTTATGTCAAACTCAAGAAAATAAATTCGAATCTTAAAATTGCTTGCGTTGGTGTCCCCAATTCTGAATTGGAGTTTATGTGTTCCCAGATACATGTATCAAACTGAATATAACCCACCACTGCTTCCGTTCGGAACCCTGGTGTTATACTCTTGACACTGTCCCCAGGAAACCAGTTTGATTTCTAAGAAACATTTCTTATGAGGAATGGGTCCCTGTTACTCTGTGGGCTATGTGCTCATCGGAAGTTGATCCAATCCCCCAAAAATGCTTTTAGCGTTGAAAGTACTGACGTTAAACTATGTGTAACTCATCCAGCTCGCAACAATCAAATCGAAATCTCAGTTCCTTGTGTCGAAGTCACTGGTGTTACGCTGTTATTCATTTTCTCTCAAAAAACAAATCGGACGTTGCACTGAGGGAAATATAATAAATCTCATTTATGGAATAATCTACCATTTAGTTTAAGATGTTGTACATCTCTATATTCTTTTAAAAAACAACTTAAAACACATTTATTTAATCAGGCTTTTAACTGACTCTGTATACAATCGTTAACATGCCCATAATCTTGTTGTTTATGTGTGATTTACATTGTCACTTTGTAAAGTGCCCCTAAACATGTTATATGAAAGGGTGCACTATAAATATGCTGTAATAATAATAATAATAATAATAATAATAATAATAATTTGAGATTGAACTATTCAGGACTTTAACTTACCAATTGGGATTTCACACCTCGATCCTCTAAAATCTTCAGTACAGTGGCAAGAATAGTTGGAAGGACTATTGTACGTACAGGTAGCACCGTTTAGACAGTAATTTTGCTGACAATAGTTTGGAGCCTGGGAACATGTAGCACCATTATATCCGTCACGACATTCACAACGGAACCCACCTGCTAGATTATGACAAATATGTCTGCCACACGGTGAACTTTCACACTCATCAAATGCTAAAAAGAGACCAGGAATTCATTTCCAGTTAATGATGATAATGATTTTCAAATCCCAGAATTCGTATAGTTGCGTATTTAAAAGTATTTACATTTAGATTTACCCCATCAGTCCATTTAACAGTTCTTACCATCACATGTGCTGGGTAGAACAAGATCAATCCCACTTAAAGATGTCTGAATTCCTTTTAAATTAAATATAGCTTCGGACTCGATGGATGAACATTGGGCAGCTAGCTGTGAGATTTGTGAAGAAGAGATACCACCATGTAAAATATCTAATGCTCGGAACTGTATACCTGAAAAAAAAAATCCAATTATTAATAACTATTATTTCCCCACCACTTTTGATATGAGGTCTGCACAAAACAGATATGTATAATAACCTGGATAAACTAGTGAGACATCAAAGCACATTTAGTACAGTTGCCTAACGAGATTATATGCGACAATTTAATCAGCAGCATCCACAAAACATTCCTTCGAATTTATTTGACAAAAAAGGTCAATGGTTTTATTTTAATGTGCCACGCCTGTACAATAGGAGTCCAATCAACTTTATTTGAATAATACAACCGTTCTTGTTGAAATATAATGTGAGGTACATGAACGTGAGTAACGTTGGTTGAAAGCACTACCCCATGAACAAGTCTAGTAATTTTTCCTAAATCCCGCAACTTTTTTATTTTAAAAATATCTAAATGTACCCCAGTTGTAATACCCTAGAGCAACTTTAAACATTTATAAGCAGCAACAGATGACTACCACATTTTGTTGAAATCCTACACTTCCCAACCCAACTGTCTTTAAAAAATTAAGGTATTTATTCTGGAAGAGGAAATAAGCTCGTTATTTTCAAATTTATGTTAACTTTCTATTACAAGACTACTTACTATCATTTGACTGAACCTGTAAGGTCAACTTGGTACCGTGAGGTACTAACAAGGAAGAAATAGATGAAATATTCTGAGTTTGTAGTAACGTGCCACCAACATACACTAATATTTGCTTGGTATTTTGAGTCCACACAACAGCAACATGGTTCCATTTAGTGGATAAAGGCAACGTGAAATCCTGAGACCTGCAATATAAAAGTGAGCCATCTGTTACATTTTATGATCACTATATTTATATTTTCAGCTTTTAAATGAAGACTGTCAAAATCCACTGATGCTAGATGATCCAACCACAAACTAAACAAAGGTAAATACGTAACATTTTAAAAACTAATTACCTACAGCGATTCAGAAGAAGAAGATACAAAATGTCTAAATATAGCTATTAAAGGTTCCCCCTCCCGCAATTCTAACATCGGAATAAGCACCAACAAACCAAGCAACATACATAGCGACATTTGTTGAAACGATCATGTGATTTCGAAAATGTAAGGTGCCCCAGCTCTATAACATCATTTGAATAAGCACTACTACCAAATCAAGTTGAGATCCACCAAGTGGATAAAGAAAAGAAGTCGAAAGTATGGCAGCCTAAAGGACCATTACACCCCCCTATTAAAACAATACATTTTTTTGTGATACGCTTGATAACACATCCTTTGTTTGTAGTCTGAATAGGAAACAGTTCACATTGATAAATTCTAAGTACGCATTTTGCTCATCTCATCCAACACAGTACAGCTTAAATGAGAGCAAGTTTTCAAGACTAAGAATGTGTGAAAGGTGAATAACTACAGCATGAACTCAATGTCAACAATGTGACAAGCAACCGGCATTTTAATTGCATCACATACAACTTACCCGGCAACAGAAACCACCAACTTGTTTCCCAAAGATAACACAAGGCGGTCCCCAAGATCTTCTTTATTGAACGACAATAAAACACCATTATCAGAAGCCTTGGTGATTTGAAACCATAGCAATAGAGTAAAATCACTAATATTAGTGCCAATCTTAGTTGTTTGCAGCTCGTTGGCACCTTCTATAAGAACATCATATTCTAAAGGAAACAGAAAATAAGACAAACATTTGAAAAGACTTAGACTCATGTCCAAATTTTTGCCGAAGAAACATTATTATAGAACCGTTGGACCGATATTATAACGTACATGTTCCGCAACCGTAAGAATGCTTTAAATTCGGGGTTGCTTTTTTAAGAAAGAAAAGTTGTACATTGATTAAGAACTACATATTATGTCAATAATGTGACCATAATATGTATGTTTATGCAGTTGCGAGAAGAATATCAGGTTATGATATCCCAAAAGGTTGTTTCCAAAAACAAAAATAGTCAACGTACCTGCACAGTCTGTGATAGAACTGGCTCCCGGGTTGCTGGATGAATCAACTGGACAAGCTATACAAGAAATTTTACCATTATCCGGTTGATAATAACCAGCATGGCATTCAGCACATGGTTCAACACCAGTTGGCGATACACTTCCAGCAGAACAAATACCTATAAATAGTGAACCTATTTCTACAGTAAATACTAATTACAATCTTATCTTCAAGTTTACCTGTAAGTGTAAATATTGGTACCACCGTTAGCCATAGATATGGCTTTGAAGCATAAAAGACCTTTGAAGACGTTATGAACATGGCAGTGTACTCTGTGATCAGGAAAACGTTTTTTTACTTAACGCAAGATTTAAAGAGGTTTAGCTCCTTAAGAATTACATTTACATCATCTGGAATTATAAATATACGGCTCTATATCGATATACGAGCAAGACATTACCTTTACAGTAAGTGATATTTCTAGCACCCGTAGTGATTGTGGTTGTACCAGGAGGACACGGTATACATGTAGTAGAACTATCAACATCTTGATATGTTCCTATATCACATTTAACACAATCATCACTAACATCATCATATCGTGTACCTGTTGGACATCCATCTAAAAAAATGATTGCTCAACACGTATTATCAAGTAAACGTTTTTCTTGCACATAATTATTAATTTGAGCAATTCTACAATATCTGAGATGATTAAAATGGGCAACGTAAATCAATTAACCTATCATTATGGACTAAAGGGTTTGGAGAAAGATGACCAAGAAAATGAATCATAATTATAAACTTACGGCAGCTAACGGTGGCGTATTTAGCAACTTGTCCGGATTTACATTCAAAATCTGTCCAATCAATAAACATAGAAGGGTCTTTAAGGGTAAAACCGGGAGCAATGTTGTTTAACTTGCCGGCTTTCATATCACTTTCGACACTGTACGCCATATCCATAAGTGCTGTATCGTGGGTTTGTCTGGACGATTCAAGCGTGGAGTTCGAATCGACAGCAAATCCAATGACAAATTTCCAGGAAATGGTAGCTGTCCCTGGTTCAGTTGAGCGTTTCACTCGTGTTGCTCTTGACCAAGGATGCGGTGACTGAAATAAAAAATACGATTCTGAATTGTATCCAACAGATAAATATTAACCGTTACACTAACCAAAGGTTAACGTTTACAATTTACATCGTGTCTCGTTGTCCTTTAAATTTCCATTCACTTTCTTAAATCTCAAAAAACAAAGTACAGTGGAGTATATTGGCTTTTACCCGTTTTCGTCTGGTTGTTGCACCGCATTCAACTTTCACATTCTCTATTTTACATTCTGTATCTTGAAGACATTGGTCTTTCCATTGGGATGTTGTCATATATTGTATGAAGTTTTGTTTGATTTGCGCTTGGGAAGCAGCACTTGAACAGTCACCACCATAATAATAGAGTTCTGAGGGTAATACCATCCGTGTTGGGTGTTTGCTTTCTGAAATTAGAATTTAAAGCTGGTGGTACTAGTGGTCAGAAGGCTTATAGGAGCATATTGATACTAGTACCTAAATCTTTGCAATATCTATTCAATCAATATAACATCTGTTCAGTATTGGTGCCAATGTGGGTTTAATGTCCAATGTCTTCTTTCCTCTTCATTGTCATTTGAAACTTACTTTTTGATTTGAAATTTAATTTTTACCTGTACAGTCTGGAACATCAGTTGTACTCCAAGTTCCTTTGTTCCAATTACACAGAAAGTTTGGGCTTGATGTAACAGTTCTGGGTATATCAAACTTATCATTACACATCATATTACAGAAGGATCCCACTAGCCAATCAGCACAGGCCAGAGCTCCGTTTATAGGAGCATTCAACTTTGGACATTTGGTTTCTGAAATATAGCGACTTTTACAAATAACCTTGTATTTTCTATTGATAAGGTATTATCGGTGGAATTATTTAAATACATTCAACTATTTCTTGAATTAAAGGCATCGGTAGTACACGAATGGCGTAGGAAAGCCACATCTGAAATTAATTAACCCATTATCCAGTTCTATTTTTAATTTCTGTCCCTATAACAAGCATTCTGAGAGAAGTCATGAAAAGATCAATAAGTAAGGGTATTGGGGTGTGTACTTGCCTATACATTCAGTAAGGATTGTCAGTGGAATCGAGAAAAAATCGAAATCTATTATGAATGTGTATAGTGAACACTTGCTCCAAGTTCAATAGAATATAATGGTATTACGGGGTGTACTTGCCTTTGCAGTGAGGAACTGGTCCCGTCCCATGGTTCCAGTAACCCTTCGGAGGTATTGTGTCATTTTTATCACAGGTAATGACTTTTGGTCCTTCTAGAGGCAAACCGAATCGACAACTAATGGTGCACTGTGCACCATAGTTATATTCAGGACAGTTGATATCCATGTTGTCATCGTCATAGGTAGGTATGTTACATCGGATCACTTTAAATAATGAACGGTTTAGAGGTAAATTTAATTATGAATGCTACCATATTTATATTCTAGACTGACTGGAGTCATAGCCATTATGCCTACTCTAGCTTATAAATGACTGCCACAATCTATACAATATTCGATTTAGTAAAGAAATTTTACATAAAATATATAGAGAGTGTATGAATATGTTTTAATATAGAAAGAAAGGGAACAATATTGTTTTCTACTAACTTTGAACAGATATGGCAAAAAAACAATAGGCTTCATTGCTGTCTGAATCTCTAGCGACATATTTGATGGTGTGTGCTCCAATTCCAAAAGCGGATCCAGAAGGTAGACCTTGCTCCAGAGAGGGTACAATTGGTCCTGAATTGTCAGAAGCTGTCGGTTCTTGCCAAGTAACAGTAGCAAACGTTTGTCCTTGGTCAGCGTAAGCTGTAATGGTCGGTGGACAGTTGTCAAATACAGGAGCAGAATTATCTGAAATTAAAAAAAAGGTATGCTCTTTAAGATCTTGTATATTCCAAACAAATCCCAACTGTTAAACTGAAATGTAATGAAATGGGGTTTAACTCCTCGCTGTTCTATCCAACTGTTAAACAATAATAGTAAGTTTGGACAGTACATCGTGCACATCCATATACATGTATACTCTTCAAAAAAAGTAGGGGATATTGAAATGCAAATACTTATGCAGGGTGTGATATGATAAATAGTCATGGACACTTGAAATGCTTTGAGCGTATGTTCACAGATGAAGAACATATCGCCCCAGCAGAACCACTGGGCTGTATATGCGACACGCAATAGCGCCATACACTGCCGCGTGCTGGTTTATCTATCGATGTTTGCTTTCCTATCGGTTCTTGCATAAGATTTACTGTACTGTTTAGCGTATCTTTGCTTTAGTGTATACGTTTAATTTGATCGGGAGACGTGTTCGTCGACGTCAACGTCAACCGACAACACTGCAAGAATTGGCCGTGGCACTGCAAGAGGAGTGGGTCAGATTGCCCCAAATCGTGATAGGACGGCTGATTATGAGGATTGGTGGAGCAATTGCTGAATGTCTGGGGATTGGTGGAGCAATTACTCATTATTAAGATAAAAATCAAAAACGTCCATTTTCACTTTTGACGGTGGGTGTATCTCTTGTGAACTGTATATGTTCATGTGTAGGCAATTGGCCTGTTATTAACATACACTGGTTACCTCTAATAAAAACAGCAGCGCGTTTCCACAGTTTTGTATTGTTTCTGAATATCCCCTACTTTTTTTGAAGAGTATACAAGCATATGGATATCAATTTAATTGAGATGAGGACTAATATTTTGAAACATTGAAGTTTTAATATTCTTATCTAATTAATTTAAGAATTTTGTCCTGAAAACCGGAACCTTGTAAATTCTTCATAGCTGCTTCATACCTTGACATTCCGGTAATGGTTTCTGCCACTGCCCATCTGCTCTACATATACTATACGATGCTAGAGTAAGACGATATCCAGTATCACAGGTTAATGAACATGTATCTTGATAGTTGGTACCATCTGGACACTCAAATGGATTAGCATTAGCCGGTGTCGCCAAAGTACCACAATCTTCAGCTGAAAACACAACGATGGCGTTCTAGATAATTGACCAAATAAAAATAACCGCATAGTATAGCCAACAAATTTTACTTTCAGGGTTGATAACAAACATAAAGTTGCGCAATATGATTAATTCGAATTCAGTTTAGTGTCGATTGAACGACACAAGTATCTAAATGAGATGATCCTTTGTCAGGGATGGTAATGGGGTAGGGGCATAGTCCACCAATATTTTCACCGTCCTCTGTTCGGAGCCAAAGTAAATTTTCCACAAATTACCCAAGCAATTAAAATAACTTACGTTCGCATGTTGGTGGTTCGTGGTCATAAGTCTCATCATCAGTACATTGTAATATAGGCTGTCCTACTAACTTGTAACCAGCATTACATGTAAACGTACAGTGTCCTCCTGATCGTACAACATATGTATTACATTCTTTTCTACCGTGATCAGGAAATTGGATATACGCACAAATCTTCACTATAAGAAAGTATAAACAACAAATCGTCAACCTCAGAAATATTATTCAATAACAACGTAAAGAGTCAAAATGCTACTGATGTATTATGATAACAGGGTTAACTTATTCGCTGAGCAGATCAAGCAATAAAACATTTCGTTTAATATACATGTAAAATCAATAATACCTTTAACTTCAAATCTTACGAAACAATTTACTTGATATCCATTAGCATCTGTGGCAGAAAATATAATGGTGTGTTGACCAGGATCAAATCTTGAGCCACTCATGCCACCCGAACTTTTAACCCTGAAATAAGAACTTAACTGGTATTATTTCTTAAAACGGTGTCTACGTCATGGTATGGACAATGAGTACAATGATTTAATCCGACTTCAAGATTAGTTCAATTTGCGGTAGAGAAGTGTCTAGCTAACTCACGGTATGCTCTGTCCGTCTCCATTTACAGCTGATGGTTCAGTCCAGGATACAACAGCACTGTCTTCCCCGGCGGCCACATAATATTCTGTTGGTATATCTGGACACGTCATCGTTGGAGGCTTAGGTGGTGGCGGAGGGGGGCTGTCTGATTTGAAAAAAATTAAGTTTCGTAAGAAGATGTACTCAATTCGGCTATTATTTTTTTTATACAAAATAGTGATTAATTTTAAATTTTTTATTTTTTATTTAAACAATTTATGTAGCAACAGCGACTGGAATAAATTTGGGAAAATGACATTAAGGATGCATTATTTAAGAGCTAAATTTGCCTATTAGGCCTTAAATGTTATATAAATTATTAATTAGACATTTATTAACATGGCAAGATTATAATCAACTCTTAATGCCATCGGATGCTCGAGATTTTAACTGAATTAGAACTGTTCGGCCATTTAATGATTTAATTTAAAAATCGAGAAGCGAGGCTAAACCTCAGATATACCAGTAGCGTGGTTATGATAATAAACAACCAATGCACACATCTTGTCAAAACTACAAACAGTGATAACTTGGATCAGAATAAAGTAATTTGAATAAAATTTTTTAACTATTATAGCAAGAACGGTCAGCTCTTTATCTAAATCTTACATAATGTATCTTTAAGTTTAACAATCGGGGTGCTGGTTGGCCGAATGGTAAGCACGTGCGCGCTGTATCATAAGGTATATCATTGAGTCAACTGGCGTGGTTTCGATTCCCCAGTAGTACGTGACAAGGAGTAGGGTCGCCTGTCCAACCTCGTTGGTTATCTCCGGGTCCTCCGGTTTCCTCCCACTGCTAAAGATCCCTACCAGCAAGCGAATTATTGAAATCAAATTGAAACATGTGTTAGTCCCGAAATGACCTAGTTTGTGTCAAGTGGACGTTAAACCCAATCTCTCTCTCTCTCTCTCGCTCTCTCTCTCTCTCTCTCTCTCAATCGATGTAAAGAAGCTTAAGTAAAATATACTGCATCAAGTTAAGCACATATTTTTGTTTAATCTAAAACTTCCTCAATATATTATAAACTGTGGAGAAGCCGAGGTGGCTAAGTAAGTAAGACGCTGTCTCGCTACCCCGGAGGTCGCGTGTTCGATCCCTGCATTGGCCGAGAAAGTTCATCGAGATTTTCCGACGTGGTCTCCCATTGTCAGTGGTGCAGGACAGCTGTCTAATCGTTCGGATGGGCCGAAAAACCGAGGTCTTGTGTATACATTGGCGTGCACTAAAATATCCCTTGGCAGTTTGAATTCGTTGTCAGAGTACGCCATAGTGCCGATGCCTGGGTAAAATATCCCTCATAGCACACTGTATGGCGGTATGCCCGTGGAATTCGATGTCAGAGTAGGCCATAGTGCCGCTGCCCGGGCAAAATTTAGCTCATAGCACACTGTATGACGTATGCCCATCTTCATTAGCCCATTCGAAGCAAAACAGTAGGACGTTAAACTCCATTTCATTTCATTTTATATAAACTGTGGGTTTATGTTGATGATACAGATTTGCTCAAATTACGAATTAATTGTTAACGTCGTTTCATACTGAATTTTTTATAAGATATACCACTAAAGATTCACTCACCTTTTTTACAAAAAAAAGAGCAAATCAGTTTAATCCCTTCAAAAACTATTGGAGCCAGTGCAACAATCGCCCCTACAACACCTCTTTTTTCACGGAAAGCTACAAACGGAAATAAAAGTGTCAATAAACTGTAAGGATTGAATATATTGGCAACGAACAAGTTACTGACATAAAAATTCACAAACGCAATTCTACAAAGGGTATCAAAATGTATTTTCTTACTCGTAGAATCATTTTATTAGGATATAATGGGTACCCTAGAGAAAACTAAGGATGTCACCTAATAAATATATTTCTTAATCTTTGAAGTGAATGGCGTTTGTATTATGGACTAGCAATGAACAGGTCAAAACGTATGCAATCTTCGTGCACGGTATAGAGCATGTAGGCTACACCTCAGCTATAGGTGATCTGAACAAAGCCATACTACTAGCTTAATGTCCAATGAGTATCTTTGGCATCCGCTCTGGATAGAAAAGGGCGTTATACAAATGATGAACTGGAAAGGGTGAATAGCGTTACAAAGCTAAACGGTTCATACACACAGTTCCAGCATTAACCAGCGGCTGACAGGCAGGATACGCCCACATTTTCGAGAGATGGATAGATAACAAGCTAAAACGAAAGTGATTTTTCCTACAATCAAGGGCCATAATTCAGGAAATTACAATTCGATATGCACAAATATCGAAAGGAACCGAGATCTTTGGGTTATAAACTTACATTTCTTCAAGTTTCAAGAAAATCGGATAAAAATTGTGACCTCTATAGGGTCCACAACCTTGATATACTATATTTTTACGCTATTTGAAAACGAGGAGCGGCCATTTTGTCGGTCGGTTTTGGGCCGATTTTCACGAAATTCGAACTCAGCCGTCCTTAGGGTGTAACAGTGATATAATAATACGGTTTTTTAAATCGGATAAAAAATTATGACCTCTATAGGGTCCACAAGCTAAAAACGCGATTTTTCGTACAATCAGTGGCCATAATTCAGGAAGTTACATTCCGATATGCGCAAATATAGAAACGAACCGAGATCTTTGGGTTATAAACTTACATTTCAAGTTTCATCAAAATAGGATTAAAATTGTGACCTCTATAGGGTCCACAACCTTGATATACCATATCTTTACGTTATTTGAGAACGAAGGTCGGCCATTTTGTCTGTCAGTTTTGGGCCGATTTTCACGAAATTCGAACTCAGCCGTTCTTAGGGTGTTACAGTGATATAATAATACGGTTTTTTAAATCGGATAAAAATTATGACCTCTATAGGGTCCACAAGCTAAAAACGCGATTTTTCGTACAATCAGGGGCCATAATTCAGGAAGCTACGTTCCGATATGCACGAATATCGAAAGGAACCGAGATCTTTGGGTTATAAGCATACATTTCAAGTTTAAACCACATCGGATAAAAATTGGGACCTCTACGTTGTTCACAAGCTAAAAACGTGATTTTTCGTACAATCAGGGGCCATAATCCATGAAGTTACAGTCCGATACATGCCAATATCGAAAGGAACAGAGATCTTAGGGTGATAAACCTATATTTCAAATTTCATTAAATTCGGATTAAAATTGTAACCTGTAGACTGTTCACAAACAATTGTGGACGGACGGACTGGGGCGACAACAATATACGTCCACATGAAAATGTGGGCGTATAAAAATGGAAAGATGGACATTAATAAAGCTGTAGGTTCCCTGAAGTTGAGCCCACTAAATAATGTGCTCAGTGGCGTTAGTGTTCTGTGGGTTGTAATTCTAACCTACATCGCAATCGGTCTGATGCCAGTTCTTCTGGAAACAGCTAAAACACGTTTTATTATTACCCTTTACAGCACAAACAGATAGAGATGGATAATATATATGATTTTCTTATACTTTATGGTGTTAACCAGGTGGTAATGTGGGCGTATAAAAATGGAAAGATGGACATTAATAAAGCTGTAGGTTCCCTGAAGTTGAGCCCACTAAATAATGTGCTCAGTGGCGTTAGTGTTCTGTGGGTTGTAATTCTTACCTACATCGCAATCGGTCTGATGCCAGTTCTTCTGGAAACAGCTAAAACACGTTTTATTATTACTCTTTACAGCACAAACAGATAGAGATGGATAATATATATGATTTTCATATACTTTATGGTGTTTACCAGGTGGTAATCTACACCATTCAATATCATCTCGGTTAAAATTATCACTCAGGTCAGTGTTACACCCATTTTCTGCTGTAGTTTCTGACAACTGAAATCAAGTATACAGAATCAAAGTCAAGGTCTGTTTGGTTTTCGTGTGTGTTGTTTAAATTGGAAACTTCGCTCAATAAACCTCCTCGACAGTGGTTTGTTTCCTGTTGTGGGGTATGGATCATGGACGCTCCAAGACCGAGAAAAACTGTCAGTAACAATGCCTACAAAGCTTGCCCGTATGTTTTCATTATGTTATGTAAGTGTGCATATAAATCAGTTATATAGAAAGAGGGTTAACAAAATACTTGATGTACCAAGTACGTATCAATACTAAAACTACAATGATGCATATAAATCATCAAGAAACGTAAGTCAACACACATTTGGCTGACACGGCAACAATGAAGAAAACTCGGAAATGGGCGTGTTGTCTCCGCTCCATTAATCACCATACACCCTCTGTCCACAAATAACCGACAGAAGCTCATAGACGAGTCTAACGTTGTCAGTTAATTTTATTAGAAATGTAACTAAGTAAAAACGGAATTTATCATTATGATAGAATATGGTACTGAGGGCTATATTACAACTCATTTTTAATAGAAATGATGATTATTAGTTTTACGTACAGGCCAGGAGAATTGTATATTTCGAAGGGGAGACGAAAAATTAATAACTCCAAATTTAATGTTTTATTAATGTCAGTAATCATGACAATTGTCTGTCAACTATAAAGGTAATTTTACGACGTTTCGAAAATTTGGACTTTGACGGTTTTGTGATCCCAACGACAATATGATTGTGTTATATCCGAAACATAATATTCTGAAATAGTCAGGAAAGGGGCATATTAGTTTCAAGTTTATAGGAATCGCACCACAGTTATTTCTCGTATTGCTACTTATAGCTATTATGTTTTTGTCCCAAAGCTCTAATTTTTAAACCTGGGGCATATTTTTATTAACCCAGGGGCGTTAAAAAATGAAAATCGATAAGCTGTAATTTCTCTGGATTGTGTAAACTATTGTACTACGAATCTGATTAAAATACAGATCTATATTTCGTTTCGGTTTTTTTATACTTTCGATGGCCTACACTACATGGAGATCTGACAAGTTATAGCGATAGGTCACGTCAGGGGTCAAAAGGCCGACTTTTGATGTTACTAGTGGATTACCCACAGTTCTGTGAAAAACACGCCTAAAGCTCGCCGTAAGTGTAGTAAAGACAAGTAAAACGGAATTTTGAATTATAAAAACGAAACGAAATAAGATCTGTGTTTTAACTAGATTGATTGTACTACTTATACGGTCTCCGTTGATTTGATTTGTATAAAAATTGTTTCACTTACTACTAAAGGCATGACGTCTCTTGATGTAAGTGAAGTACAGGTTCCAACAATCAGACAACTTAATACCATTGACAACAACATATTCGTTTTCTGTCAAACATTCTGGAATGGAATGGTGTTTATCGCTTCGTCAATAGATACTCCAGTCAGAGGCATAGGCGCACGAGAATGAAAAAAAATCATATATATAAATATATATATATTTTTTTTGTTTTTTTGTAAAAATAGGATGACATTTTGAATACAGTGAATACTATGGATTAAATTATTTGTCCGGAGCCACTCTGCGTTGTGTAACATTTTGCGGCCGTCTAACCGTTTGTTTATTAATTTTTCGGGAATAAAAATTTCTTTAAAAATTCACTAATGGATTATAATTTAAAACATTTTTAAACGGCAGTGTAATAACATTGTCTAGCGCGACATTTTTTTCGGGTATCATCATTATTTGTTTCGTCAGTTTTTCGCGAAGTGAAATTACTTGATAGATCTAGCTGGGCATAGAACGGGATTTCAGTTGGCGGCCGTGGTTCCGATGACTCTTTCGGGCATTTTATTTCTGCCCTAGTTCTCACATCTGGAATTCAGCTGGGTATAGAGTGGACTATATTAGACCACTTTCTTCTTGCTGTATACTCGTGGGCCTAAATAAAAAAAAAACGCGTTTGCGCGTCTAACTTTCAAAATTTCCGGTCTCATTCTTAATATAAAATTATTGCTATAGAATTATTGATATTTTACATTACATTGGGTGGTACTTTGTGTACTTACCAGTAATAAGTCTCTATAAACTGATTGCTTGCTGGTTGGTTTTTAACGTCCACAATAAATCATATATATGCTGGCAATATCCTGTTTGTTAATATTTAAATTTATAGTAGGTAAGTATGCATAAGGATGTTTAATTTTTATATTTGTGTCATGGGAATTTACCTAGTACAGATATCTAATTTGATTTTTCTTTTATATTCCCCAAAATCAAATCACAATGAGTGAGGTGAACAAGTGACGTCTCCTCCATATAAAGTCAAGATTGTAAAGCTTTCAATATGGGTCGAAACCTTTATATAAAAGTGCATGTTTCCCAGCTACTAAAGATCAGATTTAGTTCAACTTGAAACCCGATAAAATTATGTGTGCCACATAAATATATTTTCAGCAGTGGATTGGCAAAGTGTATCTGATTTGAACCTAAAGTGATCGCCAAAGTTAGCGTGTGTGGCATTATGGCGCCACAATTCCGAAAAGAACAATTGATTTGTCGTGGCCTGTATATGTACACACGATATAAATATAAAAACATCAGCTTAACTGTCGCAATAAGCAGACGAATAATCTAATATAGTTAGGGAAGAAGTGGGGAAATTCCCTGGTTTATTCATTGTCGGGAACTGTCTGTAATATGAACTAAACATACCACACAATATTATAGTAACATAGTTATGCTATTCAGCAATTATATGAGATTGCGAAGAAAAAACGAGTACACAATTTAAAGTGGAATAATAGTAATACAAAAAATATTGGACATATATAGTTCACATTTCACTCCAAATTCAAATAGTAAAATAATATTAAAAAGAAGGCCAAATCATGTTTACATAAACAAATGTTTAATATGTCCTCCGTCTTGCTCCACTCAAAAACCGAATTTCTTATCAATTCTTCTAAGCCTATTTCTGCCCATTTCTTCCGAATTTGGTTCATTTCCCTTAAATGGTTTTGTGCGTCATTGATAAACCGTACCATAGAGTGGTAGGTCTGCAATTTGGAGTAAAGTTGTCAACCATCCATATTGTACGACCCGTGAAACAATAATGATATAGATAGGCTTTTTGAATTATTCCACTTTAAATTTTTGTACTCGTTTTTTCTGGGACACCCGATATAAGAAAAGTGAATAGACGCACCTTTCAATTTTTTCGTGGAAAACCTATTACGATTTTTGAGTGAATTTTGATGGGCTTCTGTGTTTTATAAAAAGGATATTTACTGAGAATCTCGAAATGTATACCGGTCGAATCTAAAATGATGGCCCCGTTTAGCTTGGTAACCACTTATTATATGACCTTGGGTTGCACATTAATTTAATGGGCTTCTGTATAGTTTATAAAAAAGAATATTTACTGAGAATCTCGAATGTAGGTTCGACTCGGTACCTTACCTGTATAATGCAGGAGTCACACTGTCCCGAAATTGACACCAGATGGACACACGATAAAGTAAATGTTCAAATGTGTACTGATTTTGTCTTAAATATTTGATATTATGATCGCATATTTCACGATATAGATAACAGCATCAATATTTAGGGCGTCGCCTACTAATATGACGTCACGGCCTACATAGATTCCTAGCAAACAACTGAAAAGCTCAACCCTTATTTTTATCAGATGATTGTGACATAATGGGTTCTTTGTGGTTGTAAAGATTAAGATCATCTGAAGCCAAGACATGTTATGGATTTAACACTGAAGTCAATGGGGAGACAAGTACTTATAATCTGAGAACCATTCCGATAACTGGGCTTATCTTTACCTGCTTATAGAGTGATCATAAATGTTAACGTATATTGCGACGAAATATTTTTATTCACCATTATGATCTTCTCTTAAAGATGTCTCAACTCTTACTTGACTGGGCTAAAGTGACTGGATAATCAACCACATTAAAAACCAAACTCCCGGTTACGCATGGGCAATGGACTTTACGTCAAATATTAACAACCTTCCCAGACCCTCCGTATGTTGAAGACTAGGAGGTTCTGGGTGACCGAGTCTACCCCAAGCCATAAAATCCTTACGCAGCCTTGTTAGTCAAGTAGGTTGCCAGTTAGTGATACCATTAATTTCCAGGAAATCCATTATTTTACTAGTAAGATTGACTATCTATCTATACCTTCCAGATATACCTATGCAATATCATTCAAAATGAACTAAATTCATTTTCTCCATAAGAGTGGTAATGCCTCTTTAAATTTCTGATGAATTAATGGGATCGAGAACATCAAACTATATAATCAAACCTTTTTTTATGTTTCACTATGCTTTAATTATAATATAAAATTAATAATAGAAGAATTAAAAACAAATTATAAAAAGGCTTAATATGAAGGAATAAATAAAACAGCTTCTTCTGAGCCATATAACCGTTAAATCGCTTTAGAATATACGCCGGGGCAGCAATTGCTTAACTCAACGGTAGAAGCAAATTACATTTCCCCAATTACATGTACCGGTAACTAGAAATTAAAAGATGCGCGAGACATGCTTTGACGTCTATATGCCACCGAAGACAATGGGTGAGGTCAGAACAAAAGTTTAGCGCTAGTGTTCGAGTTTGTGTCCGTAATAGAGTTAATTTGAGCTCCTTAATCTGATGTTTAGGTTAAAAATATGATTACACGTTGGAAAATATATTGCATTTTGAAATTGAAACTCATGGGGTTTAACGTCCACTCGACACAAACTAGGTCATTTCGGGACTAACACATGGTTCAATTTTATTTCAATAATTCGCTTGCGCGTACGGGTCTTTGGCAATAGGAGGAAATTGGAGGGCCCGGAGAAAACCCACGAGGTTGGACAGGCGATCCTACTCCTTGTCACGTACAACCGTGGAATCGAAACCACGCCAGTTGACTCAATGACAGACTGTATGATACAGCGCGTACGTGCTAACCATTCGCCCCTCCCCCATTAGGAAACGAGTTACGGTGGTGTTACATTAGTCATAAATGTTTACTCCAACACTACATTGGACCTCACACATGGTGTCTATATTACCGATCAGTTATTCATGTTGTATTTACGGCAAATACGAGTTTTCGACTTATACCTATACAGCCTTTGAATCGTGTTTTCTACAAATTGTGAAGTCAGGAACGGGTATTACCACAATTACGACATCAATCAAACATGAGTATTATTACATGGTCCTAAACAGTTTATGTCCTGGTAGAATAAATGAAATATAAAATAAAATTGGAAATAAAATAAATATCTGTGAAAAAAGCATACGTCATTGAGAAACAATGCAGCAAGACATGGCAGAAAGATATAATTATAAATTAATGTGTTTCACTATTAAGTCAGATCAAACCCAATGTGGATTACCAGCATGGAAATCAGTTTTGGGTTAGTAAGTGGTCCCATTTACAGGCATTTCTTTCCTAGTCCTGCCTGGTCTTCATCTTTATGGGTTATTTGACATTTTATTTGCGTAATAATATAATGATAAATATAGCCATGATTTAACATTGTGATTTTCTGTACTGTTCATCTTCGTAATCATTTTATACTGGATTTATTCTCACTGAAATAGAATTTAAAAAAGCTTATTTTTATATTTTCCAAGAAATAATTATTATTATCATAGAGCAGCTTCTTCAATCATACGAACTCTGATTAACATAAATCATTTTGACGAGAAGGGAGTTGAGGGGGGGGGGAGTCGTTGGGTTTTTTTTTGTATTTTAAAGGAGAGCCAAAAAAAAGCCCCCCCCCCCCCTTAATGAACAAATTAAAAAAATCGCGCCAATAAAAAAGCTCTCCCAGTTTCGATAAAAAGTGTAATTTAGAAATTATGGATAATGATCTGATATTAAGGAGAGTGATTAGTTGTTTGTATGGGAAATGGTTCTGAAGATCAGTAAATAATAGTTCTCGTAGGAGTACGGTCAAGTCAAACTACTGCTGTCGTCTATAACTACATACGATATTCCAATAGTTTGTGTATAAATTTTGTTTAAAAACATAACCCCTATTCAAAATATAATAATAAACGCCGGAATATCTACAATGTATCCGTATCCCTGTTGAGGTAACACACCAAGGGGCTGTGTCTGACTTCTTCTAAGTTTACTAATTTAACTTGCATTTGAAGTGCTGTGTCGTGCAGGTACTCAGCTTCCGTTCTCCGGATTTGGACGGATATCGAGAGTTCGATTAAAATTTTAAAATGAACTCATTTTATTTATTTACCTGAACACATGGTGCTTTCTATGGTTCCTGGGTATTGGGTGGCATAACCCACTGGACATGATTTACAACTTGTTTGTCCAGCCTCGTCTTGATAAAATCCTTTGCTACACTTGGCACACTGGTTATCAACAGCAGAAGTTCCAACTGGGCAAATTACTAGAAATAACACATTAATAATAACAAATATCACCATAATACATCTTACACATAAATTGGACTAAATAGTAATTTCTTAAGTCGGTTTTCCATCTTCATTTTTAGCATGTCATTCAATAAAGATAGCCAAGCAAAGTGTTGAAATACGCCCACACAGCAGCTATTTCTCAACTGCAGCTTATCCGAAAAGATAATTTTTTATGGCGTGTTCACAAGCTTTCCGCAAACATTGCCGAAAATAAACACGGTGCTGAAAATTGATAAGGCTCTCATGACCCTAAATGCTCACACCAAATTTGAAAAATATTCATTAAAAACTCTTGCCTCTATCGCGTTAGCGAATAATTGCGATGTCAGAATAACAAGGGTAATAACGACCTACTGATTATATACTTACCACATATACCATGGTTTGTAACAGAACCAACGGGACATATTACAGACCCCGTTACATCAACATTTGTTGGTTCAACATAATTACCATCACCATTACCAACTACCAGGCTAATATTATTCTTTAATTTATTACCAGAACTCTCTAATTCTAACAATATATCAGTTACAACTTTCAGCTGTCCAGTTACTACAATAAAATATCGCATAATAACCATTTTAAAAAATAGGAAATACTTTTATGAGAATATAACTTAAATATTTGGAAATTTATAGGTCCATAATCTTCGGGTGCATTCTGAGATACCTACCTTATCTTACGTTTACCAATTATCTTTTACTTACACCCAGAAATCTTATGTGTGTTGTATCATGCAATGCAGTTCGGATGTTTCAAATTTCGCACACAATCGAATTTAAAGGTTCAACAATTATCTTTTACATACGCCCATAAATCTCATCTATGTTGTATCAAGCAATGCATTTCCGACGTTTCAAATTTCGCACACAATCGAATTTAAACGTTTCAGAAAAATCGATATACAGTAGATATCGCTTGTGTGATAAATTTCATAATCTACTGCGATATCTCCTTAGGAGATATCGCTTTACATGAATTTGATTGGTCAGTTGAAAAGGAACTACTTTTTTTATTTTCAAAGAACAGTTCATTTCTTATAAAAAGTAACGTTTTTTTTTATTGAAAATGAACTATTGTTATTCAGTTGACCTTGATGGAAACACTGGGTCAATATAAAGGACTTTGCAATGGTTGAATTGCTGTCAAAAAATCATGTATCACTACGCCGTAATGTTCAGTAAAAGTGAAATCTACAGCAAAGAATTATATTTATCTATTTGTGCATGTAAGAAGGGATTGGGTGATAAATAAAATCTCCTACTCGTCTTTTTTGATATAAAAAAATATCAACACTCGTTCATAAAGTAAAAAAAAAAAACTCGACAGAGCCTCGTTTTTTGTTACTTTATCAACTTGTGTTGATATTTTTTGATATCAAAAAAGACTGGTAGGAGATTCTCTATTTATATGTCCACAACAACTTACACAATAAAAGATACGGTAATTGTGAACCAAGGTCTAATCTTTTTATTTGTAAGATTTTTCAATTGTTATTATTTTAACTTTATTCAGTATTTTATCCGACAATAAAACATAACAGGAAGTTATGTTATAACAAGTCCGATATGTTTGACTGTACATTTTGACAGCTACTTTGATGGTTGCAGCTACTACAGGTATTAGAAATTCAGAGACTGGGCCCTAACCTGTTTTTGTTATGACTACCAACCTGTATTATTTTGACTTAAACTGGTGATATCAAGTTCACTCTCGGGTAGATCTCTCCAAAGTCTGACTTCAATAACAACACCATCAATAGTGTTACGTCTAATTCTATGATTGCCTTGGCACTTGGGTAATATTATGTCATAATTACAGTTGCCATCTTTAATACAATCCACTTCATTTCGTACATTATAAGCAAATACATCTGATTCCAGTGTGTTGCATTTTACATGTCTGTATCTGACTCGACTGGTTATTTCCAATGTTATCGGAGATACTATTCCTGGAAATAAAAGAAATATTCTCCATATTATAAACCCATAAGGTAAGCTTTCGAATATTTTTTCGCTGTGAAGAAGGTAAAATATTAAGAAAATTCGGTATAATTGAAGGTTTGTAGACCTATAGGCCCTAAATATTTCAGGATCTGGGATACTGGACTTATACAAATAGTATAGTATTAAATCTTATCATGAAAGCAAAGACGAAGAATATTATTAACCGAAAGGCAATCTCAAGTAAATAGTATGTGGACTTCATAAATCGGAAAACATTCAATAAGTACCCAACAGTACTCTACAATTGGAATATACGGTCTTTCTTTTCTCCATGGAATTTTAAAAAGGAAGATACTTTAGTTCTTTAATCAGTAAGATAATACGTTTCTTCATTTTACGATCTTGGATTAAATTTACTAGAAAACGTAGTCCGCAATTTAAAGTTCATATAGTATTTGCTTACTGGTACAAGGTTTAGTAAGTATTCCAGGACTCCACATCCCTTCTTCACATGTATAGACCATCGGTTCTTCCAGGAAGACAGTGCCATCATTGCAGAATAAATGACAATCTATCTTGTTGGTACCAGTAGAACAATTAATACTTACGTGTGGTGCCAACTGGATATCATCTGATGAACATACTGCCATTAAAAAAATAATAACTTTAGGTTTGTGGCAAGTTGTTTTTGTTCAAAGCCCAGTCATTTAAAAATATATCACGTTTTGAAAAAATCGAACATTTTGTCAAATACTGACAGTCGAATCCTGATAAAAAAAAATACACATTAAATATTAGGTAACTTACCAGGGCATGGAGGTCTGTGACAAATATCAATATTTTTATTGGAACCTTCACAGTTTTTACCATAAGCATCTGGTGGTGGGTTATCACAAGTACGAGTGCGTGATATGGTACCACTTCCACATGTAACACTACACTCCAACCATGCATCCCATGCACTCCATCCTCCATGTACTGTAATATAGCTATACTATATAGGCTACTTTGGAAAAATCTAAATCGCTTCCATCCCATGCCTCGGATATTATGCCCCTTGTGTAGTCAACTAGACCTAATAAATCAACAGAAGCCACAGTGGCTCAGTGAGTAAGACAATGGCACATTAACCAGGCGATGATAAAAGTCCTTGGGATTTTTCAGCATAGTTTCCCTTTGTCAGTTATTCAGAATAGATGACAAACCAAGGTCCCGTTTACACTTGGCACGCACCTAAATAACCATTGTGAGATGGAATTCGACATCTTCTTTAGCCCAGAAATATAGGACGTTAATCCCCATTTCATATAAGTCAATTTCCCGAACCATAAACTCCATTGAATTCACTGATTACACAAACACATGATTTGCACTTTAGTTTATTTTTTCTAGGAGCATTTGTGTTTACGGAGAGCAAGTCCCATTCTTACGGAATGCATTAGGCCAACCAAAAACCTCTAACTTAACTTACCGATTGGGATTTCACACCTGGAACCTCTAAAATCTTCAGTACAGTGGCAAGAATAGTTGGAAGGACTATTGTACGTACAGGTAGCACCGTTTAGACAATAATTTTGTTGACAATAGTTTGGAGCCTGGGAACATGTAGCACCATTATATCCGTCACGACATTCACAACGGAACCCACCTGCTAGATTATGACAAATATGTCTGCCACACGGTGAACTTTCACACTCATCAAATGCTGGAAAGAGACCAGCTTTCCTTTTCAGTTAGTGATAATTATGATTTTCTAATCCCACAATTCGTATTGAGACTTATTTAAAAGAATTCGAATATTTAATTTTTTTGGTATATAAATTTACACCGCCAACCCGACAGCTTTGTTAGAACAAACGGTTATGCCTAATAAAACTTAAGATTTCCTTCATTTAGTCCTTTAGATTTATTTAATATAATATGACCGTTTAACAGTTCTTACCATCACATGTGCTGGGTATAACAAGTTCAATTCCACTCATAGATGTCTGAATTCCCTTTAAATTAAATATTGCGTCGGACTCTATGGATGAACACTGAGCAGCTAGCTGTGAGATATTTGAAGAAGAGATACCACCATGTAAAACATCTAATGCTCGAAACTGTATACCTGAAAAGTGTGATCAAAAGTAGCCGAATTTTTAATGAATATCAACGCTCATTGCCTTTGATAGCAGGCCTGTATGATTTCGACTATTTCTTTGTCTCGCCTTTACACTGAAGGTCCAATGAACTTTATTTGAGAACTGTGAATAATACACCGGTATTTATGTTGAAATCATTGCAGGTGTTTACATTACAATACATGTTTTTCTTTCAATTCAGCTGCATTGTACAGAACTTAAGGGAAGAGCAACTTCAAATTTAAAGCAAAAAATGACAACCACATTTTGTTGTAAACATTCAACATCACTGACAGGCCACAAACAGGGGGTAGACAGAATGCCTCTTGACCATAACCCGAATGGGTTTAAAGCACACACACGTCCCAGCCCCAATGTCTTAATAAACATAGGTGTCTATGCTGGAATAGGGAATAATACTTACTATCATTTGACTGTATCCGTAAGGTCATGTTGGTACCATACGGTAGTAACAAGGAAGAAATAGATGAAATGTTTTGAACCTGTAGAGGGGTTCCATCAACATACACTGATATCTGCTGGGTATTTTGAGTCCACACAACAGCAACATGGTTCCATTTAGTGGATAAAGGCATCGTGAAATCTTGAGACCTGCAATAATAAAATATGCCATCGACTGTTGCATTCTATGATCAATATGTAATATTATCTGTCTACCTCCACTGGATAGGAGTGGTCCTATCCCAAACAAAACAAGGCTGAATAAACATCATTTTTCAGAAAGATATATGTATAATAAACATAATGGCTAAACTTGCCATTTAATTTAAAGCGCCCCCCCCCCCCCGCCCAGCTCGCAATTGTAACTTAGCGGAATAATGTATAAACTTGACACCTGCTTAATACTAGGGAGGCTTGGCCGTTTTATGTGCAGAAATCAGCATCACAGTTACCTAACCACATACTTACTAAATCGTGTTTGAAATCTATAAAGCGGTTTAGGAGATAAGGATGAAAATGTCTGAAAATTGCTAAAGTTGTCCCTTTATACGGTACCACAGACGTATAGGGCAGATCAACCTCATTTGAAAAAGCACCATCTACCAAATTTGATTAAGCTGGTACGGAGATAAGTTAGAAACATAAAATGTTAGCGGTCGGCGAACAAAATGTGGACTTCGGCACATTAAATCAACTTTCCGAAGTTTTAGGGAAGACTCCAGATTATGGAAACGTATTGGATAGAACTACTACTTCCAACAATAGCATATACCCAGGAGAGATTTGATTTGTCTATAAAAATAGACACACTCTAAAACCAAAGTTTTCGCTCCCAGTACAGCAATGGCTAGAGAGGGATTTCTCTGGTCATTGCCTCAGGAATAAAATTAAATTGTGTCTATCGGATTTGTCTCTTTTCATCCAACAGAGTACAACTTACATGAGAATCATGTTACACGACAAAGACTGTTGGAAAAGTTGATTAACTACAACATGCACTCAATTGGATTAACAAACAATATTTTGACACAATGTCAATAACCCCCAACTTACCCTGCAATAGAAACCTTCAACTTAGTTCCCAAGGACAGTAAAAGGCGGTCGCCAAGATATTCTTCAATGAACGACAGTAAAACACCGTTACCAGATGCCTTGGTGATTTTAAACCATAGCAATAGTGTAAAATCGCTGACATTAGTGTCAATAAGAGTTGTCTGTAGCACATTGTCGCCTTCTATAAGAACATCAAATCCTGAATGAAACAAAATAACAATCTGAACTGAACAAATCTTTCAATGATTTCTGTGATGCAACATAATGATATATATTTTGCATGCGGCACAACCGTAAGCCAATGTTTTCAAACGTTTCACTAATCAAAGTTTTCTCATTTATAAATGTCAATACAAGACACCGGTGTGACTATAAGTATTTTTATATAGTAAAGTTACGGGAAGACGACCAGGTTGTAACATCCTTATGAGATAGTATCGAAACACATACAAAAACTAAAACCAGGGCCGTAACTAGCTCATAGCAACGAGGGGGGAGGGGAGTGTTCTCGGGGGTGTCGAATATTGACGGACAATTTATGGTCGAAAATGTTTTCATAGGGGGGGGGGGGGCAACCTAGTTACGGGCCTGACTAAAACATTGTTTACCTTCACAGTCTGTGATAGAAATGGCACCCGGATTACTGGATGTATCAACTGGACAAGCTTTACAAGAAATTCTACCATTATCCGGTTGATAAAAACCAGCATGGCATTCAGCACAAGGTTCAACACCAGTTGGCGATACACTTCCAGCAGAACAGATACCTATAAATGGTGAACATATTTCCATAACATACTGTGTCCTCTTCTTCCATTTTATTAAGGTAAACCATAGTCATGGCTCTAAAGCCTAACAGATCTCTGAAGACGTTATGAACCTGATATCCTACGGTGTGCCCCAAGACCAGGAAAGCATTCACGTCTTTACGAAAGAATTTAAAATGACTTGAACTCTTTGATTTGAGTCAAATAATAAAATATTCGATTTTTATTAGACATGACATGCTGATTTGTTTTGTGTAATGGGCAGTCTGTCTTCATTGAAAATTAGTAAACATACCGCATTCCGCCTCATATCTTGAATCAAAATTTTGATCTCATGGACCCGGGCCCCAATACTAACTAATATAACACAATACCCGGTTAACCCAGATTTTCATTATCTGAAATTGTTAATGGAAAGCGATACGAGTCGGGCATTACCTTTACAGTAAGTGATATTCCTAGCACCTGTAGTGATTGTGGTTGTACCAGGAGGACATGGTATACATGTAGTAGAACTATCAACATCTTGATAGGTTCCTATATCACATTTAACACAATCATAAGTAACATCATCATATCGTGTACCTGTTGGACATCCATCTAAAATATTAATGGCCATCGTGTATTAAACTCGTATCTGAACATAGTCACAAAATACTTACTTTCCTGCAATATCTTAGAATGTCTACCAATGAAAACATACTGAAAGATTAAAGTGGGGAATTTTGATCTGTTAACCAATCAATGCGGACTAAATGACTTGAAAATAGAAGACGAAGAATTGAAAGAATATAAATGAATCATTAGAAACTTACGACATGTGACGGTAGCGTATTTAGCAACTTGTCCGGCTTTACATTCAAAATCTGTCCAATCAATAAACATAGAAGTGTCTTTAAGAGTAAAGCCGGGAGCAATGCTGTTTAACTTGGCGGCTTTCATATCACTTTCGACACTATAAGCCATATTCATAAGTGCTGCATCGTGAATTGTTCTGGACAATTCAAGAGTGGAGTCCGAATCGACAGCAAATCCAATGACAAACTTCCAAGAAATGGTAGCTGTTCCGGCTTCAGTTGAGCGTTTCACTCGTGTTGCTCTTGACCAAGGATGCAGTGACTGAAATAAAAAAAATACAATTCTGAATTTTGTCAAACAGATAAATATTAGCCTTTACACTAATCAAATGGTTTATAATTACGATTTACATCGTGTCTAGCTGTCCTTTGAATTTTCATTCGCTTTGCCTCCCAAAAATGCTTTATAGAGTAAACTCCTAAATACCCGTTTTCGCCTGGTTGTGGCACCGCATTCAACTTTCACATTTTCTATTTTACATTCTCTATCTTGAAGACATTGGTCTTTCCATTGGGATGTTGTCATATATTGCATGAAGTTTTGTTTGATTTGCGCTTGGGTAGTAGCACTTGAACAGTCACCACCATAATAATAGAGTTCTGAGGGTAATACCATCTGTTTTGGGTGTTTTCTTTCTGAAATTAGACGGGAAAAGCTGGTGGTACTAGTGACTAGAAGGCTTATAGGAGCATATTGATGAACTAGTACCTAAATATTTGCAATATCTGTACAATCAATATAACATTCGTTCGGTGTTGTTGCCAATGTGGGTTTAATTTTCAATGTCTTCTTTTCTCTTTATTATCATTCGAAACTTTAAATTTGTTTGATTTGAAAATGTATAAGTTTTAATTTTCACCTGTACAGTCTGGAACATCAGTTGTACTCCAAGTTCCTTTGTTCCAATTACACAGAAAGTTTGGACTTGATGTGACAGTTCTGGGTAGATCAAACTTATCATTACACATCATATTACAGTAAGATCCCATTAGCCAATCAGCACAGGCAAGAGCTCCGTTTATAGGAACATTCAACTTTGGACATTTGGTTTCTGAAATATAGCGACTTTTACCAATAGCACTTTCTACGGACTCGGTATTCTCGGTGGAATTATTGAATTGAAGATATCAACAGTACATGCATGGGTAGAAAAGCCTCATGGGAAATCAAATACCCAATTATCTAATTATATTTTTAATTTTGATCTACATAACAAGGATTATCAGTGAAATCAAGAAAAAATGGAAATCTATTATGAATGTGTAGAGCACAGCAAAGTGAACACTTTCTTCAAGTTCAATAGAATATAATGGTGTTATGGGGTGTACTTGCCTTTGCAGTGAGGAACTGGACCCGTCCCATGGTTCCAGTAACCCTTTGGAGGTATTGTGTCATTTTTATCACAGGTAATGACTTTTGGTCCTTCTAGAGGCAAACCGAATCGACAACTAATGCTGCACTGTGCACCATAGTTATATTCAGGACAGTTGATATCCATGTTGTCATCGTCATAGGTAGGTATGTTACATCGAATCACTTTAAATAATGAAAGTCACAAGTATTATAGTTTTGGCAATAAATTAAATTTTCAGTCTTTATATTCTAGATTAACAGTAAGCTTAAGTAGTATACCCCAATTAATCTTACAGTAGATTCATTTGCAACAGCAATAAAATTCTGCCACAATCCGTAACTAAACTATTTTCGATTAGTGGGCATAAAATTTAGCGAGCATGTTGTTTTCTACTAACTTTGAACAGATACTGCAAAAAAACAATAAGCTTCATTGTTGTCTGAATCTTTAGCGACATATTTGATGGTGTGTGCTCCAATTGGAAAAGCAGATCCAGAAGGTAGACCGTGCTCCTGAGACAGTACAATTTTTCCTGAATTGTCAGTAGCTGTCGGTTCCTCCCAAGTAACAGTAGCAAACGTTTTTCCATGGTCAGCGTAAGCTGTAATGGTCGGTGGACACTTCTGGAAAACAGGATCAGAATTATCTGAAATTCAAAAAGAATGGAAATACAATACAAGCTTGTAAAAAAACAAGCGTGGGCGGACCACAGTACACATCTGAAACACAACAAGTACAAGGGCATGCAGATCTACCTGGCATGTACAATAATAGAGACTTTTGGCAAGTTGAATTTTTCCCATCCGTATAACGTATCCGTATCGTCACGTGATACGTTGCGTTAATTTAGTTTTAGAGATTTGGCAGATTTTCGCGCTGCGTACCTATGGGTAGATGAGCCGAGCGTAGTGCTATCAGTGGCGGCGCCAAGGGGGGACAAGGGGGAAATGCCCCCCCCCCCATAAATGTGGTCTGCTCTCTGTTTGACCCCCACCCCCCACCAATAATTTTAGAAAATAAAAAAAAGTATTTGTGGTACGTTTCGGTAATCAATACCTTCTACGGGAATTCGTTGACGTTCGTTCGTTTGACATTTTGTTCTCTGGTCGGATAAACTAGTAATCAGGCGACGGACGGTATCTGGTCAGATCTATTTATCTCGACGATCGGTGCCTGACTGAATACTGTCAGACAGCATTTCCGGCAGTCTATTTTTCAATATTTTCTGGGGAAGGCCCCCCATACCCTCTGTAAGGACTCCATACTTTGACGCTCGTGAGTGGGCTTCGTCGAGGTTCTCAAGTCAGTTCGTTTGACACTTTAACTCAACGATCAGTGTCTGAAATACTGCCAGGCTGCATTTCCGGCATCCTACAAGATGGCGGACTAGAGAGGTCGAGTAGATAGCCAGAGAGAGTTTTTCCAAAACGTTCAGTGATAACATAAGGATAACTTATAGAAAATAGGTATGATGATTATTATACCTCAGTGACACAGATTATGCATATATTTCTAAACAATATATACCAGATTATTTGATATATCAACTTTTCCTGAATATATACAGTCTCAATACAGCTCACCAGAGTTTTTGTGAGTATCGTTTAGTCTGTTAACACAAGCAAGCGTCTACATATAATGGGTAAAGACAGAAAAAAACGACCAAGACCCGATCACTCAAGTACAAATTCTGCTAACAGCAGTATAACTAATTTCTTAGACAGTGTGATAAAGGATGATGAATCCATACGATATTTTTTAGCTGAACTCTTAAAAAGGGACGCAATAGTAAATAAATTGGCAACCCTCATCCAGCCTACTCTAACAACGCCATTGATTGAAAAAATTTCATCACTAGAAGAACGAATAGATGATCTTGAGCAATACTCAAGAAGGACGTGTCTTAAATTCTCTGGTCTGATAGAAAATAATACAGAAAATACGGACCACTTAGTATTAGACTTAATTAATAATAAAATCCTGGGTGGTGATTATCCACAAATTACTTTAAACCAAATTGGACGTAGCCATCGAGTTGGAAAGCGTGTTCCTAATAAAACCAGGGATATCATTGTCCGATTTATCAGCTATCGTGACAGGGCCGCTGTTTTTGGCAACAAACGTAAATTAAAACCCTTCAACGAAGGACGTAGTCCTAAAATATTTGTAAACGAAGCATTAACTCATAGACGATCGCTGTTGTACAAGAAGACTAGAGATCTGTTAAAATCAAAGCATATTACTAATTGCTGGACATACGATGGTCGTATATACGTCCAACCGCTGGTTGGCGTCAACACCGTTATAAACTCAGAAGTTGATCTCCAAAGTCTGATTGTTACTAATCAAAACAACACTCGAGATTATATACCACGGACCCGTCAAGAAATAGTAGTCAGTCCATCAGAAGATAGAAACAGGTCAGAGGTCAACATAACCACACATGTCATCAACCCGACAGCAAGTGAACAAATTGGATGTGTCCCAAATTCTGCCGGGCCAAATACAACCTTAAGACAACAATCTCTGTTAGACGTCGGTCTGTTTCCAACCACCTCCACTCCAAAATCTACCGTAAACGATACTTAACTAAGTCTTTAAGAAAATTCCAAGATATCACACAATAGATTATAATAATATATAAAATATCTTTCGGATAAATTGTGAATAATAACGTTATTCATCATAGTATCTTTAATATGTAATCTGTCCAGTATTTTCAATAACAAATTAACTGTTGTATGGCCTATCATAAATTTCCATTGTTGCTTTCTTGCACTATTTCGCAATGTGTATATCAAATATCTTTACCATATTGTGTATTACTAATTATTGATTTAAGATCACACCCAAGTACATGTTATGACAGTACAATATATATATGTATTTAATTTAAACATGGTACTAACTCGGGATTCTTTGAAGCTATTAATGTAACGAAAATGTTAACGACACAAACAAATACGCAGAAACCCCAATAAAGCACATGTATTCTATATAAGACATGTACAAAGGATAAAAAAGAAAAGTCAAAAAAATGAAACTTTATATGATGATTTTTATATTATCGCTTAAGACTAAATGTCATATACGTACTGTATTAAAGGAACACATATATATGTGGAAATGTACAATATATTTACTTTAATATCACAATTACTAGGTATAAACCCAATAGAACTTTCAGTCAAATCAATTGTCTACTTTTTATAATATGAAATTTACACAATTTTTGAAGAAAAATATTGAAAGAATAATGGAATAAAATCCTCTCAGGATTCGATGATTAATTCCGGACACTCCATGTGTCATGCTAATGTAATAAACCATTGTAAATATAATTCTGTTGTTAATCAGCTCATGTATATGTGTTCGAATGTCTCATTATACCTGTTTAATACTTATGTACATTCTATGCATAATTTGATTATTGACATTTGTAACTGTAAATATGTTATTGTAATTGATTTATTACGTACCCTACAACCCCGACCTCACTATAATTTTTTTGGATTAAAGCCCGTAACCTATTCTGAATATTTTGTATTATTGCCCCTAACATGTCATATTATACCATATACTTTAGCCAGTGCCCTTACTTATATACTAATAATACTTTCAGGTGATGTAGAACTTCATTCTTTAACTGTAAATAATTCACTGTTTTTGTCTGTATATATGCTTTACTTGTTTACTAGTTATTTACATCATGTTCTCATGTCTCTATTTCCACCAAAACTAACCACTAAATATTTAAGATCTAACTGTTTGATGATTTCTCAGTCCCCTCGTGCAATACTGGCGCAAGTGCAACACTCATTATATTTTCATCGCTACTGTAATAGTTGACATTTACTACACAGTAAAGCACGAGGCATCTGAGAAATGGCAATGTCGAATAATATCTCTAATAGTTTTATGTGAACTTGATAATTTATGTCTGCTAAGTACTGTTTTAGCCTTATTAGTTCTAAGATCAGGAGACGTTCATAAGAATCCTGGACCCTCAAATCACGATTCAAATGAAAAGCTATCAGTCTATCACTTAAATGCACGTAGTATAAGACACAAACTTGAAACAATATACAACGATGTCAATGATTACCATATTTGTGGTTTCACTGAGACTCATCTGGATAACTATGTGTTAGATTCATCTTTACAATGGGACGGTTACCATTCTCCATACCGGAAGGATCGGACGTCGCATGGTGGCGGATTATTGTTATATGTTAATAAAACCATTTATTGCAAACGGCGAGATGATCTTGAGGTTACAGGTATAGAGAGTATTTGGGTGGAATGCAAATTTCCAAACACCGTATTACTTGTTGCCTTATTTTACCGCCCGCCAAACAGCACAATTGAATTCTGGTCATTGTTCGAAAGATCCATTGAACTAGCCTATCAAACCACGCTTAAGGTTGTAATTTTAGGCGATCTAAATGATGACTTGTTAGCACCACGCTGCAAGCTACGGGATGTTTTATCTTTAAATAATCTTAGAAATGTTATTGATGAACCTACACTCTGACATCATCAACCTTATTAGATGTAATTTTAGTAAATGATGGAATTCAGATTAGTTCCAGTGAAACGATTAATGTCACTCCTGACATATCCGATTTGAAAACACAACATGAAAGCGATTTAAGAAAATACAAAGTTCAAAGAAATAAAGTAAATAATTTTAAAAAAGCGCTAAAAACAAAATATAAAGAAGAAATCACAAATTTCTTGAATTCTAACGATACAAATAGCCAGAATTACTGGAATAATTTAAGGAAAGTATTAGGCCAAAATGTATCAAATGATATTCCCCCACTTTTAGACCCCAATGGAAGAATTGCTCGTTCAAATTTTGATAAAGCTGAATTACTTAACAACTATTTCGGATCAATTTCAAATAACACTCAGCAAGGAGAACTACCAAAATTCAATAAGCGAACAAATTGTCTACTTGATATTCCTTTAGTCGAAGATAAGGAAATCGCAGATCTTATAAGTACACTGAAATTGAAAAAAGCGAATGGATTTGATAATATTAGTAACAAGTTACTAAAATATACCAAAACCTCAATATTTGTACCATTAAAATATATCTTTAATAAATCACTAGAACCAGGCGTTTTTCCAACAATTTGGAAAAAAGCAAATGTCCTACCTTTCTTTAAAAAAGGAGACAGCTCTGTAGTTTCAAACTACCGACCTATAAGCCTATTAAGTACTTTGAGTAAATTATTAGAAAAGGTAGTTTTCAAACACCTGTTTAACTACTTTCATGAAAACAATCTCTTGTACAAATACCAATCAGGGTTTCGACCGAACTACTCTATTGTACATCAACTTTTAGAAGTGTATCATGATATCTCATCTGCAATAGATAAGCAACTATATTCCTGCTATGTTTTTTGCGATATATCTAAAGCGTTTGACCGCGTATATTTACCTGGTTTGATACACAAATTAAGTCAATATGGGGTTTCAGGCATGCTAATTACGTGGTTGTCTAGTTATGTCCAAGACCGGACTCAACGGGTATTCGTAAATGGCTCTGTGTCATCAGAAATTACTCTTCAATCAGGAGTTCCCAAGGGATCAGTTTTGGGCCCCTTTTTGTTTTTGACTTACATCAATGATGTACAAGATGTACTCCATAATGTGGCTAGATTATTTGCAGACGACACGGCACTTGGGTGTAGCAAACAGTTTAGTCCCTAAACTACGATCTGACAAATCTCAACATTTGGGCGAATAATTGGCTTATAAACTTTAATCCAAATAAAACAAAAGATATTTTATTTAGCTCCAAAAAACAGAAAATTATCCGAGTCTAATATTCGATAATCAAGCACTTGAAGTGGTTAAATGTCACAAACACTTGGGCATTACCCTTTCAAATGACGCCAAATGGACCATCCATATAGAAACTATTATCTCGTCCACCTCAAAATTATGAAATATTTTGCGTAAACTAAAATTCACCTTTAATAGACAAACTCTAAATAACGTATATTTGATATTCATAAGGCCAAAATTGGAATACGCATGTGAAGTGTGGGACGAGTGTAACATTTCCAATACCGAAAAACTTGAAAAGGTACAGCTAGAAGCTGCCAGGATTGTCACTGGACTAACTAAAACTTGTTCTCGTGAAGCGCTTTATTTTGAAACCGGATGGAATAAATTGTCAGACAGACGTACACAAAAGCGACTAACTACATTTTTTCAAATTAAAAATCAGAGAAACCCAGCATACTTATATGACATTCTTGAATATTATCAACAAACACCACAAAAATACAATTTAAGAAACATTAGCGAATATAGATATCCTTATTGTAGAACAACATTGCACCAAACTTCGTACTTCCCCACAACAATTCGAGATTGGGAATTATTAGAGGACCCCATAAAGCAATCAACCAACATTAAATCCTTCAAATATCTATACAAACAAAAATTACGTTCCTTAATACATAAAGCGCCAATCTACTACTGTAAAGGTAATAGACATGAAAATATTATTCACACTAGAATACGGCATGGGTGTAGTTCGTTGCAAAATGATTTGTATAAAATAAACGTTGTGAATGATCCCACATGTTCTTGTGGCAAATTTATAGAAAATGCCGAACATTTCCTGCAATGTCACTTATATGATGTAATTCGTGCCGAACTATTAAATACATTGTCAAATTATTCTGTGATAAATATAGATATCCTATTGTGCGGCATTCAGAATTGTCAATTGAGATGAATACAAACTTATTCCTTGAAGTTCACAAATATATCAAACTTTCAAAACGATTTAAATAAAGTTATTGTTAGTAGTTACATCTTCGAATAAATTATTAGCTATAGCTTTTTTGGTGGATAACATTTTTTTTTTTTTTTTTTTTTTTTCCCGCACCCGCACCTCTTCACTTATTTTATATAGAGCTTTGCGATATAATTGATCTGACTTTACTTAAATTACTTATAAATTATTTATTATTCTATATACTATTTCGCAATCTTGTTTCTATAAAATTTTGTCTATTATTTGTATGTATGGAAAGGGCTTTTCTAAGTTTTTGAAACTTGTGCTCAATCCTTTTGATATTTGTCAATAAAATATGTTTAAACTAAACTAACCTGTTTTTCAAAGTTTTCTGGGGGAGCCCCCCCCCCCTCCCCAACCCCCCAGTTGAAGCTCGTGCCTTTGCCCCTCCAATCACCGATGGCTGGCGACGCCACTGAGTGCTATTGCAGCATGATGGCAGGTATCTACCAAGATCAACATCAGTACCTAGCCTACAAATTCCTGAAGCGAGTGAAGTCGTTAGACTTCGCTGAGTTTTTTTTTTTTTTTAAAAATTAGTGTCGAATCTTATTAAAAATCTTCGACTTCGACTCGACAACAATTTTGGTTTCACTAATGTATCATTTCAGAAAGTATATACCCCTACAAATTTGCAAGGTCCCACCTCCCTAAATTTAGCACGTAGATCAACAAGCGTGCAGATAGACAGGAAATTATGAAAATTCCGCGAAAAGCTCATCAAAAGTAATGATTAAATTCCAGTTTTTGTAATGGTTAAAATCACATCAAATATACACCTTCGTGTTCTAGGATCAACATAGATTCATAAAAACGCTACAGCACAACATTTCAGCGTCTAAAAGTAGCAAAAAATACGGTAAAAAGACGAAGATGTTATACAGACCTTTTCCGTATGAAAGCTGTTCGATACGTGCTGCCGTATCCGTGCGCCGTATCACGTATTAAAAATACACACGCATTGATGGCGTTACACGCAAAATCGTTACGGATACGCGATACGGACTAGGAATTTACGTTTGCCAAAAGTCTCTAATATCTGAAACGTGCGTGTCTAGTGTATTTAAGAACTGTATGTTTTAAATTCTTCATAGCTGTTTCATACCTTGACATTCTGGTAATGGTTTCTGCCACTGCCCATCTGCTCTACATATACTATACGATGCTAGAGTAAGACGATATCCAGTATCACAGGTTAATGAACAGGTATCTTGATAGTTGGTACCATCTGGACACTTATATGGTTTAGCATTAGCCGGGGTCGTCAAATTACCACAATCTTCAGCTGCAAACGTAATGATTGCAGTTACTCTACCAATAACAAAACACTAAGGGCCCCAACGTAATATATACACAGAAAAAAGGGTATCTCGAGATCAATACTCTTATTTGAATATTTGATCAGTTATGTTAACTATTTGATGTTATGGTAGGTATTAATTCTTCCTGAACTGTCGCCAGAAAACACTGAACCATCAAAGAAAGCATAGGATTTTACGGTTATTCTGTGGAAAAGTTTTGAAACCAAGTCAGAACAACTATTGCTGGAAAATCAGCTCATGTCATTCAATGTTCAAGTTATCCATAGAGCCGTAAAAAGAGTGAACAAATTTAATGTATGGTGTATCCTCCGCCAGCCTGGATTACCCGTTGAACTATCCTCCTCGTTGACTAATAAGACGTTGGATCTAGTACCTGATACAAATCGTAAAGATTTTGCACTGATTTTACGCCCATGAAGTCCCAGTTATGGGCATTTTGATTCAGGTAAGGTTATCTGACCGGCAAAGACAGTGTTGCGGTTGCCTCCTGATGTGTGTGGGGGGGGGGGGGCTACCATCCTAGGCGAGTGTCCAGGAGTCGCATGGGCCCCGGATGTCGCTGGGAATCTAGATCGTAAGAGACGCTTTCTGGTTAATTAAATTACTCAGCAATAAAGTGAATTTTTATTTCTTTTCTAACCCCCCTACCATGCAAACACATTCGATGGTGGTTTCGTGCGATGCAAAATAAAACGAAGGTTGTGGAGGCTCGAGAGGTCACAATTTTTATACTATTTTGATGAAACTGACAATCTATGTTTATAACCGAAAGATCTCGATATTTTTAGCTTGTGGACACTCTAGCATCGCTGCAACATAATTACGTCTGAGTTCACATTTGGTAAAAATCGTACCGAAACTGCCCGACAAAATGGCCGCTAGCCTTAAAAGCATGTAATACCAAGGTTGTGGTCCAGAGGTTCGAATTTTCATCCAATTTTGATATATCTCAAAGGTCTGGATTCCTTTCAATATTGGCACGTATTGGGCCGTAGCTTTCTTGATTATAACCCCTGATTGTACGAAATATCACGTTTTTATTTAGCGTGTAGACTCTCTGGTCACCATTTTTATCTTATTTACAAAATCGTTCAAATATATCACCGTTACATCATAATTATGTAAACTTTCAGTCAAAAGGCCACTCTCCTTTACACAAATACCAAGGTTGTGGTCCATCTTGAGGTCAGAAGTTTTATCCGATTCAGATGACCTTAAAACGAGTATCACTAGTTCATGGATGAGTTCAATTTTGGTGCGCATTGGCCCCCCTTCCTTTTACGCAAAATGTGAAATATGACTGAAGTTTGTAGACCTTCCTGGGGCTACAATTTTTGTTCGATTCATGAGACGAAACTTAAACTATGTGTGAAGGATCAAAAGTTCTTGGATAAGTTGTACTTTGGTACGCAGCAGACCTTGCATTCTAGAGTTATAGCCCCTGCTACATTTGTTGCCCCATTCTGATGAAACTTCACAAATATGTTAAGAATCAAAAGATCTTGAATGAGAGGATGATCCCTATTTACCTCTTTTCGTTATGGGAGGTTGTCGAGTTCTCATTTTGAAATATAGACAGTAATTACAGCGATTTTACATTTTCATTTCCCAAACATGCTTTTCTTGATGCAAGGGGTTCGCGCTTTCCCTGCACAATAGGTTGCTGCAGTAGCAGATTTCATTGATATGTTTATATGTTGAACAAAATACATAAACATTTTTATTTTACTTTCTCATATATTATACGCGCAATACATTTCTTTTGAGCGCAAAAACATTCGATTGTTGCGAACTTTATATACAACAGGAAAATCCCAAGTTTTGCTTAAAAAATAAAGTCAGAACTCCTGCTCCCTGGACACTATATGCTATTTAGATCATTTAGATATATTTAAAATGTGTTAATCAGAAAGGCTGATGACCCCATCCCCGTGATTGTTAATAGTCCACACATCAGGACTTGTAACGAGGTGGGGGACAGGGTCCTATCGCATAAAACAAAAATATTTTAACCTCCATCTGCTCGGCATCAAACAAATCTGCGGTTTCTAACCTAATCACCAACCTATTGCCAAAAATTACCTGAGTAAAAAAAATAACTTACCACTGCATTTGGGTGGTTTGTGGTCATAAGTCGCATTATCAGTACAGCGTAATTCCGATTTCCCATCTAACTTATAACCATCATCACATGTAAACGTACACTTTCCTCCTGCCTGTACAACATGTGTGTCACATGCTTTTCTACCATGAGCAGGTGTTTGGATATATTTACATTTTTTCACTAAAATATTAAATTTATGTTTAAATATTACTTTCATATTTTCAGTAAAATATGAAAGTAAAATAAAGGTTCAGAATTGTTTGACGGGTGATACAGTAACAGTGAATCCCTCTTGATTCATTAAAGATGCATATAATAGTTCAAAAATAGATAATGCAGAATGGATATATCGAAAATTAATATCATTCAAATTACTTTTTACTTAGCGAAGTTTTTACTGTTTGAAGTTTTGACAAGATGTGGCATAGATTGTTATTATCGTAGCAACAGTACTTGTTAATCGAAACTCAGCCTCGATTCACCATTTTTAAATTAAATCATTAAATACCGAAACAGTTGATTATAGGCTATGTATGTTAGTAAATGTCTAAATAATAATTCATATAACATTTGCAGAAATATAAGACCTGCAATAGACAGATTAAACTCTTACATAACGAATCTTTAAATTAACATCCCAGCCTTGTTAACAAAATGAACACAATAAAACATTTCTTTTGATATACATGTAGTAAAATAATACCTTTAACTTCAAATGATTTGTAACAATTTACTTGATATCCATTTTCATCTGTAGCAGAAAATATAATCATGTGCCGACCAGGACTAAATCTTGAGCCACTCTTGCCACCCGAACTTTTCACCCTGAAATAATAACTTAACGGGTATTATTTTTGAAAACAGAGACTGCTTTATGGTCTGAAAAATGATTATAAAGAACAATTCGATTAGTTAAATTTACAGTAGAGAAGTATCTTACTAACTCACGTTATGCCCTGTCCGTCTTCATTTACAGCTGATGGTTCAACCCAGGCTACTTCAGCACTGTCCTCCCCCGGCCGTACATAATGCTCTGTTGGAAAATCTGGACAAGTCATCTTTGGAGGCTTAGGTGGTGGCGGAGGGGGTCTGTCTGATTTATAAAAAAACAAACCAATGTGTATAAATGTTTATTTGTATTTTTTTTTAAATAATCACTGCAATAAAGAATTAACTAACTAAATTTTGTAGAACCCTTGGGAAATGCTCATTGTATTAATTTAACAATTAATCCAGGAAGTTATGGTCTGATATGCGCGAATCCAGATCTTTGGATATAAAATTATATATATTTGAAGATTCATCAAATTCGGAAAAAACTTGTGACCTCTAGAGGGTCCATAACATTGGTACTACATACTTTTATACTATTTGCGTTCAAGAAGCGGCCATTTTGTCGTGCATTTCCGGTCCGATTTTTACGAAATTCGAATTCAGCCATCATCAGGGTGTAACGATGGTATATTTAAACGATCTTTAATATCGGATAAAAATAATCCAAGGAGTTACGGTCTGATATGCGCGAATATCGACAGAAACCGAGAATTTTGAGATATTAACACATTTGGTCCTGCAGTTTCGGTTCGATTGTCACGAAATTCGAACTGAACCATCGATGTGGTGTAACGGTGATATAATTATTCGAACGTTTGTTAAATCGGATAAGAATTGTGACCTCTAGAGTAGAGGTACCACAAGCTAAAAACGCGATTTTCGTACAATCAGGACCCATAATCCAGGAAGTTACGGTCCGATATGCGCGAATATCGAAAGGAACCGAGATCTTTGGGTTATATGTGTTTCAAGTTTCATTAAAAATCGGATTGTCACCTCTTGGGTGTCTAAAAGCTAAAAACGTGATTTTTCGTATAATCAAGGACCATAACCCATGAAGTTACGGTCCGATACATGCCAACATCTAAGGAACAGAGGTGTTTTGGAGATAAACCTATATTTCAAGTTTCGTCAAAATCGTTTGAAAATTGTGACCTGATGAGTGTCCATAAACAAATTGTGGAAGGACAGGAGCTACGACAATATACGTACACATACGCGCATATTTTTGTTTACTCTACAACTACCATCATATAAATTGTGTGGTTATGCTGCTGATACAGCTTTGCTCAAATTTGGAATTAATGTTGTCTTATTTTTTTTTTCATAAGATACCATCAAAGATGTACCCACCTTGTTTACAAAAAAATTTGCAGATGGTATTAATCCCATTTATAAGTAGATTACCTATAATACCTACAGCACCAATTATCGCCGTAATACTTCTTTTTTCACGGAAAGCTGCAAACGGAAATAAAGGATGTCAATAAACTGTAAGAACTGTGCATCTTGGCTATATACGAAGAAATAGTTTAAGCAGTTTAACACAATTTTATTGAATGCAAGCCATCTTCAGAAATAAAAGTCTAATAGTAACTGTACTTGAACCGCACTACTCGCAAAGCAAAACAAATATCAAATCAAGCGAATGAACCAGGGAACAGACATAAGCGTTTAACAGAACACAGGCTTCACTCACTCAAAATGGAATAAAATGATTTAACAAGAAAGAAGTAACGCGGTCTTGGCGATGGTCGTCTACTGAATGACGATAGCCTATCAGTTGACGTCATAAGTGAGAAAGAAAAATTTAACTATAATAAGGGCGATAAACCGGATAGTATTTTGGGAAACTGTAATTAATAAACAGCCTGTATTTCATATTTTTGTATCATGTGTTTTATGCGAACAAGTTACTGACATAATGATTCACAAAAGCAAGTGTACCTACGCCTCAAAATTTCTCAGGTCTAAGAATCATTTTATTGGAATCTGCTGGATACCCTAAACATACTTCTGCTATTAATACAAAATAAGAAACTGTTTGATATAGATTAGCGGTTCTTCTGGATTCCGCTATTTCAGAATGGCGTTTGTATTTCAACCAAAAATTTTGATTTCAGCAATGTGGACTAGCAGAAAACGGGTTAAGGGAAGTAAAATGCCCTCTTCATTTCGGCTGTATAATCACTTTGTGTTTGAAGAATTTAAAAATAAATTATCTATTCTCCCACCACTTAAACACACTGATTACGAGATATGGCTCTCCGAAACTTCCTTAAGACCGCCATTTTAAATTATGTTAAGTGTGTCATTTTGCCTTGGCCGAATTCGGCCAAATTTGAGTATGATGTTGTCTGACATATGGAAAGAGCAAAACGGTTAAAACACAAAGTTTCAACATTAGAATGAGTTATGAATTTTGATACAGCTGTAGTTACTGCGAAATTAGCCTCAGTGGCGTCAGTGTTCCCTGCATTGTAATTCTTACCTATATCGCAATCAGTTTGATGCCAGTTATTCTTAATACAGCTAAAACACGTTTTATTTTTAGCTATTACAGCACAAACAGATAGAGATGGATAATATGTGTGATTCTCATATACTTCATGTTGTTTACCAGGTGGTAATCTACACCATTCAATATCATCTCGGTTAATATTACCATTCATGTCAGTATTACACCCGTGTTCTCCTGTGGTTTCTAACAACTGGAATTAAAGATGTAGAATCAAAATCAAGACTGATATGCTGCTTCTGTGAAGTCTTTAACACGAAGACTTGGCGTTCCGCTCAACGATGTTGAACTAGGAACTGCATACAAATTCGCAAATGAAACTGGAGCATTGACGATTTGATCATGTTTGCCGTTTGTCCTCGAGCACTGATTGGCTAATGCAAATCGTTCGTGCGAACTGTTCCCAAATTATCTCCGTAGGTAATCTTCGCGGTTTTCCTCGAAAACAAAAATTCGGCCGCGTTCACGTTCGCGGTTAGTATAAATAGTAGTTAAGCAATCAAATAAATCATTGTGACTATATATATAATTTGAAACAGGGGCGGATTCAGGAATTTTTGTAGGAGGGGGTTTGGACGGTATCTGAGACAATGTTTCTTGGGTGGGGGGTGGGGGGGGGGTCTCTATCGTCATTTTGGCGTATATACATACACACTGAGCTTTATAAAGAGAGAAATCTAACACCCCGTTTGACGTCAATTTTTTTTATGAATTGATACGATGACATTGTAATTCAATTTCATTGATGCAAAGCATTAATTGTGATATCACATATGCCTATATCGTTATCTCACGCTCTGAATGCCCATCCCATCCCACCATCTGACGATAAAGGATAAAGCACACGACCGTGACACTGATTCCGACCCTGCGAAAGTAGCATCAACACCGCTGTGTGCTTTTTCATTGAACTGTATTGATTGTAGGCTACTCTTTCGCTGCTGTGTGCGATGCATGTTAGTTTTAGCTGTATGTTTCATTATAGCATCTTATAACATAATTTATTTTCAGTTTAAATAAAAAGGTTGCGGAAATTAAAACTATTAACTAATGGCCTGCTTAGATAATTGAACGCGGTTTGGAGAATTGGACAGGCGATTGTACTCCCCGTGTCGTACAAACTGGGAAACCACACAACTTGACTCAATGGCAGACCTTATGATCTAAAGCACACGCGTTAGACCTAATCGACCGCAAAACAAACTCGCCCCGTGTATAAATAACACATTTTGCGGTTATGCCTGTATATACATATTTTCGTCGAAAACGTTTAATCGAAAATTATGTCATATTTAATGAACATCGATTAGTTGTAATATCTGTGTATTATGTAAACTAGTGTACTATTATCATTCCCTTACTTACCACTAAAGGCATGACGTCTCTTGATGTAAGTGAAGTACAGGTTCCAACAATCAGACAACTTAATACCATTGACAACAACATAATGACTTTCATATTCGTTTTCTGTCAAACATTCTGGAATGGAATAGTGTTTAACGCATGCATCTATGAAACAAGCGATTGCCATGCAAGATACGACCACATTTTGCAAGAGATGGACACGGGACAAGCTAAAAAAGGCGATTTTTCTTACAATCAGGGGTCACTATGTTACTGTCCGACATACGACAATATCAAAAAGAACCAAGATCTTTGTGATATAAAATTATCTTTTAAGTTTCATCAAAATCGGATAAAAAATTGTGACCTTTAGAGGCTCCACAAGCTAAAAATCAGGGGCCATAATCCAGGAAGTTAGGGCCCAATCTGCGCGAATATCGAAAGGAACCGATATCTTTGGAAAATTGGATAAAAATTGTGACCACAATCTTGGTATTACATACTTTTACACTATTTGCGTACGAGGAGCGGCCATTTGGTCGGGCAGTTTCGATCCGATTTTCACGAAATTCGAACTTAACCATCATTAGTGTGTAATGGTTTTTAAAAGCGGATAAAAATTGTGACCTCTTGAGGATCCACAAGCTAAAAACGCGATTTTTCGTACAATCAGGGGCCATAAGCCAGAAAGTTACGGTCCGATATTCGTTTCTTTCATCAAAATCGGATAAAAATTGTCACTTATGCGCTAAAAACGTGATTTTTCGTACAATCAGGGGTCACAATCCATGAAGTTACGTCCGATACATACTAACATCGAAAGCAACCATGTTCTTTTGGACATAAAACCCATATATTAAGTTTCGTCAAAATCGGATAAAAATTGTGACCCATAGAGTGTCCACAAACAAATCTAGGACGAACAGAACGCGGCGAAGGGGTGGGGTGTAGTTTAGAGAAAGCCTGCACAGGTGGACAGCGATTTTACCGACCATACCTCGTTTGGTTTGGGTCTTCTTGCGGCAGCTTTCTACTAAACCTCACTGGGGTGCCGTTAGAAAATCTTGCCTCTCCCTCCCCCCAACCATGCTAGATCCGTCCCACCACGCCAGTTGTGCATCAATCAAACAAGCGCCTAATTTAACGTCTGGTATTTGTACGTTTCATTTTGATATCAACTGGGCATTCTTAGTTTCGTGTACATGGAGAATCTCCTACCAGTCTGTTTTGATATCAAAAAATATCAACACAAGTTGATAAAGTAACAAAAAACGAGGCTCATGTAAAGCGATATGATTATGAAATAAAAAAAATTATATCACACAAGCGATATCTACTGTAGAATGTATTATTGGGTGATAAAAGTTAACAACAGCGGTTGTTGTTTATACATGCACAGCAGAGAAGTTTGACCGAGTACAATGTAGAATTTACAATTAATACATAATATATCTTGTCGTTTCGAAATTGTATATTTGTATGTTTAGAATATATTTTAATGTATAGTACACAAGTTTTTGAATATTTGCCATTAACGTCCTACTATTCTGCTCCAACTGGGCTATTGAAGATGGGCATACCGACATTGAAACACTAACAAACGTATTTTGTAATATTGACATTATCATAAAGACATTGTTTGTAATGTGGGCACATTTGTCCACGTTTTCCATCAATAAGTATAAAATATGTATGTTGGTAATGCCTTTTGATTGTTCAAAAAAAAAATTCCTCTCGGTTGATTAAATCTTTTAATGTATATTAGTATTAATATTATTGTTATTGCCAATTATATAAGTATTAATATTGCGATATATAATATTAGTATATATTAATATTATCATTTTTGCGATATATTAGTATTAATAGTAAGGTTATTACCATATATTCGTTTTAATATTATTGTTATTGCGATACATATTAGTATTATTTAAAACACATTAAACAATAATTTGCATCAATTTGCTCAAATATACTTTATTTATTTTATGATCAGTAGTGGAATACCGCGTTTTATCAGTGAAATAAGAGTGTTATTCCACTGGCTAAAGTAGTCCATGTTGTTTTTACCTAGAATGATTGTAAAATCATAAAATAAATGGAACATTTGTCGTTTTGTCGTGAATAACATATTTTATTTCATCTCTAAGCAAGAAAACGTTTATATTTTCACTCATGCTACGCATTCGTGAAAATATAAGTTTTCTTGCTTCTCGATGAAATAAAATATGTTATTCACTCTAAAACGACAAATATCCTCTATGTACTTACCAGTACTAGTCTCTCTATCCTATTTGTTGAAAAGCGCTTTGAGGACAGTTTAACTGAATATTTGCTTCCTGGTAGCTTATAATCTAAAAGCAAACCTTAAAGAGACATGCGGCTTATTAAAGAAATATATATATATTCCTAGCAATATTTTCTAATATTACAAAGCCCCCAAATAACAACAATAGTGATATTAACCCAGTGGCTGCCAGGCAAGTTACGGCCACATTTTGCAAGAGATGGATAGAGAACAAGCTAAACAAAAGGCGATTTTTCGAACAATCAAGGGCCATTATTCAGGAAGTTACGATCCAATATGCGCGAATATCGACAGGAACCAAGATCTTTTGATTATAAAGATATATTTTAAGTTTCAACAAAATGGGAGCAAAATTGTGACTTCTAGAGGGTCCACAACCTTGATACACCATATATTTACACTATTTGCGTACGAGGGGTGGCCATTTTGTCCGGCAGTTTTGTTCCGAATTTCACGAATTTCAAACTCAACCATCATTAGAGTGTAATCAATCCTTCGAAAACAAAAACAATGCTGATTTCATCAAAACACAAAAGAAATCAGAAAAACCTAACTTTATTACTCCATGGTGTAAAAATTGTGAAGGTTACTACCGCCAAAATTACTTGGAATTCAAATTGACCAAGACCTTAATTGGGAAGCACAGATAGCAGATATGTTTAAAAAAAACTTGCACCAAAAATATTTCTCCTAAATTTCGATAAAAGATCATTTACCTTAGGAGACAAGAATTTTGTTTTATAACAGTTACATACTACCAATATTTGATTATTGCTCTATTATTTGGGGAAATGCTACCAAAAGTAGATTAGACATTCTTTTAAAATTACAAAAGAGGGCAGCAAGAACTATTCTTGATGCACCGATTGAAACTCCGACCACCTCTTTATTTACTAAATTCGGTTGGCTTACCCTTACACAGAGGATTCTTTACAATAAAATTGTCTTATCATTCAAAATTATTACATTTAATACTCCACTTTATCTAAATTCCGATTTTATTGAAAAATCTCTTGTTTCCAAAACGGATATCCGTTCACAGACCAGTAAATCTCTTTTTCTTCAAAAATGCAAAACGGAATCCATGAAACGTACTTTTCATTATTCTACATGTCTTTTATGGAACAATCTGCCTTTTGATATAAAGATGTGTAAAAATGTTGAAAATTTTAAGATAAAACTGAAAACTCATTTATTTTGCACACTGAAGGAACCATAATATTCAACTGATGACATACTTATTATTTTTAACTTGCAACTGCATTCTATTTTATTTTGTGTGTAATTATAGTGTTCTTCCTATATTCTACTTGTATAATGTATATGTTTTGTAGTTTGGGAGTTTGGGAGTGACTTATCAAACTTACCACTTTAAAATGCTATTGCATTTCTAATGATTTTAAATTCATCCTGATATTACATGTATATATATCTTTGTAGCTTAGGAGGGACCTATGGAAGATTAGTTGGGTTTTTTGGGGGGGGTTTTGCAAACTAAATACGTTGCCTCATTAAATAAAGTTTTTATTATTATTATTATTATTATTATTATTATACTAAAACGTTTTTTTTTTAAATCAGATAATAATTGTGACCTCTAAAGGGACCACAAGCTAAAAACGCAGTTGTTCATACAATCAGGGGCCACAATTCAGGAAATTACAAATTGATATGCGCGAATATCGAAAAGAACCAAGATCTGTGGGTTATAAACATGCATTTCAAGTTTCATCAAAATCGGGTGAAAATTGTGACCTCTACTGGGTCCACAACCTTGATATACCATATTTTTACACTATTCGCGTACGAGCGGCGGCCATTTTGTTCAGCAATTTTGGTCCGATTTTCACGAAATTTGAACTCAACATTCATTACGGTGTAACGGTGATATAATCAAACGGTTTTTTTTAAATTGGATAATAGTTGTGACCTCCAGAGGACCACAAGCTAAAAAAGGGGATTTTTCGTACAATCAGGGGCCATAATATTATTCAGGAAGTTACGATCCGATATGCACAAATATCGAAAGGAACCAAAATCTTTGGGTTATAAACATGCATGTCAAGTTTCATCAAAATCGGTATAAAATTGTGACCTCTATAGGGTCCACAAACTAAAAACGTGATTTTTCGTACAATCAGGGGCCATAATCCATGAAGTTTCGATCCGATACATGCCAATATCGAAAGCAACCGAGATCTTTTGGAAATAAACCTATATTTCAGGGTTTCGTCAAAATAGGATAAGAATTGTGACCTGTAGAGTGTCCACAAACAACTGTGGACCGAAGGACGGACGGACGGACACGGGCGACGACAATATACGTCCACATGAAAATTTGGGCGTGAAAAAAAGGAACAGTGTCCGTTTGTATATTGTGTACTTGTTTTGAGTTGACTTCCCACCTTATTCAAAGGTAGCTCCAATGGTTCTTGCCGCAGAATTCGCGCATGTGTTGTTTAAACCGTAACTGAAAACCATGGCGAGATCTCGGTGAAATCCAGATAACCTGCTCGGTAGGTGTACGGACTTGATAAATGATAGTCTTGGAGCTTCGGGTTTGGACCTTCAATTATCTAATTGGTCAAATATGACATAATTAATTATAATGATTGGTTAATTAGCCTAATGACGTCGAAAACCACCCTTATATGGACAGTGGGGACTTGCTACCAGAATTAAATGTTTACCAAATTATAACTCCTTTTATGTCGAAATCCGTCACTCATGATTTCTATACAATATGTGTATGTGAACCCAACAATTATTTAAAGATATGGGGGGCGAAGGGGATGACCGAATGGTTAGCATGTGCGCGCTGTATCATAACGTCTGTTATTGAGTTAGCTGGCGTGGTTTCGGTTCCCTGGTTGTACGTGACAAGGAGTAGGGTCGTCTGTTTTCTCTGTCCTCCGGTTTCCTCCCACTGGCAAAGACCCCTACGCGCAAGCGAATTGTTGAAATAAAATTGAACCGTGTTAGTCCCCAAATGACCTAGTTTGTGCCGAGTGGACGTTACCCCCCCCCCCACACACACACACACACACGCACACACACACACACTCACCTACACACACCCTCTCTCTATCTCTCTCTCTACCATCAATTTAAAGAGCAAAAATTCTATCAATTTTACTACATTTTACTCGTCTGCCCGAAAGATAAGATTGCTCGACATTTGTTGATAATCAACAAACGTACATATACTAGCAACTAATTTGAATACGGGGTCTAGTAAATCCTGGTAGCGATAGAATATATCGAAGGATGTTGGTATCAAGGCTACCAAGAACGTGGTGAATAATGGGGTGACGCATCTGCCTTACTATTGGAGATCATGCAGGGGCTCTTGCACTGATGTAAACGGGGCCCTTGACTGAAGTCAAGGGGGGCCTTGCACTCAAGTCAAGAGGACCCCTTTTCTCCGATTCAGGGACCCCCTCCATTGCATAGGGGACCCCTGTCATAGGGGTTCATATCAAGTTTTCTCCCCGGATTCGGCGTTTTCTTTCATTTTTGTTTTTGGAGATTTTAACAAAAGAAATCCGGTCGGAGGCCCTCAATCAAAAACAACATAAAATGGGGATTAGCTTCTACACAAACAGAGGGAAATTGTACCCTGACAGTGGGCTACAGCCTAGTTTGATATGATTTACAAGGATCGGGGGATCTTTAACGTGCTGGCAATCATTGTCCGGTTTGAACGAACGGACGACGTTCCTTTCGGACACACTGACAAGGGTAGACCATGATACCGTACTCTCAGAGCCACAGTGGGTATCCCACATTTGTATAGATCGGCGCAGTACGAATTCTTCGAAGAGTATGCGTTGAACATCTTAAAGCCCGCTGCCTGCTGTACGACTCTAATAGTAATTTGAGATGGTTATATGGTTAGATTGGGATGTTCATTTAAATGTGCTTGGGCAAAGCATTTTGGACGGGCGTTCGCTGAAGTTGACAACCAATATAAATTGTCAATAAAACGTTTGTTCTTCTGAATGGATTGGTGGATTGCATCAAATTATGCACACATCTAATTTGAACCAATAATAAATAGTTGTACCTATGCAGTGAAGAGTTTCTCTTTAAAACAATTTCAGATGATCGTTACAGGTAAGTTATGTGGTTTATGATTTCACAATTCCTAAAAAAAATATAACAGGATTTGTCGCATATTATGTACATATAATATAGCCCGAAATGTATACATAGATAAATTTACTGGTCTATAATATTATATGACTGAGTGCAATCAGGAAACTCGTCAGTTCCTTCCTTTTCAAAAAATTCTTTGATAATGTAGTATGATGGTATAACCACTCACATAAGAATATCCTGTTTCTAAACAGTTATATTATACAGATAGATATGAAATGATTGTTTGTTTGAAAACATAGGCCCTATTGCGAGTTAATCGGATTCTATGTATGTTTAAATGAAAAATTACTGATAATCCCGGCGTCTTGGTTTGGCTCGTAGTTACAAACTAGAAGATCTAAACCTCGCTTTGTTTGCAAGTAAATTAAATGAAATGAATGGGGTGTTAAGGCCTACTCTTCAGCTCCGACCGGGATAAGGAAGACTGGCCTACGCAATGCAATATGTGGTGGGGGTTATTTTGTCTGGACAATGTCGATACCCCCTACATTTTCTTTTCGAATTCCAGCTGTGAAGGGTTCTTTTACGTCCCATTCGAACGACTATTCGCAAATAGTATATTGTCAGTGCTGCAGGACGGATCAGCTAAGCACGTGAACAAACCCGTTTCACGGAAACTACGCGGAATTCTAACGATGCCGCTTTCCCGTTAACAGGGACGAACCATACTTATGAAATATATTCGGAAATGAAAAGATATGGGGTTTAACGTCCTACTGTTCTGCTGCTAAACTGGGCTAATGAAACGGGCATACGCCATCCAGTGTGCTATGAGGGAAATTTTGCCCGGGCAGCGGCACTATCGCCTACTCTTATATCGAATTCCAACTGCCAAGTGATCTTTTACGTGCATTCCAACGTATACACGGGACCTGGGTTTTTCGTCTCATCCGAAGGACTAGACAGCTGTCCTTGTCAGGCCATCCGTCCTGCATCACCGACAAGTGGGGGGGGGGCACGCCGGAAAATCTGGATGAACTTTCTCAGCCAATGCAGGGATCGAACACTAATATATTCGGATATCAAGTAAGTAAACAAGATTGTTATATTACTTGTTATACTCCTATGGTTCATGTACTAAGTACTAGAAATGAAATGAAATGAGGATTAACGTCTGTACCGACAGGGCTAATGAAGACGGGCATATACTCCATACGTGTAATGGGCGATGAGGGCTACTGTCTGCCCACGTACACGGAACCTCTTTTTTTGTCCCATCCGAACGACTAGACGCCCTCTGTCCTGCACATTGCACAAGAGGAAACTACATTGGAAAATCATGCAGAACTTTTTCGGTCAACACCGGGATCGAACCCCGGACCTTCTGTTAGCGAGCCAGCCCCTTACCCACCGCCGTATAGTCTTTTGGATGTGACGAAAAACCGAGGTCCCGTGAAATATCCCTTGGCAGTTGGAATTAGATATAAAAATAGGTCATACTTTTATACTATTTGCGTACAAGGAGCGGCCGTTTTGTCAGGAAGTTTCGGTCCGATTTTCGAACTCAACCGTCATTAGGGTGTGAAATGATACATTTAAATACTTTTAAAATCGGATAAAAATTGTGACCTCTAGAGGGGCCACAAGCTAAAAACGTGATTTTTCGTACAATCAGGGTCCATAATCCAGGAAATTACTGTCCGATATGTGAAAATATCGAAAGGAACCAAGATCTTTGGATTATAATCATACATTTCTAGAGTGTTCACAACCTTGGTATTACATACTTTTAGACTATTTGCGTACAAGGGGCGACCATTTTGTCTGGCAGTTTGCGTCAGATTTTTAAGACATTTGAACTCAACCATCATTGATGTGTAAAGGTGATATATTCAAATGTCCATCAGTAACTTTAAAAAAAAAACATTAAAAATATCAACAGTGAAAATCTTACAGAGGTGGGAACTTGAATCCGACTTAAGACTCATCAAAAACCCGACATGTCCACAAGTTAAAAACGAGATTTTTCGTACAATCATCCGATATATGCCAATTTTGAAACGCACCGGGATCTTTTGGAGATAAACGTATCTTGCACGAGACCATTACACAACTTAAAATACAGACAATATGCAGTACGTGCACTTCAAAGAAATACGTCACGCGGGTCAAATATTTCCAATGTTACAACGAGTATAAATAATGTATGAATGGCACGTTGCCCGTACCATAATTTGAAATATTGGTATACTAACATCAAAGGGTGACGTCACATCTGTATCTCAAAAACAGTTTAACATTATAGTTATAAAGAATGTTACAGTCATAAGTAGTGACAGAAATGTTAACATTGTATAGGAGACACTATTACGTTTTAACTTACAGTAAAAAAAACTGCATAATATCCAAATACAAACCTTCTGTATTGATCCAAGTTCGATATAATAGCTAATTACTTTCCTTTCGAGAAAAATACAAAAGCCAATTCAACGATAAAGAAATTGTATGGTTAATTGTCCATATATAATACTGGGTGTTTCTGTCTGTCCCAGATTTTTAGTTCTGGACATCCTATAGGTTCGGTTTTGAGTAAACGTCAAAGGATTAACACTTCAATATTGAAAATTATTGTTAAATTTATAGCTATTTCCATGGATAGCAGAAATGAACAAGCTGTCGACAAGGTTAGTTCACATATTCACGTTTTTCGCCCTGTCCGATCACACATATAAAATAACGGAGTGTCCATACGTTATTGACTTGTGATCTTTAAAAGTTCTCACATGTATTAATTAGTTTCTTCGGTTCACAATGTACCTCGAGGAGGACTAGTTCCCTTCCCTGTCAGACTGGAAGGGGATGTTAGTACAAACAGTTAAACTCTACAAGGACTGCGACGAGAAACAATAAAGAACGGTGTATATACGGTATACTCTGTGTGTTTCTGGCTATCTGTGTCTACGGTTATATTTTTAAAAAATCAAATATTTTTCATATATATTTAGCCAGGTGTGCCGCTATTCTTTCATGTGTTCCAATGTGTGCTGTTGGCGAAAGAAGTTTGAGAACCACTGATGTAGGCAGTGTTATTGGTATTTAAGGAGAATATTTGCAATTTCTTTTTGTAGGGACAATTAATGCCATGCGTTAAATATTTTAATTATGATATCTAAAATTCGCATTACATGATCATTGTAACCCATGTCACAATTATATGGAATACAAGTTAAGTAGAAGTCTATCACTGGCTTGTATTCCATGTGTCATGTGTTATTTTATTCAGTTACTGAATTCCACCTAAATAACTGATCTTGTGTATTATATTCGTACATTAGATGTACGCACCTATTTTACCTCAATGTGTAATTCCCAACTGAAGTTTATTTCGTATCCAAAGTACATGTTTGGAAAGAAAATTGAATTATTTGAATGTACACATAAAAGTTATGTCTGTCTGGGTTGACAAATAAACCCTACAAATTAAAATGCAGGCGCACTCTACTTTTGTCTATTTTGGTTTGTATTATATGAACGCACACTAACAAATGTGCCAGACTACTACTACAATAACGTTCTTTCAGGTCCCTTGTATGTAGTCGATATTTTACTTTTACCATGGGGCTTTGTGCTTGATCTTGGTCTCCTGATCCCGCCTGTTCATTTACCCTGGACGTCGAGCAGCGACTCATTTCTAATTCCAGGCACTACTTTTCAGCGACAGCCCATAGGGAGAATGACGATATTTTTTCACCCCTTTAAAACGGCTGCGTATTGAGGACAGTAAGTTATGATTACGAAAGAAAAGTTCAACCTGTAACTAGAAAAGTAGAATAACATGGATCAACCGGGTATGGAATGCACATTTCTGTCCACGATTTTTATACGCCAACATTTTGATGTGGACGTATATTGTCGTCGCCCCTGTCCGTCCGTCCGTCCACAATTGTTTGTGGACACTCTACAGGTCACAATTTTTATCCGATTTCAACGAAACTTGAAATATAGGTTTATCTCCCTAAGATCTCGGTTACTTTCGATATTGGCATGTATCGGCCCGTAACTTCATGGATTATGGCCCCTGATTGTACGAAAAATCGTGTTTTTAGCTTGTGGATCTTCTAGAGGTCACAATTTTGATCCGATTTTGATGAAACTTGAAATATATATTTATAACCAAAAGATCTTGTTTCCTTTCGATATTTGCGCATATCGGACCGTAACTTCTTGCTTAAGTTCGAATTTCGTGTAAATCGGACCAAAACTGACGGACAAAATAGCCGCCCCTCGTACGCCAATATTGTAAAAAAAATATGGTATATCAAGGTTGTAGACTCTTTAGAGGTCACAATTTTCACCCGATTTTGATGAATCTTGAAATACAGGTTTATAACCCAAAGATCTTGGTTCCTTTCGATATTCGCGCATATCGGACAGTAACTTCCTGAATTATGGCCCTTGATTTTTCGAAAAATCAGTGATCACTTCCGTTTTGTTAATCGCGAAATCCTGAAACAAGACTGGCAGAATCTCCATGATCATTATGAGTTCTATACTGGAAAAACATCACCTGTAGACCAATCAACGCCCAAGAAACAAGTTCGTGTGGACTTTGAGAATCTTCAGCGCTTCTATTCGTCGAGTAAACCTGAAAAAGATTTTATAATATCGGTAATACCCGGCTTTCGCGTGGGCTACAATTGCTAAGAATCGACCCAAATCCAAACTTTTTCCGATTCGTAGATAAATCGTGCACGCTTCTTGAAGTTTGTAAGTGATTTTTGAAACAAAACCCTTTGTGGCCCTATAGGCTACGAATGCTACGAATCGTCCAGAATTTAAACTTTTTCCGATTTCCTGAGTGATTCTTATTTGATTCGTACACATTCGTAGCAGTTCTGGATTCTCTTATTTTGCCGAATCGCGTCAAATTTCGATTCACCACTTTTCCGAGCGATTCGTATCATTCGTAGATCACGTGAAAGCCGGGCATAAAAAGTTTTGCCGATACTGATGCTTTTATCTTTTAAAAATTAAACACTTCAAGAGAAATAAAGGATACTCTTTTTACCGTACGCTCTTTATCCTCTCCACACATTGGATCCATTTTAAATGTAACTCTTTCAAAAAAATATCTGTCGACAGAGTTTTTTTTTTATTGTATCTCATTCATTTTCTTTTGTTTTATATAGCCATCGACTAGATTTCGAATTTCAATCAAAGATCACAACGGTGGCTCTTCATATGGCGACCACAACCTCTTCACTGCACCAGACAGCACCGAATCCTTCAATTTAGGCAGCAGCATTGAAGAGAAAACGAAGTCTGGCGGACCGTCAAAATCCTGTATGTTTGCACATTGTTTGTTGGCACTGTTACTTTTTCTAGCTCTACCAAGTAAGCTACATGTTTCATATCTATATCTCTACATTCGCTCTGAATTACGTGAATGATGAATCTGAATATTTATTTTGTAAATATATCGCTTTCTGTATTTCATTTGACTTGACTATATTTTCGAGTTTGTTTATTAGACCGTGTTAGACTGAATCGGATCGGGTTTCCAAGGTTGACTGATAAACGAATAATGAGATTAATTTTGAAATAACCAAATTTGAATTTCGTGTCGTTTTTATTTTGTCAATTGGATTGTAGTTTCTAAGACGTCTGTATTATATGTTTTCTTTACAGATTCCTCCGAAGCAAGTGAAGGTAATCTTTTCAGAATTACAATTTTGTTTTTTTATGATATGGTGTCCGCCAATCCGTTAACTTTAATGGTGCGCGACCATTAAATATTAAATCAAATGTCAGATTATTTGCCGATGATACCTCGCTCTTCCTCAAAATCGATGACCCGATTGCAAGCGCCAATACTCTTAATACTGATCTCGAAACTATTAATGATTGGGCTAAAACCTGGCTGGTTACCTTTAATCCCCTTAAAACTGAAACTTTGACGATCAGCACTAAAACGAAAATTACTAAGCCACCACTAATTTTTAATTCTGTAAAAATAAATGAAGTTTCTTTCCATAAACATTTGGGCCTTACATTTCAAAATAACGGCAAATGGGATGTCCACATAGGAAATTTATGCAAAAAAGTATCAAAACTAGTAAACTGTTTGAGGTCTCTAAAATATCGCTTGAAACGCAGATCCTTACTGACTATCTATATCGCTTACATTCTGCCTCACTTCGACTACGCGGATATCGTTTGGGATGGGTGTTCGGAACTACTAACAAATCAACTTGAGCACTTGCAACTGGACGCACTACGCACAATCTGCGGAGCGGTTAAAGGTACGAGCCACGATTCTCTTTACAAAGAGACCGGTTTCATTCCTCTAAAAGAACGTCGACGAAGACACAAACTTATTCTTGTTTATAAAATCTTCAATAATACTACACCAAATTATCTTTCTACACTATTTCCACTCCCTAGAAAATCTTCGTACAATTTTAGAAATATAAATGATTTCACTGAATATCGGTGTAGAACGAAAATATTTTCCAACTCATTTGTACCATCCGCAATAAAGGAATGGAACCGGTTAGACCAGTCAACAAAACGTGCAACAAGTCTCTCTTCTTTTAAACAGAAGCTCTCCGAACATGACTCTAAACCCCCAAAACATTTCTACATTGGCTCTAGGAAAACTGAAATTATCCACAGCAAACTACGACTCTCATGCAGTGACTTAAATGGTCACCTGTTTTTTAGACACATCTCTGAAAATCCAGCTTGCAATTGTGGTCACCTTTTCGAGGATAGCGAACACTATCTTTTACACTGTCCAAACTTCAATACTTCTCGACGAAAAACCATTTCTACATTACCTGATGAGTATAAGAACAGCATAACTCTACTCTATGGCTTGCATGACTCCACAAACGAAATTAATAACCTTATCTTTACAACAGTTCAATCATACTTCAATTTATCTAAACGATTTTAAACTATTATTGTTGTTGTTATTATTATTATTAATATTATTATTATTATTACATACTATAATACTCTAGGTGTACTCAACTAAGTAAGGGTTGTATATATTGTATATACTGCTTTTCATTATTAGTATATAATTTGTATTGTAAATAGGGATAGGGGTCTGACATAGGCATTTTGCCTGTTCCCCAATTTCCCATTCATTTATAGTGAATAAAATATGTTTATAAAAAAAAAAAATGGTGCGCGACTTTATAAAACCAACAAGTCACTTCGTGGATTACCTTGAAGCTTTGCATAATTATTTTGAGTGTTCCATTATGTGTTATGCAGTTTATTAACTTGTGAACATTTGTAAAGTTGAAATCTATGAGTAATTGTAAAATCAAGACCTCTTACTCTCGTCGCGATAATTAATGCTTGTTTCATAACTTTTATCATACCAATGCTAGATAATGTCACTGCTTGGATCCAATCGAAATTAAACAAGGCCTGCCAATAAATTTTCAAAAACAACAAAATGGTGGCGGGTTTGTTGCATAGTTAGCAGCAAAGGTAGATGAAATTTCAATTCCGCACAATATCTTTTATATATACTGAACAGAATTGAACCATTTTTGGACTGATATTGTAGTTTTGTGGCACTAAAATGACGCATCGTGAAATTTAACAATTCAATTAACTCAATTTTTTGTTCATGTTTTAGTTCTACCAAGATTAGAAATACCAAGATATTTACTAGAGGGGGTACAATCTGAGACATTTTCTTGCAACAGTAAAGCAGGTAGTCAAGTCAGTTGGTCTATAGAGTATAATAATGGTACAACTATTTCACCATACAATGTTAACCATCAAACAGTGGAAACATCAGAGGGATTTCAATGTATTCATCAACGGTCATCATTTACTAAAACATTTGATATTGATTTAAATGACACAACTTTATGTTGTAATGTGAAATATGAAAACCAAACTCAGTTACAAGCCTGTGAACAGCTATACATTTTAGAAAGTAAGTCCGTCTTTAATCGTTTATATCAAATTTTCATCAAATATGTGTACTGTGTATATAGTCCAGTCAATCTAGCTGAAAAAAGGGCCCAGCCCAAAACAAATTACAACAGAATTTCTTTTGATGGTATGCATTTCATTAAGGTTCCCAGCACGTCATACTAAAAATGTTCCAAAATATTTTGGGTGGAAATTGTATCTAAACCCATGTTTTCGTGGCCAGGGAAGTAAATAAACACATTTAGCACATAGTCACTTTATAACATAATGCACAATATGCAAATTAACAGCCGACATCAGTGAAAAACTTATTTTTTCCCTAAATCTAAAACTCTTTGACTTAGCTCCATGAAACCAGATCCTACACCCATAATTTCAGGATCAATGGTGTCAAAAACACTAGGAGAACAGAACAGTTATAGTACATAATACATGTATATAATAAATTAATATTAAAACGGATATTCGGGTTTTGTAAAATTCCAAAGACTCATCATAAATCTTTATCTAAAACTTACAAAATGCATCTCAAGCAAAAGTAAAAGGACATTGCATAAACGCTTTTATCTTTTTCACTCTAAATGGAATTAACTATTTTTACTGTACATGTTTGCTGGATTAAAGTTTGCCAATTCCGAGCTATGTATGGGTTAAGACTTGAACATCTGATATTCGATATTGATGAAATTTTTTTAGACTTTATAGAATTTAAATCTAAAACAAAACCCTATTGAATTAAATAGACAATAATAATAATAATCCATGTTAACATATCAATTTCAGGTGACTATTGTAAAGATAAGCGGTTTGGTTTTAAAGATTATCCGTATGATGATTGTTTTCTTCGTGTTTTTTGTCTCTTTGGAACTCAATTAATTGATAATACATGTGAAGAATCGAATAGATGTTTTAATAAAGAAACACAGTTATGTGATATCGTTCCACGTAAGTATTCTTTGGTGTTTTTAGATTTCCGCCTCAGCTGTCTACAACATAACAGTTTTCCGAAATTTTCTATGTAATACTCCAAGTCATGGTTGACGCACTTTTCGAGTTAAGTCCGACCCAAGGCGTGTTGATTAACTGATTTGGGTTGTTTATGATTCAAATTTTATTGCTATATATATATACAAGTTCTCTTGTAAGAAAAAAATGCTACCTATGGGGGTGGAGGACAGACTGAAGTTTGTTAAAAATATTATCACCATTTTGACTGCATTAATCCATGAGTATATAGTTAGGTTTGTAAATTATAAGTTCATTAGAAAATGATGGAGAATTATATCTGAGCAATAAGTTACATGTATTAATTGAGATGACAATATTATAATACTGTTTCTAGTGATTTAGCTAAAACTGATTACATTTTCTGATTTCAGCCCAAGGTGTTGGAGATCCGTACTCATGTTCACTAAAACCAGATGGATTCTATATACCAATTAAAGATAAATGTCGACAATACGCTGTATGTCAATCGAAACTAAAGTTTAATCTTTATTGTCCTTTCGGGCACTATTTTACAAATAACCAAACATCCCGTTGTTCTACAGACTTATCAAAAGCTTCAGAACCTTGTTTGTAATCATCAATTTTATTATTATTATTATTATCATTATTTAATGAGAGAGAGAGAGAGAGAGAGAGAGAGAGAGCTTTCTTTTGTAATCAGTTTTTTATTATTATTATTCAGAATTTATATCCGTTGATTTTAAATGCTTCAAATCATTCTTAAAGCGATAAGTTGTTGTGTCCAGTTCAGTATACATTATTACATTATATATTTTTTTATTAATTTCCGTCTTAGTCCGGACTTTTTTCCGTATGCAAACGAGCTTCGCCGTAGATCCCATATAAGGTATACGTTCTAATATGCTATTTAGTGATTACATTAAAAAACACAACATCGTGCTATATAAACCAGTGATTGTTTTCCATATAAATTGTGTTGTGTTTTTTTAAAACAAACCCATCTTTGTACATTATGTAGTTTGTTGTTGTTTAAAGAATTATTTATTGTTAATCAAGACGTATGACGTGTATATTCGAGCTTTATAAATTTTAAATCCAAATTTTGGTAATTTGTAATCGCTTTCAATTAAAATGTATGTAATAGTAACTTATAGCAAAAATTTTAGTAATGTAAATATTGTATTATCATAGTATATACATGTAGATAAATAAAAAATACTTGTATACTTTGATATAATATCACGCCTATAGGTCACAGTTTTTGTGAGCAATGCTGGTATTTAAGAGTTTTGTTTGACAGTAGCACTATCCCTGTCACTAAGTCAGAGAAGAACAGTATGGAAGTTAAACCCCATTTAATTTCATTTCATTCCCTGTTACTATCCCTGTCACTAAAAGAGTTATTGTAGGAACACAGTTTAGATAAGCTGACATGGGACAAATTGTTCAATTTTATTTCAATAACTTGCTGTGCGTATGGGCTTTAAACAGTGGGAAGAAACTAGAGGAACCGAAGAAAACCCAATGGACCCAATGACAGACCTATGATCTAAAGCGCACGCGTTATGAGACCAACCAAGCCCCCGTGATAAGTAAAGAAATAGAAAAGTTCATATTATTTAGCATATTCCTGAAGCAATGACCCGAGAAATCCCTCTCTGGTCATTGCTGAGAGAGAGAAAGAGAGAGAGAGGGGGGGGGTAGAGAAATGGGTTTTAGCGTCCACCGGACACAAACTAGGTCATTTCGAGACTAACATATTCATCAACTTTGCTTTAATAATTCGCTTACGCGTAGGGGTCTTTAGCAGTGGGAGGAAACCGGAGGCCCGGGGGAAACCCACGAGGTTGGACAAGCCACCCTACTCCTTGTCACGCACAACCGCGGACTCGAAACCACGCCAGTAGACTCAGTGACAGACATTATGATACAACACGCTCGTGCGAACCATTCAGCCATCCAATACCCCCCACTCGGTCAATGCTGGATTGACTTCTGATACTTGAGCTTTTGCGGGAGTGTCTATTCTTCCCGTTCAATCAAATCTCTCTTAAGTACAGCAACATGACAGCCCTTCTTTTAATCTGGGGTCTTCCCTAAAACTTTGGACAGTGATTTAAGGTATTGAAAACGGCGAAAGTATTGTTCGTCTCCAAACAGTATTGTTTACATTGTAACAGTTTTGATAGCCTCGTTTGTGACCCAATTAGGTTTTCTGCAATATTTTACTATGCACTGGTTAATTGAGTCATGACGTAACGTTATGTAAACATATTAGGAGCTAATGATATTGTTACGCAGTTAGGTATTGGTTCTTAATCGGACTATTGACAAGTCATAATTTGGAACAGAAATTTGCTTTCATTACAGCAGTGTTTGAGTGGGATTGGTCGAATCAAACGAAACACTGCAAGGAGTATGATATTCAGTGGTGTAAAAAGAGTATAAAATAGATCTCATCGTGTTATTGATTAATAGTTAAAGAATTAACTAACCAGTAGTGTGAAATTTTCAACTGCAATAGTATGTGCCAATCTTCTCGGCACCCCAACCTTACCTAGTAATGTAGGGGCGTGTTCATGAATTTTAGCAGAGGATGGTCCGGGTTGACAACATAAAGAACCGGGATATTATCCGTGATTTGATCAAATCGGATGCTCTGACACATATTTGTCCATTTAGGTGCATACGGGTAAGGATTAGAGTGTAGTGGGGGCAAAACGTTCGTTTATTCGATGTTATTTAGATGAATGTAAGAGAAAACAAAATGCCCTGTTCGAGCATCTGATAGATCTAATAGACTGTTCTATACGACTCCGAGTCCATTGTGAAAATGAAATGAAATGAAATGGGGTTTAACGCCCTACTGTTCTGCTCCTAACCTGGGCTAATGAAGACGGGCATATGCCATACAGTGTGCTATGAGGGAAATTTTGCCCGGGCAGCGGCACTATCGCCTACTCTTATATCGAATTCCAACTGCCAAGGGATCTTTTACGTGCATTCCAATGTATACACGGGACCTCGGTTTTTCGTCTCATCCGAATGACTAGACAGCTGTCCTTGTCAGGCCCTCCGTCCTGCATCACTGACAAGGGGAAACCACGCCGGAAAATCTGGATGAACTTTCTCGGCCAATGCAGGGATCGAACACCCGACCTCCAGGCTAGCGAGCCAGCGCCTTACTCACTTAGCCACGTGATCCCCCAGTCCATTGTGGAATTTCTACAGCTCTTAGCTACCATAAAGTTGACAGACACATACCTCCAGAGATTGAGAATTCTGCTAATTTTATTAACCTTGGAATCCCAATTTAATCGTTCACATATCGCTTCGTAAGGACCCAAATACACACCGAGGAATTTTGCCGCTCCATGTAAAACTTTTACTGGTAAACAATCAGGATTTGGAACGTCGTTAATTTTGGCTCCCGAAGCCGAACAATAAATTTTAACTGTAGATAGGGCTTCATTTACGGATTCAAAATAGATAAAGACAAAGTTGTGTCATCAGCTTGTTGAAACACGGTTGAATTATAAACACATCCTGTAACGGCAAAACCTTTAATGTTCTCATGATATTTGATCAGGCCGAAATTCCATATCCTTGGCGAACAGATCGAAGGATAGGGAATGATACCGAACTTCTAATTCTTTTATACAAGATTTTAACAGAATTGATAAATTTCCGTCAAATGCTTTCTCGGCATCAGATTTCAAACGATACAAGGGAGGATCTTCAAGTTAAGCAAAGGAAATGAGGTCACGCATGTTAAGAATGTTGGTAGCAATCCTCCCTGTCGGGAACACAAAACTTATTAGACGTTACAAGATCAGCTACTACAGTTTTTAATCTAAGAGCTAGTGTCCTGGAGAAGATCTTGCAATCAACATTTAAGAGACTTATGGCTCTCCAATTACGTAATTCTGCTTTATCATCATCACGCTTTTTGAAAAATAAGGAAATCGTCCCTCTCGTCATGGAATTACTGAGCTCTCCTAACCTCTGTATATTAGAAAACTTGAAAATAATATTTGCCTAAAATGTCCCCAAAATGCAGATAAATTCGACAGTAAGTCCATCCGGACCAGGAGATTTCCCCTTCTTTATACCCTTTATGGTATTGTATAATTCATAAATGGAAATATCAGACTCACAATATTTTGATTTAGTTTCATCTAACTGTTCAGTAATTAAACCAAATAACTTATTTTGATTGGCCTTGGTTCATTTGTATAATTTTGTATTTTAATTTAGTTTCATCTAACTGTTCAGTAACTAAACCAAATAACTTATTTTGATTGGTCTCATAAATTGATTCACTTGTAAATAATTTTCTATAAAATTTAACACATTCTTTAAGAATTTCAGGAGGTGAATTGACAATAGAAATGGTTTCAAAGTTTTAGCACTATTACTCTTCAGTTTAATTTTCTCTAAATTAAGAAAATAATGTGAGCATTAAATTTGTCTGTATCAAGAACATTGCGAGTTTTTGATTTAAGTATGTCCACTTTCATATAATATCTATGTTTCATACTGTTCAAGTTTATTCTTTAGTTCATAAATTTGGGAATGGTCATAATTACTGTTTTGACTTTATTACAATGAAATTTTAACGCGGTTTGAATATGCCAGAAATCCTCTTGCTCTTGTTTTCTTCTTCTCTGGGCATGTAAGATACTAAACTGTTTCATACTATATTTCGCTTGAAGAACGAATATATCCAGTTTAAAAGTGCATTCGAAAGCATATAGTCAATGCGATTGGATTGTTTCTGTCACTTTTAAAAGTGAGTGTAATTATAGTTTGTTTTAAAAAAAAAACAAAAAAAACTATATTAGCTATGTTAAGAAGTGTAAACTGTTCACCACAACCAGCGTTTTTAAAATGTAACACTTTCGCAGGGGTAACCAACTAAAAGAGCTACGCTCAACAAGTGTACTCGATATTCTACTGAACACCCGAACATGTGTAATTGTGGGGTGTTTTGGATGAACTACACAACCATTTTTTACCGTTTGTTGGGTTGCTAAAGTGTAATCGATATTGTAGACTACAGAACATCAGCACAGAATATAAGTCTTCCAAAATAAATATAAAATGCCACTACCAAATGAAGTGCTCGGTCCATAACCACATCGCTTTTTGCGCAAAAATGAGATTTTTTTTGTGGTATCCAGGTTATGTCATTTTAGATAATAAAAACGGAGCTTTGGGGCTTAGAAGGGACAAACTTGCTTTCGAGTTTGTAGGTAATGAATCGCAGTAGCTATTATGTATTTTTCGTCGAATACGTTTAACCGAATATATGTCATATTTAATGAAAATCGATTAGTTAGTTGTAAGCTAATATCTGTGTATTATTGATTTAAAATGTAGAAATTATAATTAGTATATCTTGTTGTTTTGAAATTGTATATATTTGTATGTTTGGAATATATTTTAGTGTCATAGCACATAGGTTTTTGACGATTTGCAATTTTAATTTTGTCATTTTACAAATATCAACATTGAAAAAAATGAAATTAAATGGGGTTTAACGTCCTACGTACTGTTCTATACTGTGATATCTTAATTATCATTAGGCTAAATATATGGGGGTCTATTATAAACTTACATTAAGATAACATAAGATAAAGATATTCTATTTGTAGGCTAAAAAAGAAAAATAAAGGGTCGGTGATTGTTTTCAAAGGAGAGCGATTAAAAAGAGAACTTTTAAATCACGCGGGCAGCAGTGGTGTTCATCCACATTTAGTGTTCATCATTTCCAATGTCATGAGCGACCGATTATTGCTAACCCAGTCGCTTCCATCAAGTATAATATTGCAGCGACGAACAGGTTACATTTTTGTTTAATATTTTGTTTTTGAATAAGTTTGTAATAATAATAATATTGATAATCATATTATTTTAACCAGACACGTAGAATGTAAGATTCGCGGTCACAGATAAGGTTTTTTATGGGCAAGGTTGTGTGTGTAAGTATGCGAAATAAGACCTTGTCTGACAATGATTACGATGACATAGAATCCTAGAACAGATAGACTCACTCTGTCAGTCTGTGAATGAATATGGCGCTATTTGGTTACTTAATCACCGACAGCGATAAAAATGCAGCTAAATTAGTCATTTAGTGACACCTTTTTGATGTCCTTTTAAAAGATAATTTCTAGCTCGGGGCGAATGTTTTAAAAAGAGTGAGTTTAATGGGCAAGAGGTGACGAAACCAATATTGGCATGTATCTGAGAATAGATAATAATATTGTCCATTTACTGCCATTACTTACTATTAGTTGTAAATTTGTCATTATATTAAATACATCAACTAGTACGAATATAGTCATTTACATTACAGGTAGTTCCAAAGGAAATTCTCTGATCTGGTGATGTCCTCTCACCATTCCTGTTCATTCCTATGTAAGCTGCAATATGAAAATACCGCTTTACCCCCACCTCTGTCTATAGTATAGGCATAGACTAGGTTATTTTGAATTGAAAAATTCTACTTGAAAATACTGTTGAATTATTATTTATAGATTTTTGTCAGATTTGGCTAGAAATGATTCCTTTTGACGAACAAAGAAGAATCATGGTGAAAAATAGATGGTAGTGTGGTATTTTCATAGCTTTAAATAGGGACGAACAGGAACGGTGAGAGGACCAAACTATCACAGACCGTTCCTAAAGAACTACGTTATAGGTAGACATGGTTCAAATGACCTGATCCTGACCGTCTTGTAAATATTGACGAGTTAAAAAAAAGGCTGGCGAGAATAAAGAGAGTCCAGTATTCACAATCAGTCAACTAATTATCATGTTGACATTTAGAGAGGACAAAAAATGGGGATAAATGGGAGGGTTTTAAACCCCCAAAATACTTATCAAGACAATAAATTCCATATACAGATTCTAGTAGATTGGTCAATGATTAGGGATCTCCAATTATTAAACCATTTTATAAATATTGGTTGTTTTTATTAATATTGGTTGTTAATAGAAGACATTTGTTTATTATTTGAAAGTAGATAATGAAGACTTTTACTGGTACTCGCTCTTCCGTACATAGTTCTGACTATTTCACAATATGTCAACATTAGATAAAGCCTTAGGGAATTTTCTGATTCAAAAGATGCGAGGATATTTAAGTTATTTTTTACCATGTAAAATATTAAAGTGGCACATATTCTGAATTCAATTGTTAGTGGTCTGATCCACATTTCTGATAGAATTTTTGTAGGAACCAAAACCTGATACTTATACTAATATATTACTTCATATTGTAAATATCATTCGTGTGTTTCAATATGACCATATTATTGTTTTCTTTTTTCAGATACAAAATGTACAGAATAACTACAGTTATTATCAAAAGTAAATCAGTATAATCAATTTGAAAGTACGATATCTTCAGAAATAACTTAAGATCACTCTACCTTAAAAATGGAGGAAGAAACTTATGATGAAATAGACTTATCTCCCCATGCTATATTTATGGATGCCATTCAGACTGATAACGAAGATATATTTTTTCGCCATATTGGAATCAAGCGGAAAGACAGACGACATCCAATAGACATACAGATAGCTGCCATTGAATGCTGTAAATATAGAAGAGTAGAGATGCTAAAAAGCTTGTTAACACTCCGTCCAAACTTAAATTTTCAAGATTTAGAAGGAAAACGGGTTTTACACCATGCAGCCATCATTGGGTCGCTGGAGATCACCCAGCTTTCAATAAAAGGAGGATCATCTGTTAATTGTTATGATGCGATGTCTTACTGTCCTATTCACTATGCGTGTGAAAATGGTCATGCTGATATCGTTCAATATCTATTAACAAGGGGAGCCCATGTGACTTTCTCTAAGATATACTCCACTGGCGAAAGCCCACTTCATGTCGCTTGCCGGGCAGGACATGTTGAAGTTGTCAAGGTTCTTTTGAAAAATGGTGCCGATATTCATTCCAAATTAGATCTGGCCAAGAGTCCCTGTTATAGTTACTCTCCGCTACATATTGCTGTCAAAAATGGTAAATGGGAAGTCGTGGAAGCTCTGTGTAGTCAAGGAGCAATGGTCAACATGAAAAGTTCAAAAGGTCACACGCCTTTACATCTCAGTGCCTATTATGGTCAACTCACTTCAACAAAACTCTTACTAGAATTTGCTGCAGATGTGTCAGTTAAAGATTCTCGAGGAGACACAGCTTTATTAAATGCCATATTTGAAGGTCATGTTGAAACTGTAAGATTATTGTTACAATGGGAACCGAATGTCTCCCTACAAGGAGGTGACACCATGTCTGCCATATTTGCAGCACTTACTGGGCCAGAAATTAAAATTTTTGAGTTGGTCATTCAAGCAGGAGCAGACATAGATGAAAGGAAACCAGATACACTTGAATCTGTATTAATGGTTGCTGTGGGACTGGCAGACATGGAAAGAAGTAAATATTTGATCCAGAATAATGCTGATGTTAATTTAGGGGATATTAAGATGTATACACCCTTACATCGTGTACAGATTATAAAAGGTGATATACTACATGATTTTTATATTTCACTCTTATTTATGGTACTGGTCATATTTAAAGTTAAATTGGGAACCATGGTGGTTCGGTGATGTTGGCCAAGAAAGTTTTTCGGGAATTTCCAGCAGGACAGAGGGCCTGACAGCATCTAGTCTTTTAGATGGGGCAAAAAACTGAGGTCCCGTGTAGCCGTTGTCGACGTCATGCACTGTGCATGTAAGAGAAACCCTGACATTTGAAATTCGAAATAAGAGTAGGTCGTAGCGTCACTTTCCGGGAAAAATTTTCCTCTTACTCATAGCACACTGCTTGATGTTACGTCTCCATTAGCTCAGTCGGTGCAGTACGGTAGGACATTAAACCCCCATTTTATTTCGAACCTTATGGGTTTTTTTCCGGGTGTCCCCTAGGCGCAAGCGAATTATTGAAATAAAATTGATCGATATGTTGGTTCCAAAATGACTTGGATTCTGTTGGCATGCACATAAAAGAACCCTTGACAGTTGGTGCAGAAGATTATGATATTAAACCTTATTTTATTAATAAAATGCAGATATATGAAATGACTACATTTTATGATTTAATTTTGTTGTACTTGTAGAGATTATTTCATGAACATACTCTTTATTTACAGCTCCTGATTCTATCAAGATTGAACTATCAGAAAATTTGATAAAAGCTGGTGCTAAAATTAATGCCCTTGATAAAGACGGGTTTACACCACTACATAGAGCTATATTTACTAATGTTATAAGATCAAGCCAAGCATTACCTTGTATTAAATTACTGGTAGAAGCTGGCAGTCGGTTGTGGCCGGGACCAACCGTTCAAAATAGAAATAGGTAAGCTTTAGATACACCACTTAAACAGGCATTATGCAAGAGCTAAATCTGCCTATTGCAGGTCTTTCTCTAGGCCTTAAATGTTAAATAAACTATCAATTAGACATTTATTAACATGACAGGACCACAATCAACTCTGGATGCCATCTGATGGGTCGGTCCACTTTTCAACAGATTTGAATCCGATCTATGGTTCAACTATGGTTGATGATTAACTGTAAAAATGGATAATCAAGACTTTGTTTATTATCGTAACAACGGTAACAATGACAATCAAGTACAATGTTATTAAAATGAGGATTTCTCGGCTCAGAGTGAGTTAATTTGGCTGAAATTTTCAGCATATTCCCTTCACATTATCTATTGTTTTTAACTATTATAGCGAGAACTGTCAGCTCTTTATATAATTATAATCTTTCATAATGCCGCTTTAAGTGGATGTTCATGCTTTTGTACACCCACATAAATTTTCTGTCATACATGTAATTCATGTCGATTTCACATTCTATTCTGTGTGTTATATTGACCAGAGTTTTTGAGAAACTTAGCATTGTTCGATTATTTATAAGATAAAGGCTGACCATTAAATAGGTGAATATTTAGAATATATTTTGATTCTGTAAACTTCACAGTTTATTTTCCCATCTACAATCCTTTGGAATTTTAAAGTTTTGACACCTTAAATTTCAAACATAATATCCTTCTGTCATATTTTTACCTTTAAAGCTTGTGACTGTGATACTGGGTGGGTGGGATTGTTTTCAGGAACCTAAAGTTTGATCAAACTTCTACATTCAAATTTTGAAAAGATTTTGCATATTTTGTTTTGTTTTGGCAGGATTTTTCATTGGGATAGATGGAACCCTATTGAAATTTAAAAATAGAAAGTTGTCACCCCATTTGTTTTGAACATGTTTGCAGAATTTGTTTACAGTGATTTTAGAGACAATACAGACTACCCAACTTTTGAAAAATTCTGTTCAGAACAGAACTCCGGTCAATATTCTGTATTGTATTCACAAGATATAGGTCTGAATGTAAATGGGGAGATGACTTTAAAATTTTCTATCAAAAAAGTTTGAACTTCAATAGGAAGATGATTATATACGCCAACATCTAAATTAATGTAGGTGGATTAAAATTGGTTCCATAATCCATACCCATTCAAAGTTGGATTGCAATCGAACATCTGTAAGAGAAATGCTGTGTATTACGAGTACATTAGCTTCATCATCAACATTATCCTCTATAATTTATTTATAAATTACTTTTAGTGAATTCAGAAGAGTAAATAAGGTCAAAGGTTTGAATAATTTGATAATTTTGTTTATTTTTCAGTCAGTCTCCACTGTGTTGGCTAACTTGGAACAACCAACTTCAAGTAGCCGAGTATCTAGTACAGGCAGGATGGGATATGTCTTGTGAATTCTGGGTAAATCTAAAACCTAGTCGACCCCAGCAAGCTAAACTTCATCTTATTTTTCAAGAAATAACATACAATACCAGATCGTTAAAACATTGTTGTCGTAACGAGATACGTGATTTTTTATCAGATATTACGTGCGATCGTGAAATCAAGACAAGCATTGAACTTTTACCTTTACCCAATTCACTGAAGAATTACCTTAGCCTTCATGATTGTGATTTTAAAGACCCATCCTACTTTGAAAATCTTTGATATCTTTCCTCAGAAAAATCAATCTGATTAAAACACAGATCTATACTTTCGATGGCCTCAAAGGTCATACGAGCGGTTTTTGACCCTATGATGTCAGACATTTGATTAACCAATCATCGTTGATGTTTCTAGTGGGTTACCCACAGTTCCTTGCACCTCACGCCAAAAACTCCCTCGCATCATCCAGAACGTGGGTTATATAAAGACAAGTAAAATGAAATTTTGAACTATAAAAAACGAAACAAAATAGGATCTGTGTTTTAATCAGATTGCAGAAAAATGTGCTTGTGGTACATGTGCAATATGTATTCATTCAGTTGCATAAAATCTTCTTATGTACTTTCAATGTTACAGAAGTACCTTCACAAAGAAATTAATTATCTTTAGTCAGGGAGGTACATATACACCCAGTGTTAATTTCAGTCATATAGAAAATAATCTTCCGTGTAGAGGCATGAAGTTGTCACAAGTTAAAAACAGATAATCATGTATTAATAATTCAGAAATTTATGTTAAACAATCACTGCTTTATGATTGATGTCCGGTATATTTTTATTTTGGGATAGGCCTGGAAATTTATACACAAACTATGCTTGTATAGTGAAATTGCATAAAATCAAGATTATTTATTTTACGTATTTCCAAAGTAAAGAACGCCTCTTTAAGTAACTGGATTTTCAGTGTATGAGTATAGTGGTAGTGTCTCAATAAATTAATTTTCCACCCAAAGGTAGTCTGACAATTCTGGTTATAAGACCAATGATATATTTATATCAAAGGATTTTAATTATACTGTCACATTTAGGATCTCTGATAACTGCATTATATAATAGTTATATTTATACTATATTTATTTATAATACTTGTATAGGGTAGAAATCTCTGGTTTATAGGGAAAAAAGTGGTGGCTTGTTGAGTATGCTGGCTCACTAACCAACAGGTTCCAGGGTTTGATCACACTGGTGTAGGACCGAAAGGACCTGACAAGGATCAGGTTCAAGTCATTTGGATGGGCATAACAGGTTAGGTCTAAATATTAAGTCCAACTGCAGATTTGGTCAAAGGTCACAAGATGTAAACAGGGCTTTTGCTAACCCTAACCCACTATCTCATTGTGAAACTGCCTTAACCCTATTTACATCTCCCAACCTTGATGAAATCTGCAGTAGGCCTTAATATTTAGACCTAACCTGTTGTACCCATCAATTAGAATTTGATGAAAAGTAGGCAGAAACACCACTCTCCATTAAAAATGGAACATTTCTCTTGTATAACACTGCATGGTGTATGCCATTCTCCATTAGCCCAGTTGATGCATAAAAGTGGGACATTAAACCCCATTTCATTTCTTTTCAGTTTTATATGCTTTGTTATTCATAATACATATTTTGGGGGCCAACTTTTTTTTATTGTTTACTGTTTATATTTTATAAATCAAATAATGAAAGCTTAATTGTGATATATTTATAGAATTTAGCTGGTTTAACAAGTAGAGCTCCGGATGTTCTTATTCTAGTAAGATAATTCATGTAAGAACTTATGTTGTTCAGTGGCGTTTGGCCCACCTGTCAGGTCATTGACCAAGGCCCACACAAGTTGGCGTCGAAGATGCACGAGCGTCCGAGGGGGGGCTGGGGTCGGTCTCCCCCCAGGAAAATTTTGAAAATTGACAACAGCAAACCCATTTTCTAAGCATTTCAGACCAAAGCAGAAGAAAGCAAATTTTTGATTTCCTGATACAATTAGATAACAGAATGACCTAAGAGCATTATCATTAGATGAATTTGAGAATTCTCTTCAGTGTCAAAAACAAAAACGTGATGAAAATAATGCAAATTATAATATACATACAGTACATGTATTTGACAGTTCTGTTGACGTACATCACAGAGTATAGCGAGAATCTTCGAAGTCACAGAAGTAAACGAATATCATCATAAGCTCAATAACCTCACAAGCTTATGATGATATTTGTTTACCTCTGTGATGATAACTGATAATTGTTCTCTAAAGAAGTAACAAATTATTTCTTCAAGGATAGCCAAAGTAATCTTCAGGTCTTTTAGATCCCAGGGTCCCTTCATGATGATAAATAAATAAATCTTAGTTGTGATTGTGCCGTGTACTTTTCACACATTTTTAACAAGAAAATTTATCTGCTGAATCACAAATAAAATATTGCCACAAAGAACATTGAGACTTGAAAAAACTACAGTACATTGGACATGCTCTGTCTTATCTTTAGCCACCAACCAGCTGTAATGTTACATATTTATGCTCACCATCCATCATGATTTTCACTAATAATGCACTCTATTACACTAGTTCGGATGTCTTTACATGCCATTAGGGTGCTCTGCCTCCCTGGAGAAGTTGTCGTATAATTCTGCTGAGAAATTTCTCCGCAGAAAATCATAACCATAATCCTAATTCCATTTGGCATGAAACCGATATCCGAACCAGTGTATTCCAGCCACATAGGAATAGGGACCACAGTCAATGACCAGACCATGATCAGAGGTCATTGTCGATGGTGGTGGCAGCCAAATTCTCGTCACCACTAAAATTGGTCGATTTTAGGCAGATCCCGCCAAATTCCAAAACTGCTCTTAACTGAAAACTAACATCAGTGGAATTCTTCATTTCATCATAATGTTTTGACGCATTTCTGATCAGCAATAGACCAAATAAATCAGTTTTTCTTACCCAAAAAGTAAAACTTTCATAAAACTTTCATGACACTATTTTGCCTGGTCTCCAGGCAGAAATCGAAAGTGAAACTGAAAGTGAAATCCAAACCGGGAAATGATTAATTTTTCACGAAAAACTCAAAACTGGCAAGTTTTTGGCGATTAATTCGGCGATAATGACTTATGAAGAACTAAGTAGAGGTTAAAAGATGAATTACACGGTTCTCGGTATAATGAGGTCAAACTCATAAAGTTCTTTCCTTGTAGTACACTTCTTTTTTTGTGTTGTTTGTCAGTCATTTGTTTCCTATCTTTTCTTTCTCCTGTCCTCTCCTTCCTTCCTTTGTTTGTTTCTTTCCTCCCCCTCTCCTTTCTTTTTTCTTTATAGGCTTAGGCCCACTTTTTTTTTAATGTGGGTCCAGTCCGGCACTGATGTTGTCTTATTTCATCCAGAAATACTGACACCAGCGATCAGGAGTCTATTAATAACACATCTCCCCATGTTTGAAGACTTAAAACATGAATTATTCCAGGCCCATTATCAATTAATTTCCATTTCCGCTGATTACAATGTTATTAGTCACCAAAATCAAAATATATTAGATTAATATCTACTTTAATTTCTATTTTGAATAAAAAAAAAAGGGTTCGTTGGACAGGATATAAAATTCACAATTTTCATTTCCACAAATAATTTTGACCTTGGCCACTGCAGTAAAAAAGAATTTGGCTAAATGTAATTGACCAATTAGAATATAATTATTTTGTTTTTAAAATCAACACACAAGTAGGCAGGTGGGTGAATAAAGAAAAAAAGTTGTTGACTTGTACTAAGTAAAACTAGATGTGGGTCATTAAGTTCTTAGGAGAAAGAGACAGATTTTCTATCACCAATCCAGAGAGATAATTTGATGAGTATCTAAGAGTATATTAAGTGATTTTCTTTTAAGCCCATTTACGCTATAATAATAGCTTGGTACAATCTTGAAAGGTATCACAAAATTCTCTGTAAACACATCAAACCGTACTCGGTCGGAATCAAAATTAGCACCCTGAAGCTACCGATAGGTGGTCTTTCTCCAGAACAAGTAGGCGAATGTTAACAGGACAAGGCCAGGTTATTTCAGTACCACTGCACTTGTGTTTAATAGTGACCTTAAACATACATTATACAAGAGCTAAATCTGCCTATTGCTGGTCTTTTTTTTAGGTTTGAAGGCTGAAACGTTATCTAAATTATTAGACCTCCAATCTGTTACTTGTATTAATAGAGGAAACTGGGGACCATAATGATTTAAAATTATAAGACATGAATTAATTTATACAATTGTCCACACCACAATCAACTCCCATGTCATTACTAACCTGCGATATTTCCTAGATTGGAATCCGATCTGCTGCTCATCCCTAATTGATGATTAAATCAAAAAATGGATAATCAAGACTATGTTTTTTATCGTACTGACTTTAGTAATGATGATCGAGGCAAGGCCTAAATTCTTGGTTCAGAGTGGATCAATTTTCAGTACCTTATTAGTTTTTAACTCTTTATCTAATCTCCCATAGTGTATCTTTAACTGTAGCCAACTTAAATTAACATTTTCTCTGAAAAGTTTGACAAATTGTCAAGTTGAATACGGTTTGGGTTTTGAGGGCCAGTATAAATAATGGAGTTTTATAATTATATAAAAAGAAAACAAACTCTTAAATTTTGATTTATTAAAAATTTGACCATATTTATATTTAAAAAGTACATGTATTTATGATTTTTGTAACATCTATTATTAATCTCTTACCATCTTTTTTACAATAAATACTAGTATAATTTATATTATGTTTAATTTGTTGAATAGCATGTTTATTGGCCAGTCATATCTGTGTACCTCATGTTTGATATTAATAACAAAGAATATTTGCTTCTGAACCTCTTTTTGAAAATGAACAATGCCCTTCAATATGTGGTAGTGTATAATCACAATATCCATTGAAAAGCCAGTATGTATACATGCTTTTAACATATTCAATAAAAATACCTAGAAATGCTGTTTCTTTGTTTTATTTCAAAACTACAGTTGACAAATAAATTTACCGGTAGTTCATTTACATGACATAAAATTAGATAGCTTTCCATAATAGTAGGTAGATAGAGGTGGGCGATTTCACCAGTTATCCCTTTTAGCAGTAACTAGTTTCGTTCAGAATTGAACTCTTCAGACTGATTTATCTCTCTTAGTGAGGTTCTATATATACTGTGGGGAAACCCCGGTGAGATTTCACCGGGGTTTGTTAGTTTTACCGGGGTATTCAATACCGGGGTTTGGTATTTTACCGGGGTTTCGGAATTGACTGGGGTTAATGAGAGATTATTTTTGGCTGGGTTTACCGGGGTTGGTGTGTGACCGGGGTCTACAGATATGAGTATGCCCAAATAAACTAAGTAGAGTAGGGGGCAAGAAAAAAACGCATGCAAAAATAAAAGGGGTGTGTGTATGGGGAGAGACGGGAAAGGGAAAGGGTCTAGGGAAGACCACAGAAGGGGGGTGGTAGGACTAGGAAAGACAACAAGAAAGTAAGGTTAAATAAAAAGTTTAAATAAGGCCCAAGCCAGATAAAAATTGAGAGTTAAACAAATCACTGGCGGAAAGCTGGGTGGAGAGGAGGGGGTCCTCTAGAAAGGCGTCCTCTAGGCTTGGTTGTTCCAGATGTCGCTCCTGCTTGTGGCTAAGGTGGTCCAGTTTTCCCTTCCGATTTGGTTTGGGGATGTGTGGAAATCCCAGTGGCTGAAGGTTGGGAACAGAGCGCTGTTGATATACGTAGAGCTATTGCTACGGCGAGGAGTGTAAGAGATTCTTTCTGGTGGGAATCCTGTGGTGACGACTGTGGTAGTCGAAAAGGAAATACTCGGAGGCCCTTGGGCGGCGACTGTGGCAGTCGAAAAATAGGCGCTCGGTGGCCCTTGTGCGAGCTCCCCGATGGTTTCTCCCTTGGGCGGTGACTTTGTAATTTGTACAATTTTAGTATTTCTCATTCAAAATTTGAATTTTAAAATGATAACTGTGGTCAACTTTGAGGCATCAACTCATCATAATTTTAAGAATTTCCCACCAGATGATACTAGTACAGAATTCCAAGTTATACCCCCAACACTTCTTGGTAAACTAACTACAGAAAAACATCACCCAGCTGGCCAAAGTTTGAAGTGAGAACCTGGGATCAAAGTGATTAAAAGACTAAATATGCACCCGTTTAATTATATAGTACACAATATCACTTATATATACCGGTCACCATCAAATATAACTTGTATAATTTACAAACATAATTTTAATGTATCTTGTGGTGCGTTCGTTAGTGATTACTATATACATCACTTGGCAACTTGTAAATAAAATTCAATACATCATTACGGTTTGAACTTTATATTGTCCATGATCAGCAAACTGTATGTTCAATGGATCTACAGAGAGAGCTGTGTCTTTATTTATATTCTATGATCAGTAACAAACACACCATTATTACTGGAATGGTTTATAATAGTATTTACATTTGTACAGCATGGTTGCATATGCCCACCAGCAACTTCCGCACTGTACAAAGACTTTGACTCATGAAATTTCCAGGTTTTTTTTTTAATATTACAGACCTGTACTGTAAATAATGATTATGATCCAAATTTTGTGAAAATTTGTTAAGAACTTGACAATACAGAGCGAGTACATAATAGATTAAGAGCAAGATAAGTCAGAGGAATTAACTTGTGAGTCTTAACTGTTCCTGATCATTTGCTGAAAATCTGTTAAGAAGTTAACACTGTAATTACTTTTGCGAAAACACTCAAAATCAATCACCATTCTCGTTACCTCAATTCGAACTATTTTTGAAAATCTTATAAAAATCACAAAGAAAAATTAAACTCTGTAGTAAAGTATGTAATCTTCTCAAGACAGGAGCCAAACTCTCAAATTAAATAGGGACCATTTTTACCTCAATGTGAGTGAATTATTCCTGAAAGTTTGATGAAAATTTATGTTATTAACGGTCAGGGACCTTATTAAAGATGGGTTCCCGCGTACAAACTGGGTGATTTAATGGTATATATGGACTAAAAACATATTCAAACTAATTAATTTGTCATAATTATGCTTCAAATCCTTCTCAAACATTGCAATTGCGAAGGAATACCCTGCTATTAAAATTCGATCAAACCAGGTCATGCTTACGTCATGTCTTGGAAATCAGAGGAGAATTCATTGCATACATAAGACGATGTTGTCTTTAAGCGCTTACTATTTATTACAAATATTGAATCCTAATTAAATTCTCGGATTATCCACTACCCGCGTCTTTTTCCATCATTTTTATCTCAGAAAGTGTTGTACGTCTAACTCTTCATAAAGTTTATCAACTTGTACATCAAGCGTTCAATGTTCGCGTGTGACCTTTGAAATCACGCGTGCAGAAACTCTTAATCGTTGGGCTGTTGATTAGGGGAACCCTTACATTTTTGTCCTGTATACGCTCCATGAGTGTTTTTCGGGGAATCCAGTATTTTTCTAGTAAGATTGGATATCTCTACTTTCCATATATACCAAAATTGCCATACTTTTATTGGAAATAACCACCCGATAAATACTTTTCTGGGAACCCATCTTTAACTGAAAATATTTTTGAAAACTGACAGAGACCATCTTCAGCCCCAATACTAGTTTCTTTAGAAGTCAAATGAATACTGTCAAGTGGGGACCCAATTTGTAACAACTGTAGCCTTTTTTCTCCACAGATAAAAAATACTTTTTATGCAACAGAATTCGTGCCTTTTTAAATTTATTCAAGATGATTTGCTTCAATAGTTCATAGTAGTTTTCAAATATACAGGTTGATTTGGACCTTTCTTTTTAGTTGTGATCTTTATCTAAGGTTTATCATTCTTTAAGTCTTTTGTTTTTATGTCACTATTTAGTTGCTGCAACAATATTTTCACCCAGAGCTTCCAACAGTTCATGTCTATAATCATCAAATCCCCCTTCTATTTCATTAACTGTCTTATCTTCTACAACCCATAGTTGACAATTTGTGTCACGAATTAATCGTTCATCATGGCTAACTATAACAACACCTAGAATAAATGACATTAAATATTAACGCTACATACCCCTGGTCACGATCAGCTTAAACTGACACCGTTGTGAATGCCATAAATATGACAAATACATTTTATGGTACTAGTTTCTTTAATTGAAAAATGCGTAATGCTTAACCTTCATACAAAGGTCTTTCATAATGAAACAATGAAAAAGAATTAGCCTTGGATGTATTGTAATAATACAGACAGTTTAAGCTGGGAGGATCCTATCCCACTACATTGTATATAATATGGTTATTAACTTTATATAGGCTGTCTAGAGATTGTGATTTCTGAACAGAACCCATAGTATATGAAAGATAGCAGGATATATTCTGAATATCTCCTTATATTAATATATTCTTATATTGAATATTAAATTGTGTGTGTAATGTTGACTAAAGAAGATGTGTCCATTATTAAATTGCAACATTGTTAAGAGTATTTACCTCCTTCAAAAAAACCAATAGCTTCAGCCAGTGCATCTATAGATTCTATATCTAAATTATTAGTAGGTTCATCCTACAAAAATAATATAAACATATATTACACACAGTTCAAGTTATTTAAACTGGATAAAGAATGTCCAATTTCCATTTTATTGTAGAACAGAGAAGCAGTGTCTCAAGGGAAAAAAGAAATCATTGTACAAAAGTACAAGATGATCATGGGCTCAACAAGTTACAACCAAATGTTAGGGTCTTGTTGCTTCAAATGAGAGGGGGATTATAATTGTTAACATTGCAGGGTTTTTTCATTGCTAAGATTTCGAGCTGTTACTGAAGCTTGTACTATTAGTAGCATTAGAAATGTCAACTTCATATAATAATGTAAATTAATGATCATTCTACACCAGGTTATTTTTATTTTTAAAGACAAAAAATTAAAATTATCTTACGAGAATAAGAACATCCGGAGCTCTACATGTTAAATCAGCTAATGCTACTCTAGCTTTCTGTCCACCTGATAAATCCCGTATTAATATAGTATGAGCATGGCTTGGTAAACCAAACTTTCCTAATGTCTTTCTACAATCTTGTATATTCATATCAAACAATCTCTGAAATACAGATAATAATTATTACAGGACTTTTTAACAGCAGTAGGAAACTCGCTGATTAAAGTAGTACAAGAAGACCAGATAGCCTAGAGAAATCGTTAAAGTAAGGCAATGAATCTAATCATGACACTGAAAAAATATGTAATATCAACAAAAACATAAGGCTGTTAAATGAACAAAGACAGTTTGGTATTTAATGGTTGCACTGCAAAGCATGCTAAATCTAGTCACACAAATGTCATTATATTGCTATGATATATTTTATGTGGACAATGTCTAATCAAATGTGAATGCAGTATTTAGTATACTATATTAACTGCATCTGCAATAAAATTTCTTTTTCTCAATGAAGAACCTTGGAGATCCTCTCTTTGCCCTATTCCAATAGTATAAGGAGTACAAAAAATTCTAATTCACAAATAAAGAGTGTTTTTGTTTTAAGATGAACACGCAAAAGTTCTCTGCCAGTTGGAATTCGATAGAAGAGTAGTCCGTCGTGCAGCTGTCCAGGCAAAATTTCCCTGATTTCGAAGTGGGAGCAGGCCATTAAACCCCATTTCATTTCATATAAGATAACTATAATTACATACTTACACGTAAATATTCTACTGGTGTTTCCTCTAAATTCAACTGATCAGCAGAATGTTGATTATATATTCCTAAACGCTGAAAAAAAACAATAACATTGTCTAAATAATTGTTTTTGTTGGAATGATAAAACAATATTACAGTACACCACAATAAAAAAAAATCTCAAAATCTACTGATAATAAGGCTACTATCACTGTAACCCAGGTGTCGTTTAATCTTGTGTATCTAGCACTAATTTCTTTCACATTCGTTTAATATCCAATCTTTGTTTAAAAATTTGTAAAAACTGTTTAAAATCACCATAAATCGTTTAATTTGTACTTCTGTCCAGTTTAAAGCTGACCATTCAATTTTGATAATGAGTGTCCAATTTACAAGCGTTTAATTTCTCAATCATTGTTAAAAAATAAACAACCCAATTGATTAATGATGTATAATGATTAATTTTTGAACAGTCAGGAAATTAAATACTTGTAAATTGGACACTCATTATCAAAATTAATCAGTCAGCTTTAAACTGGACACATGTACAAATTAGATGATTTTTGGTGATTTTAAACGATTTTTACGAATTTTTAAACAAATGTGAAAGAAATTAGTGCTAGATACACAAGATTAAACAATACCTGGGTTACAGTGTATATTAACATTTATAACAAATCCTACACTTATCTGACGATGTTACATTTATAATTTCTAAGCATTAGAATGTGCTTTAATCAGAGAGCACATACTTAGTCTCAGATACCCTATGAATATCAGATTTTAAATATTCACATACTAAATAGTTCTACTTTGCCAAATTTACCATCAGTCAGAAATTACCTTTTACAATACTAATAGAATCATGCATGTATATTTGATTTTAATGGACATATTAAGTTCTAAAGGCTAATGACAGTATTCAACATTAGTTTAAAGGAGCTAAATCGCTAATATTTTGGATCCAGAAATTGACACAAATGGGTCGCAACGCATATAATAATGTAATGTGAATGTATATAAACTGATTTATATTCAATCGTTTCTGCTTTTACTGTAATTTCTAACTAGTTAGGTTCGGCGAAATACGCCAGTATTCTCAATCGAATTTCAATCTATAGCGTCTGCTTATTCCAGTCTATGCTGATAGTATTTATTGGGCATGCTCTCCAGATAAGAATATAGCGTCACCGTTTGAATGACTTGTGGAATATACCTAACCTCGTTTTTCGAATCCCTTATTACAAATAGCGCTGAAACGCATTATGGTACACGATTCGTGTACCAATTATAAAATGTTTATTTTGTCTTTAAATATTGGATATCAGAAGGCCATCTTTTCCCCGGTATGATCACAACACCAATGTTGATTTAAACCGACAAATAAATCGTGTTTTCTCTGTCGAAGATTTTGGATGATATTGAGTTAGAGACTTAGCTACTTTAAACATATTTTATTGACAAATATCAAAAGGATTGAGCACAAGTTTCAAAAACTTAGAAACCTAGCAAAGTTTTGTCAATATCGTAACTTTTGTCCTTAAGCATAATTAAGACGTCTGCAATGGATAAAAAACAAACTTACTAATCTGTGATTTTTTCGACATTCACCTTTGACCTGTAATAACATGTTAAAATTGTCATTTGTAAGTCTCAAAATAACTGTTGTTAAGTTTTACATAAATCTAGTACAAAAGTTTTTACAACTTTGTGCTATTAACGATGCATTATGTAAGATTTAGATAAAGAGGAATAAATTGAAAATTCCTGAGTGATGTTTGAAGAATAGTGTAGTCTAAATTTTCATTGCTACCGTTATTACAATAATAGTCTTGATTATCCATTTTTAAATTAAATTATTAAATGGTGACCATGTTTTAATCTGTTTAAAAGCACAATCATCCGATGGTAAGAGAGTTCATTATGGGCTTGTCATGTGAATAAATGTCTAATTAATATCTTATATAACATTTGAAGCCAAAAGAAAGATCTGCAATAGGCAGATTTAGCTCTTACATCACTCATCTTTAAAGATGGGTTCCCAGAAAAGTATTTATCGGGTGGTTATTTCCAATAAAAGTATGGCAAATTTGGTATATATGGAAAGTAGAGATATCCAATCTTACTAGAAAAATACTTGATTCCCCGAAAAACACTCGTGGAGCGTATACAGGACAAAAATGTAAGGGTTCCCCTAATCAACAGCCCGACGATAAGGAACTTCTGCATGCGTGATGTCAAAGGTCACAAGCGAACATTGAGCGCTTGATGTTCAAGTTGAGAATTTAATTAGGATTCGATATTTGTAATAAATAGTAAGCGATTAAAGACAACATCGTCTTATGTATGCAATGAATTCTCCTCTGACTCCCAAGACGTGACGTAAACATGACCTGGTTTGATCGAATTTTAATAGCAGGGCATTCCTTCCCAATTACAATGTTTGAGAAGGATTTGAAGCACAATTGTGACAAGTTAATTAGTTTGAATATGTTTTTGGTCCATATATACCATTAAATCACCCAGTTTGTATGCGGGAACCCATCTTTAAGGCAAGTAATAATTATAATTTAAACTACAAGACAGAAAAGTTTAATTTGATGATTTTCTTAACCACTAGGGAGTCAACAAGGACAGATGGACAGACCGAAGGACATGGGTGATGACAATCCTCGACCACATTTCAATGAAAACATATAAAATCTAGATTTATTATCTTATCATAAAGAATTATAAACTTACTGGTTCAAGTTCTTGTGTTAAGAGTTTTAATAATGTACTTTTACCTACTCCATTAGGTCCAACAATAGCAACTGAAATGAACAATAAGACTTGGTCATTTCAATATCCATCTCTTAACTTTTAATAGGCACTGAATAAAAACCTTTAACCCAACAAGTTTTAGGATTAAAAGAATTCAAGAATTTTACAACATAGCATGCTCCTAAAACATCTAAAACTCTTATCTCTAAAACTAGATTTTAATATGTTAAATAGGTTGGATGAAAACAGGCCAAAAGCTCAAAAGCATAATAAAATTACAATTTTACTGATAACGATATTCTTAACCCTTAACCTGTCTACGTCATTTTGACTTCATGACGTCAAGTGGTCAGGCTAAATAAAGGCTAAAGTGAAATATTTTGTATGCCTATTTCAAAAGACTACTGCTGGATAATTATAAATGATAGACTCTTGACACAAATAAAAAAGTTGAAGGGGATAAGTTGATGTATAATTTGCAAGTTGTCTCTCGTTTTCTAAATCGTTTTCATCAGAAATGTCGTCTTCAGAATCTGTTTCATCGATATAATCCGAGTCGGAATCATTCCTAAGCATTTCAACCACTTTGCCAGTTTTTAACCTTCTCGACATCGTTAAAAACAATATTTTGAACAAAGACATGTTTTTCTCAATGCCTTTGACAAGACAAGTTCCTGCCTGACACGCATGCATGGCCATATCAATTAAATACGAAACTAAATACTCAAATGCGGCTTATAAAAAAGGTTCTTATTGTGGTCGACTGCGGTCGACCGTGGCCACTCAGACGTATAACGTCATGGTGACTATAGTCGACAAAGACCGGTTAAAGGTTTAATTTAGTAATTTATGGATTAAAAAAAAGCTAAATATCTTACTTCTTGTCTGCATGTCTATTCCGAAATCAACATTTTCAAACAAATTGTCTTGACCTTTATATGCAAACCAAACACCTGAAGAAAACAATAATGTCAACTATTACTGATTACAAAAGGTTATAATAACTAGATTATAACAGAAGCAATTAATTTAAAATCTGATGTGTTCAATCTGTTTTTCTTTTTCTTCGTGTTCTTTCCATATTCTATATTTTACTGAATTCAATTTTACTTAAAGTAGCCAAGTCTCTAACTCAGTATCATCCAAAATCTACGACATTGAAAACACGATTTATTTGTCGGTTTAAATCAACATTGATGTTGTGATCTTAACGGGAAAAAATGGCCTTCTGATATCCAATATTTAAAGACAAAATAAATATTTTACAATTGGTACATGAATCGTGTACCATAACGTGTTTCAGCGCTATTTGTAATAAGGGACACGAAAAACGAGGCTAGGCATATTCCACAAGTTATGTCAAACGGTGACGCTATATTCTTATCTGGAGACCATGCCCAATAAATACTATCGGCGTAGACTGGAATAACCAGACGCTAGAGATTGAAATTCGATTGAGAATACTGCCATATTTCGCCTAACCTAACTGATTAGAAATTACAGTAAAAACAGAAACGATTGAATGAAATCAATTTATATACATTCACATTACATTATTGTATGCGTTACGACACATTTGTGTCAATTTCTAGGTCCCAAATATTAGAGACTTAGCTCCTTTAACATCTGTCTGACAAAATTTATGTTTGTGCATTTTGCACACATAGATCCATCTACTTCATACTTCGAGCACAGATCTCTGCCCTAAATGGCTGCCAAATCCAAAAATTAGTATACTGTTCTGTAATGCATTTCTACTGTCATACACACAAAGACTAAATAAACTTTTTCAATTTTATTAAATGGAGTGAGAATAAATACTCAACAAAATTCTCGAAGTATTCGACTAAAATCGTCATGTAGGACTTAAAATGTTGGTCAACTAGCTTAGTGTCTGTTCTCAAGCGGAGCTAACTGTAGATAGGCAGCCTAAATTTAGTATTATTATTTTGATGTAGTCTTCTTCTGTACTGTCAACAGCCAATCAAAAAGTGGCTATTCAATCAACACAATGTAAATCTATTAAATTCTAATAAATAAATCCATGATGTAGAGATTAACTATATGACTTACTGTATAAACCTAATATAGGGGGACTTAGTGGTGCAGGATTAGGAAAACGGAATTTAACAACATAATCTTTAGGTTTCTGCATTAATTCTGTCTTCTTTTCATCTTCAGCAAATGCTGACTGTTTGGATTTACTACTTTTATTTTTTTTACTCATCATGTCTTTCTGCTTGGCTTCCTACAATGAATTATACATCATAGACATTTACAGACTTAGTACAAGTTAATGTCTGTTGAACATCACTTGCTAACAACACCCCACCCCTTGCTTAAAGATTCAAATCAACCAAATGTCTCCAAAGAAAAGGATTAAAATTGAAACCAAAAAACACAGAAAAGGACTCTAATGAATTAGGATAAATGAATACAATTAAGAGAATTTTAAAGTCGCTGACCATCATTTGCATTTTATGGGCAATATCTCTTGGATGTCTTCTCCAAGATAAATGCAATTTTATATAATTCAACATTTAATCAAATACACAAAACAACCATAATAAGCGTAAATGATCTTCCGGCTTGGAACCAACCAGATGAAAAAGAGGCTCATCAAAAGATTAAACACACATAGGTGGCATTGGTTTGTTTATATCGTCTGCATAGTTCGACAAAGGATTAAGTCAGTCAATCAAGGCAGATTAAGTAGTTAATCAAGGTAGGTGTATAGACGGTATCACATGGTAAATAGGTTGATCTCTTAATTAATCAATCCAGCCTATTATCATCGATAATCAGGTTGAGTGGTAGATATGCACTCAGTACACTATATTAATTTTGGAATTTTGAATATTATTCACCATGTCTTGATGTCTGATTGGGCATAATCCGGATCGGACAATTTAGGACTTTTGTAAACAGACATGTTTGGCATATATGTCCGAAACCCCATCACTGGTGTAAATATTGATCAGAAATGAAACTTTTTAGACTGATCTTCATTTTGGAGATTCAACCTTGATAATATTGTAGTTTGCAAGGGAATCAAAATCAGTTAAATAAATTAAAGTCAATCTTACAGCTTGTTTTGTTGATTTGCCTGATGCTTTCATATCTTTTAATTTCTTTTCCTGTTTATCATATTCTTTTAACTGTTCTTTACGTTTTTGTATAAACATTTTCTTAAAATTAGCTGTAAAAAAATAAAAAAAACATGTTTTAATTTATCTAGCTGATATAGATATGTTCAGATTACACAAATTTTGCATATATAATTATAATTTGAGTCAGAAGAACGCCTTATGCTATTAATGTTCAGCCGATTATCAGTCAAAGATCATCAGAGGATCACTGATGATGTGCATTGACTTATATATATATGGCTAATCTATTAACTTCACCTAATATTTTTAATAAATTAACTAATTCCAGCTACAATTTCATGTGACCAAAACTTCTATACACAACTATCCAGCTGTAAAAGAGCAGAAAGTAGGAAAGTCAGAAACAACTACTGTATTTTACCGGAAATAAGTAGATGTGGAGTATAAGTCGATTCATCATATTGTACTTTTTCCAACCTTGATCCACAAATAGGTCAAAGCAGTGTATATGAGAAATGTTTTTCAACTGCCCGGTAGCAATCTTTTATCGAGACACACAAGTGTTTTATCCTAGTCTAATACTGTACGTCAAGTTAGAAAAGTCTATAAATCAATTTATATAAAATTATTTTTTGTTATATGTAAAACTAATTTGAGTAATATTCCAAAATACACGATAAGTACTGGACAAGAAACGCCCTGTTTCTAATCGCGCGTGGTAATAATAACATGATCAAGATTTCTAAAAATAGAATAAAGTAGAAATTGAGTGATAAGTTCGAACAATGACAAATGTGCTTTACGCAAGTGCTATTATTTAGCAAATGATGTCACTCATCATTTTGAGTGAGAGTTACTGACATTTTTTTTTGGGGGGGGGGGGGGCATTTTTTTTTTTTTTTACCTTCATCCATATATAAGTCAATGTGGAGTATAAAGTCCTGACTTCCACGGAAACATGTAAGGACCCATACCCAGAAAAAAACCAGTAATCAGTTAAATATCAGAACTGAATGACTAGTAATTGCAAAAATCACTGTAAAAGTAAGGTTGGTATAGCCTCCATTGAGGCTATAGAATCAAACCAAAAATCACATTTCGGCTGCATTATGTTTCACCAGCACTTCCAGTCGTATCACTGATATCAGTGATGCATTTTCATTGTATTGTAGAAATATTGTCATTGCGACATTCTTTTCAAATTTATAGACAAGGAATAGAGAAAAATGATGGCATTACATATTGTATTAATTAATATCTTTGGCAAATTATTAGATTCACATATATGTGCTTAAATCAAGTTAGCAAATGAATCGCATATTGTTACATAAAAAAGAGTTATAATTTGGTAAACATTAGCTGGTTCTGTGGGAATAAGAATATCATGTATTACATGTGATAGGAAAATTACGATTGCAAAATTTGGCTTGTTTAACCAATCTCTATACTTATTTACATCATATTTGACCAATTAGATAATTGAAGGTCCAAAACTACAAAATTATCATATCTGTGAGCAATTGCCAGACAGCAGACAGATTCTGGAAGGGAAAAGATGTAGCAGTTTCTATCAGCAGACTCGCCCAGCGAGTCTGGCTGGATGAGGTTTGAGAGAATGACTTTATTCTATTATGCATTGTACCACATTTAAGCAGCCATGATATATAAAATGTAAAAACGAACTGTTGCATTGTTATTCCTACTGAGAAGACAAATGTCTTAACTGAGAAAACAGTAAGAAGTTAATACACAACGTGAAGGGGAAGCAAAGACAAGTGAAAATACTAGACGATCACAAGGCTACTAAGATATGTAGTAAGAAAAGATGCATGGGTCATACGTAGGATGTGGCCACCGGTTTTGGAATACCCTGCTTTCCACGTCAGACAGAAAGGCCCATGGTGCTACAGTGTCTCAGTATATTATTGGCATGTACGTCAAATCTTTACTTGTCTAAAATGAATACCTATCCCAAGCAAACTTACCATAATTTCCTTTATAATAGAAGAGTTTCTGCATATCTAAATGTATTATATCTGTACAAACATTATCTAAGAAACTCTGATCATGAGATACGACTAATAATGTCTTCTTCCATTGTTGTAAATAACTGTGGAGGAAAAAAACAAACAATACATAGTGAAAGTCAAACCAATCACTACAACACTTATAAGTTCTCATGAATAACCAACAAATCATGTTGTACTTTGTTTCAGTAATTACTTCAGTAAAGTGACTTTTGGTGAAACTTAATTTTATGGTGTATACCGAATTCAGATCTAATTATATCAGCTATTTTGAAAAATACATGTTAAACCTATAACTTAGACATTTGTAACATGACAAGATCATAATCAACTCTCGATGCCATCGGATGGCCCTGATTTTAAGTAGATTAGAATGGGTCAGCCATTTAATGATTTCATTTCAAAATGAAGAAGTGCGACTAAGACTCGAATGACCAGTACTGATAATTTCGCTCAAAATAAAGTAATTTGAATGAAATTTTCAATATATTTATTTTGCATTATCTATTTTTAAAATATTATACCAAGAACGACCAGCTCTTTATCCAAATCTTACTTAATAATGCGTCATTAATGCTTTTAGACCCATTTTCATCAAATTAAAGGGACCAAAAAATAGAACCATATGCCCTTTATTAATTAAATTTATACATAGTTTTGATTTTTTATACATTAGCAATAAGTGACTTACTTGTCTAACCAAATTACAGCATTCAGATCTAAATGATTTGTAGGTTCATCTAACATCAGTAATGTAGGTTCTAAAAATAATGCTCTGAAACATGGATATATTAGTATAATAAAGCAGCTGATGTGTCAAACATAAAATAATCCTATTTGTCTGATAGATGTTTCATATTTAAGCTGGATTTCATTTCCTTATTGTCTTATAATAATGGCACATGGCTTTTGTGATAGGTATACCATATGCCTTAAAAATTCAAAGTGCACCATTTTTTCGTTCCTGTGAAATTACATTCTTTGGATAACCAACAGTTTTGATTCCGCCATTGTGTTACGGAAATCCTTTACACAAATTTGTTGCAGGGTAATCTTGAAATCATCATTTTCATAAACTGTTTTGTCTCTTGCACCAAACATCTTTTTGGCCCTTTTACATTGTTTTGTGTGACCAGAACAAGCATTCACATAAAAATTTATGGCCTGTGAGGTTAAATAACAAAGTTAACGTCTGCTGACTAATTTCATATTTGAAATATAAGCAATGAATACCTGGCTAATGAAACTCTCATTCGCCAACCACCAGATAAATTTTTGGTAGCTCTTTCCATCATTTCTGCTGTAAAACCTAAACCTGCTAACATTCTTCTAGCTTTACCTTCTGCTGCATCTGATCCTATAGCATTTAACTCTTCATATACCTTTAAATATACATGAGAGAGAATGGGTTTATAGTCCACTCAACACAACTTGATCAAAAAAGAAATAACTTCATGCTTGCTTGTCTACAAAACATGTGAACAAACAGACATGTGTGACAAAAACACACCGAATTATAGTTTGGTAGTATAGTAATTATAATCACACACCTCCCCCCCCCCCCACACTCCTCCTATAAAATCAAAATGGGAGAGAGAGAAAGAAATGGGGTTTAAGTCCACTCGACACAAACTAGGTCATTTCGGGACTGACATATGATTCAATTTTATTTCTATAATTGGGGGGTCTTTAGCAGTGGGAGGAAACCGGAGGACCCGGAGAAAACCCACTAGCTTGGACAGCCGACCCTACTCCTTTTCATGTACAACCGGGGATTCGAAACCACGCGTGTTGATTTAATGACAGATCTCATGATACAGCACGCGCATTCTAACCATTCGGCCATCCAATTACCTCATTTAATCTGTCTTGATTTCCATCGCCTTTCTCTATTTCTTCTGTTAACTTTTTCTCTTCTTTCAATAATTTTTCTCTGATTTTATCTGATTGTAGTACAGCATCAATAGCTTTTGTTTCATTAGCAACCACATCTAAAATTCAATTAAAGCATAGGCTGGTTTATTATAACTTATTTCTCAGAAGATCATGGATTTAATCATATTGCTGAAGCCATGATTATGAGCATTTTCAGCTACACTTACTGGTGTTTCTGATTTGTTGTCTTCCCCTGGTTCTGGTTTCTACATCAAAATGAAATGGGGTTTAATGTCCTACTTCTTTGCATCAACTGGTGCCAATGGAAACGGAATGCGAAACAGAAATATAAACCTTCTCTAGGAACAAAGAAATGTTGTTTTTCATAAACTGTTCCGAATTGAAACAGGCACTGCAAGAATTTCTTTGCTAGAACAGCAAAGAGTGAAATGAAATTTTCATTCCCAAAAAGTCTAATCGATGCTTATTTGAGTGATGTATAAAAGATATAAGTTTTAATATGCGAAGTAAAAATATCGGACCACATTCCTTAGACGAAATACTTTTTATCATTCGTTACCTATTTGTTATTTATATAAAGTTTATCATTCTTTATAGATTTCTTATTTATAAAAGTTCATCATTCTTTACAAACTGTCTATTCATAATGACTCTCACCTTGTTCACAATATAATACATCTATGTTGGAGGGAATTTGCAATTGACGACTAGCTATATGTTTTAATAATGTTGTCTTACCATGACTAGAAAGAAATCATTTATAACATTGATTGCAAACAACTTTTATTGGACATATTGTAAGATATTGTAACTATAATATCATTTCTTGTGAATAAAATATATATTTAGAATCTGTTTTAACATAATGAATTCCATATATAAAATCTGTAGAACATTATGTATTGCACAAACATGTACAGGGGTTTGAGTGGCCGAATGGTTTAATGCGTGCGAATTATATCATAAGGTCTGTCATTTAGTCAAGTTGCATGGTTTTGATTTCCCGTTTCTACTACTGGTTAAGATCCCTACGCGCTAGTAATTTATGAAATAAAATTGAACCATATGTTAGTCTCAAATGATCTTGTTCTCTCTCTCACATAAATATGTACACCATGTAAGTATGGTTCCGTACTTTAACCACACATATATATATATATATATATATAGTAAAGGGTTATAGTTAAAGCTACTCTCAGTTGTTACATATTAGAAATAAAGTTGTTTTAGGAAAGTACTCGCTAGTGGAAAGTGCTCGCAAAAAACTAGTTTTCTTTCCTAAAACAACTTTATTTCTAAACAGGATATTGGTTACATAATAATAAATCAACTTTACCCATTAGGTCCCACTAATCCGTATCTACGACCATCAGAGATCTGTAACATGGCATTTACAAATAATTCTTTACCTCGGGCTGCTATAGAAAAATTTTCCACCTAAAAATATAGAAGATTGCCTTAAAACAATAATATAATAACTTAGCCCAATATCTATGTACACGATAATAACACAATTATATAAGCACACAAAAAGTCCTCACTACACTTTGTGACAACCACAGATCAAGATTCATGACCATTCTGAGCAACAACTGTACAGATTTCGTCATAATTCTCTGAAGCCAATGTGAAAAGCATAGCAACTCACATTGTAATCAAGGAAGAAAACGTTATTTGTGATTGATAATTTGGATATTTAAGTTCACAGCGATCTTAATTCATACCAAGAACAAAATTCTGCAAATAATTAATTGTCAAAGCAATTCTTCAGTATACAGTTTAGTACACAATCGTATTGATAGTCTCTGTCACCCAGAACCTCCTAGTCTTCAACCTACGGAGGATTTGGGACCGTTGTCAATAATTGACATAAAGTCTGTTGCCTATGCATAAGCGGGAGTTTGGTTTTGAATGTGGTTGATTATCCAGTATCTTTGGACAAGTCAAGTAAGAGTTGTACCCCTTCCCACAATAAATCCCATATTTCTTGAGTTAATATAAACAAACATGAATCGTAACGACGAATTAGAATTAATTTAAAAAACATAGATATGGCCCATGAAGAGAGAATTTTTACAATAAACCAGTGGCTGCCAGGCAGGATACGCCCACATTTTGCAAGAGATGGATAGAGAACGAGCTAAACAAAGATAGGGTTGCCAGGCAACCTAACATACGCCCACAGCAGCTAAATCGTCTGTGTAGTCAACAAGTGTTGTCGCATATTTTTACTTTTTTCGGCAATGAAACATCTATAATACACTTAAAATCTGATTAAGAGTAACAACTCATGAAGTAATTATCAGAAAACCATTAGAATTTGTTTGGTTTTTATTAAGTTCTGTCCCATGCTAACGTTTAGTATACGAAACATTTAATATCATGAATTTAGCTGTTCAAGTCATAAAAATTAATTGAAAATCAATATATTTGTTCAAGATCTTGAACTCTGTGTATCAATCTGAAGTCAATCGGATGATAACTTTAGCCTCTAGACCGTCATAAGATTATTCAAAGTGATCAAGGGTCATAACTTTGGCAGTAATTATCGGAAATCATTGAAAATCAATAGGATTCTTCGTCTCATTATCTCAATCGGATATTGACTCTTGCCTCTAGAACGTCCACAAGATTTTTTATCGTGATCAAGGGCCATAACTCTGGCAGTAATTATCGGAAATCATTGAAAATCAATAGGCTACTTCGTCTCATGACCTAAACACAGTGTATAAATTTAAAGTCAATCGGATATTAACTTTAGGTTCTAGAGCGTCCACAAATTTTTTTGAAGCAATCAAGGGCCATAACTCTGGCAGTAATTATCGACTCATGACCTAAACACAGTGTATAAATTTAAAGTCAATCGGATATTAACTTTAGGTTCTAGAGCGTCCACAAATTTTTTTGAAGCAATCAAGGGCCATAACTCTGGCAGTAATTATCGAGATTTGCTGAAAATCAATAGGCTTCTTCGTCTCATGGCCTTAAACACTGTATATAAATTTAAAGTCAATCGGATATTAACTTTAGCCTCTAGAGCGTCCACAAGCAATTGTGGACGCCGGACGCGACGACAATATACGGCCAAATTTCAATGTGGGCGCATAAAAATTGTGACATCTATAGGGTCCACAAGCTAAAAATGCGATTTTTCGTACAGTCAGGGACCATAATCCATGAAGTTACGGTCCGATACATGCCAGTATCGAAAGGAATCTAGATCTTAGGAAGATAAACCTATACTTCAAGTTTCGTTGCAATCGGATAAAAATTGTGACCTGTAGATGTCCACAAACAATTGTGGACGGACGGACTTCGAGACATCCGGACTGGGGCAATGACAATATACGTCCACCAGAAAACTGGATAAAATCATTTCTAATTCCATCACTCTGATTATCTGCAGTTTTCCTGCCATTGTATCATGGCGCGTTCTGTTGACATGGGTCAACTAGAATGCCAAACTTCAATGTTACAACTACATTTGTACATTTTGTTTCTAGCATGTTGAAGTTGAAATTGTAATTGATAAGTTTGGTTGCCATAAATATAGAAGTTTATACCCAATTTCAGCTTATAAGAAAAAATATTTTCTGAAATCATATCTAATACTAATAGTACACTAAATATGACTTATATCAGCCAATCACTAGTTGAAAGTTAAGATAAAACTTCAAGTCCGAATGACATGAAGATATTTATAAAATAGTAACCTAATTTATTTACTTGCCTTAATATCTTTTACATTATCTAATATGGCAGCTTTACCAGTTTTCATAGCTTGAGAAAGTGAAAACTGACCATTTTCTTCCATTTCCTCCAATTGTTTTTTAAATTCCATCTGAAATAAAATATCTTTTAGATAAGACATATAAGCCCACATAAAAAAAAATACTCTGGTTCTCATCAGATAATCCTGTTTAAACTTAAATATGGCTGCATGACAAGTTTGTTTTTTTTAAAGATAAAAAACTGTCTCATTAATTGCTGCACATTCATATTTTCCCTGGTTATAGGAAATAACTTTATAAAAAAATTTGAAAAATACTGGAAGTGGAATGTATCACCCGCTCAGTTATCCAGTATACAACCCTGATAAATGTTATTAACAATCAAACATGATGAGACAAATGTAGAGCATTGAAACATGGTGTTTATAAGAAAAGTCATTTATCCCAGTAGTGATCCTTTGACAAAATAAAAACCTTTAAACAAAAACCTCCCACCTGCATCAGAATTTTATTAAGAATTATCTGAGAACCAGAATATATTTTTGTGATGGCCTAAAATAAGTCATTCATACTATTCCTTCTTTTATCCAAAATATTTTCTTAGTTACAGTGTATCAGCTTGAAGTAAAAATACCTGTCGACTTATATCTGGACAATCATTATATACAGAAAATTAACTCTAGGTCTAATGTTTATAATAATGGATTTACTTGTCACCACCACACGTAGAAATATCCTCAAAACAGTGAAGGGAAAATTATCTTTTAGCCAAAAGAGGTCATAATTGTACTATCCTTGTGGGGGGGTAGGGGTTTAGATCCGAAGGTATGTCAATATGTCATTCAGTCAAGTGACTTGGATTCATTTCCTCATTTGTACATGACAAGGGTCACCTATCCAACATCATGAGTTTTCACAAGGTCCTGCAGTTTCCTCCCACATCTAAAGACCCATACTGCAAGCAAAACATTGAAATAAAATTAAACCATGCTAGTCCTGAAATGATCTAGTTTGTGTAGAGTTGACATTACACCCCCATTTCTCTCTATCTCAATATATCCTTGCAGTACTATGTTCTGGCTTAATTGAACAAAATTGATTGAAAGTCATGTACCTGTTTCTTGATCTTTTTTAGTTCTTTTTTACTGAGTTTTGGTGCCTCTGCTCCACCTTTAATATAAACATGCAACCAATTAAAGATTTATAGATTCTATTTCTAAACGAGCCAATAGTGAGGCTGATGCCCCCCCGACGAAATCCCAAAATAAATAGATGACACATATTAATTAATAGCACATTTATTTTTTTTAAAAGCATCAAGCAATCCAACTATACACTAAGTCTAAGTTTCATCACTCTCTATCAGATAGAATCAAGATTATCTTGTCCCAAAGCATTGACCAATGAAATCGATTAGCTCTGCTTAGCTTTAGCTCGAAATGTTTATCATTGAACTCAGTCAAGACATTCACTTAATATCAAGTCTTACACGTTGAAAAAACGAATTATCTGTCAATTCAAATCAACATTGATGTTGTTATCTTACCGTGAAAAGGCAGGCTTCTGGTATCCAATATTAAAGACAAAATAAACATTTTACCATTGGTACATGAATTGTGTACCATAGTGCATTGCATCATAATTTGTAACAAGTGACAAGAAAGAGTGAGGCTGACATATTCCACAACTCATGTCATACGGCGACGCCATATCTGGAGAGCATGCGCAATAGACTGGAATAACCAGACGCTAGAAATTTCTATTCGGTTGAGACTCATGACGTATTTCGCTGGACCTAACTGATTTGAAATTAGAGTCAAAACGGAAACAATTGAATGTAAATCAGTTCATATACAATCAGATTACATTATTATATGTGTTGCGACCCATTTGGGTTAATTTCTAGGTTCCAAAATATTAGCGATTTAGCTCCTTTAAACATTCTACCTCAATTAAAAGCAGAGTTGTTATGTTCCAAAGTCAATGAGAAAATGATACTCATTTTCAACTTGCTGTTGAGGACAGTCTTGATCAATCAAATTACTTATCGCTTTTTAGCCTAAGCAGAAAATTCGCACCATCTAACTTAGTCATGGTAATGATATAATGAATCTATACTATTCAAAAAAATAGGGGATATTTGATTTTTAAGTGTTATTAAAGTCACCTAATGAAACTGACGAAGAAACAAATGACAAAATGAAATGAAGTTCACATTCATCGATTTATTCCAAATGATCGTTAGACTAAGTAAGGCACAGACTGACCATTATAAGGGTAAAATGATACCCGGGGTCAAACAGCAAAGTTACCACAGCATCACAACCAAGTCAGTAACGGGTAAATCCTCCTCTGTTTGCCAAACAAGCATTGATCCGACGTGGCATACTCCTAATGAGACGTCTAAGGTCATTTTGGTCCAGATTGTCCCATTCCTGTTGCAACGCAGCAGCAAGTTCTTGGACATTGGCAGGACGTTGTTGACGTTGACGTAACCTCTGTCCAAGCATGTCCCAGACATGCTCGATGGGGGAGAGGTCGGGACTCAGTGCTGGCCAAGGTAATGTGGTGATGTTATGTTGTTGGAGGTAACCTGTAACGATCCTGGCCCTGTGACATCTTGCGTTGTCATCCTGGAAGATGAAACGGCGGCCATGACGTCGTGCGAACGGCACAACATGGACTGCCAAGATGTTGTCCCGGTAGTACTGGCCTGTAACACGCCCTGCAACAACATGTAAAGCCGTTCTTCCAGCAACAGTGATGCCTCCCCACACCATAACAGAACCACCCCCAAATCGATCATGTCTGATGATGTTAACGTCTTGGAAGCGCTCGTTTCGACGACGCCACACCCTCCTACGTCTGTCCAAAAAATCAACAGTGAACCTTGACTCATCTGAAAACATCAGATTGCTCCAGCGTCGATTATCCCAGTGTTGACGATCCCTACACCAACGACGTCTTGCCTGAATGTGATGATCTCTCAAACAAGGGATCACGCGAGGACGTCGGGCGCGAAGGTGACCCCTATGCAGTCGATTCCGCATCGTCTGGCCACTCACTCTCACACCAGTGTCTGTTTGAAGACGAGCGCTGATCTGATTTGCTGTGATGACACGATTTCTCAAGGCCAAGGTACGGATAAATCGATCCTGGGCTTGAGTTGTCGCCCTTGGTCGACCTGAGCGTGGTCTGTCCTGTACAGATTGTGTATCACGGTATCTGGACCATAGCCTGCTTATGACAGACTGAGAAACATTCATCGTCCGCGCCACAACCGCCTGTGTTGTGCCGATCTGTAGCATGCCAAGGGCACGTAACCTTTCATTTTGGGTAAGCCGACGCATATCAAAATTTGTTTTCTGGTCACTAAAACAAATAAACTGATGTTTCCACCCTGGAATTCAATGCCACAATGACTGTAACATTCAAAGTCAGAGTCGTGCAAATCTTGGGTTGGACCCCCATGATGATCCCAAGCATCACCTGCATTCCATGCGGTAGCTATTGGTGCGTTTGGGCGTCACATGTAACTGGAAATGTTTCTTCTGTTAGGTTCTATAGTGACTTTTTTCGTAGTCATTTGCATATTTTAGTATTATGCCCCCAAAATCAAATATCCCCTACTTTTTTTGAATAGTATATATTCAGAGTTTCATCGCTCTAACTTCATTATAACCAAAGTTATCGTGCCCCAAAGCATCAACCAATTAGATTGCTTATCTGTGCTTACCTTAAGCCGACAATGTTCATCATCGAACTCCATCAAGGCATTCACCTAATGAAAGCCTACACCAAGTTTGAACATTCTACCTCAATTAGAAGTAGAGTTATTGTGTTCCAAAGTCTCAACCAATCAAATTGCTTATCACTCTGCTTACCCTCCACAGAAAATGTTCATTATCAAACTTAGTCAAGGCATTGATGTAATAAAGCTATACACCAAGTGTCCTCGCTCTCACTTAATTAGAACTAACGTTACTGTGTCCCAATTAAAGCATCAATTAATCAAATTGCTTATCTCTGCTTACTCTAAAAGGAATATTCTCATCTTCGAACTCCATCAAGGCATTGACCTAATAAACACCTACACCAAGTTTGAACATTCTAGCTCAATAAGAAAGAGAGTTATTGTGTAAACTATGGTTTACTTTCACTTTCAAAAACTGTTCCAAACACAGTCAAAACTTTTTCACCCTCTTCATTTCAATTTTCTTCCAAAATATTTGAGTTGTGAGTGAGGAACAAAGAAGATCTCAGTTATACATCTGGTTATCTTTTTATTATGGAACTATTATTAGTAGTTTCTATAACTTTACACAGAAGAGTACCAGATCATCTGAAAAGCATAGCACCTGACTTTATGTAAGGGTACCCGAATGTTCATTGTGGCCTGACCACACATTTATCAACAAGATTAAGTGTTACATAATTCTGACTTTGACTTTCAGTGTGTGAATGGCTTAGCTACAAAATACTTATCCGAGCTTATGCAAATACATGTACATGTTCCCTCGCATTACCTCTGGCCCAACAAAATTCATCAGTTGTGTTGCCCAAGGTTGTAGTTAAAATCATTCAGATACAGATCGTTCTCAGTGAATGTGCTGAAACAATCTACCAGAAATCATTAAATCATCTCAAACTCTAGACTTAAATCATCTAGACTTACAAACAATCCTTTTGAGAAATGTTAATAACATTGTTATCCGGATTAATCAAATTAATCTAATTGTATGTGTCGTGAGCATGCCTCTGTGCATGGAGTACTAGCGCTATATAAATGTACATATTATTATTATTACTACAATACTTTATAAATTATCATGAAGATTGTTCTGATTTATTATGACTGCTATTATGCTGCGGTTTCTGGTGATTGAAGAAATATTTCCTGCAAATTCCAAAATCATACAGAGGTACATGTAGTAATAATTTTTTGACAATACCACGTGGTCACCTAATAGATTTTACAAACTCGGTTACCATTAAAGAGCTTTTTAGTCAATTGGGTACTCTTTTGTATCCAGATGGGTACCCTGGATAATATCATAACTGATAATGGCAATTTCAGCCATACTTACTTTCTTCTTTATTAGCACCTTTACTATCTTCATCACCTGGATCATCACTCAAATAATACTCTTGGTCCTCATCATTTGTATCTGACTGAATTTTATCTTCTTTATCTGCCTTTGATGTGACATCCTCTTCATCTTCTACGGCTGCAGCTTTCTCTAATTCTTCTTTCAATTTGGCTAATTTACTTTTCTTGTCCTTTTTCTTACTTTTCTTTTTGTCTCCAGCATCTTCTGTTCCATTTGCTGCATTCTAGAATATAAACGTTGTCAAAAAATTGAATTATATATGTTAAAAACAATGCTGTGGCTATTCTTACGACGAGGTGTAAGAATTATTCATGGACTATTCTTACGACAAGGTTGAAGTTCCGGTAGCGCAGTTTGTATGCGGGAACCCATCTTTAAAGAAAAAAAAATGATGAATCATAAAGGACCTTCTACTCCCTTTACAAACCTCCCTGAAAGGTTAAATATTTCAGAATATGTCCCGGAATATTAAAGTAGTCAAGTAACAAGGGACTCGAAGAACAAGGCTAGACATATTCCACCAGTCATGTAAAATGGTGACGTCATATTCTTATCTGGAGAGCATGCGCAGTAAATACTATCGTGTAGACTGGAATAACCAGGCGCTAAAGATTGCCAATCGATTGAGACATCTGGCGTATTTCGCCGAACATAACTGATAAGAAATTACAGTAAAAACAGAAACGATCGAATGTAAAACAGTTTATAAATATATTCGTATTATTTTATTATTAGAAATGGTTCCACTACTGATGTCTTCCGTCTTACTCCAGTCACAGTAAAGGCTCGTCCGACAGAGTTCCATTGCGCAAGTTTTTTAGTCAAATGACTATAAAAAGTTTATTAGCTTATAGCCCCCTTAATTTACACATAAACTGACCCCAAACTGTACTGCACATAGCTTAACATATAATAAACCAATTCCCATTGAAATAAAGGTGAAGTCTTGCCACATAATTATATGATTTTATGAAACCCAACTGTTAGTGTTACGCGAAATTTGACGAGATTTCATCTGGCTGGTGTCATGGGGGCTTACAGTTACATTAAAAGAAATGTTGCTTTCAAAACGTAGAACGCATAATTACCACAAAGAAAAACTGTTCAATAACTATTTTAGTGGTTCAATCTTCACTATTTAGTGATAGAATTACTTATTTCAATGTGTTGATGACAGGTCAATTGTGCGTTTGAACCTATTTGTACTTGCGTAAGGAGTCTTAGACTGTATCAATTGTAGCGTTAAATGTTTAACGGTACGACATTTGTAACTACATTAATATATGCGTTATAACCCATTTGTGTCAATTTCTAGGTCCCAAATATTAGCGATTTAGCTCCTTTAAATAATACATCATGATGATACGAGACTGTGACTGGAGTCTCACCTCGTCTGTTGACAGTTTCTTTATCCCAGCTGCTATCTCATTCTCGGCGTCTGGATCTTTCCAATCATCGTCTTCACAACCTTTAATCTTTGTTTTCTTCGGCATATTTTCTTTCTTTATTTATAAACAGTAGCGATATTCAATTTTTAATAAATAAAATTTCTTTTTAGCGAAAAAAAACCCCAATGTATTTCAGTAATTTCACCACAACACGAACATGTGTGACTACTCTGACGTAATTTCCTCGTGGCTGGGAGTTATCTGCCCGAATGTCAAACGGTAATCTCCGGCTTCGATAATTATTCGTAAATCAACATGATTACCGAGCTACAAAATGAATTACCTTGCACATAAAATGTGACTACCAAAATGCACATCCTTCGCTTCCCTTGAACTATATTACACAATTGTAATTAGGACCTGATTACAACAAAGCTTGTATTATTTAGGAGTTAGTAAAAGAGGGGGACCGCATCACGCGCAGATAATTATTAATATTAAATTACTTCACTGTTCACAAGACAAACACACGGACAGCACATAATATTAACAAACACCACACCACTTCCACTTTACCCATCTGACAGAATAGTTCCTTTTGAGCCCAGTACCCTCGTCTACATTTACAGCCAACCGACTAGCATTCAGACAAGTCTACAACTATTGGTTGTGAAGCAAAATCTTTGCGACACCTTATAGGGGCTGTTTCACGAAATTTTAACAAAGATAAAATCCAAATTCACCAAGACTATGGTATACGACGCTGCCATTGGAAAGAAAACCACGATCTGAATGATGTTGTGGATCGATACCTGGAAGAAGATAATCCATATCCCAAGCATTAAAGGAGCTAAATCGCTAATATTTTGTACCTAGAAATTGGCACAAATGGGTCGCAACACATATAATAATGTAATATGAATTTATATAAACTGTTTTACATTCAATCGTGTCCGTTTTACTGTGAATTGTCATCAGTTATGTTCGGCGAAATACGCCATAAGTCTGAACAGCAAGTCATTTGCTGAACTATTTATCTGTATTATAACATTATGTAAAAACATTGTGTTCAATATAAGATTACCATCCTTTTCTCATTCAGTATATAAACATGTATTTGGTTCCATAGATTAGCATGGCCCCTGCGCAAGTCAATTTCTAGTGTCTGGTTATTCCAGTCAACACCGATATTATTTATTGCGCATGCTCTCCAAATAAGAACATGATATCACCGTTTGACATGACTTGTGGAATATGTCTAGCTCTAGCCTCATTCTTTGAGCACCTTGTTACAAATGGCACTGAAACGCATTATGGTACATGATTCGTGTACCAATGGTAAAATGTTTATTTTGTCTTAAATATTGGATATCAGAAGCCCATCTTTTCCAGGTAAGATCACAACACCAATTTAAATTACAAAAAAAATCGTGTTTCCAATGTTGATGATTTTGGATGATATTGAGTTACGGTCTTAGCTACTTTAAAGTGAACTCAATTGAACACCCTTGGAAAAAAAGAAATGGTGTAAATCTTGGTAAATATTTGGAAATCTTGAGCTATTTTAATATTGATTTCATGCTCTACGATGTAATTTGGTTATTACCCCAACCAAATGTTATCAGGAAAAGAATTTTGTCAGGTTTAGGAAATAAATACTAGAGTATTACCTAGGTGCGTTAAAGACATTTGACAAGACACGATCTTAGTCGTGTTTCAGATATTATTACCGTGTAACCCAGCATTACGTGTCAGATCCAAGATGTGACGATATATATTAAGATGAAAGACCTTCAGATACCATTACAACGTGTTATAGTTGGATCACTGACCACACACAACGTCAGTCTCTAATATTCTTTTTTTTTTTATTCCGCTTTATATCTGTCGTAAATTGGCATGTAATCGCTGTATATTTACTGCATTGTATCCTTTACTTTACAGAACCAAACACAAGAAGTAACTTAGCAGAGTGAAGAGATAAAAAGTTCTTTCCAGACGTGTTTGAATATGCCGTAGCAGAGAATAAGAAGGCCGAGTCCACAAGATGGTAAAAATCTCCCCGTAGATCGAAGATAATAAAATAATTAATCCAGTCCAGAAGATTGTAAATTATAAGAATCAGATGGTTTTACGGAAAGGCTTGCAGAACAACAAAAGATAAACTTTATAGTGTTAAGGAATAACCTATTACATTTGATATCTATGGCGAATCTTTCCTTTTAATAGTCTTCAAGTTTATCTTCAATTCAAAGGCGCAGTCGCACGGTTTAATATTTGAATCTGTCAATCGCTTCAAAATTCAAGCACTCGAAATGTGTTCTGTATATTATACTACAGCTGATTAAAACAAAATAATATGGGAAGATGCCCTTTTAACCTCGATGTTCGTTTTAATATTTGGAAATAGCGTTACTTTGGGGATCAATGCGTTTCGTTTTATGCCCATTATGTATGGAATGAAGTCTACAGTTGTCATTTTAAATCAATATCTAAATGTGTATATCTAGATTTAAAGCTTTCAGAGGTACGGAATTGTATGAAGGCGTAGTAATTTCTAAATTTCTTTGAAAAAAAGGGTTATTTACTTGTTGTATACGTTTGGTTTTTTTTTTTATATATTTTTGTACATCTAGAAGCAAAATAAAAAGCTTTATTACCATTAAAGGTTGATATTCCTGTATGGTTTGCGCGTTGTACCATAAGGTCTGTGACCGTCTGTCATTGAGTCAACTGGCGTGGTTTCGATTCTCTGGTTGTACGTGACAAGGAGTAGGCTCGCGGGTTTTTCTCCGAATCCTCCGAATTCCTCCCACTGCTAAAGACCCCCTACGCACAAGCGAATTATTGAAATAAAATTGAACCATATGCTAGTCCCGAAATGACCTAGTTTGTATCAAGTGGACGTTACCCCCCCCCCCCCCCCTTGTGATCTGGTCCCTAAAAAGGCAACTCTTGTGCTTTTGAGGACACCACCAGGGGACACTGTTCACAATACCGCCAAAATTGGTTTTATAACACACATTGAGTAGCCTACATCAACGAAACCTGTGTCAAAATTTCGTTAGGGTTCCCAATGACAATAGTGAATTTTGGCAATAAACCCACTTCTGAGCAGGTTAATGTCACACTGCGTCGACCAAGAGCAATCTACTTTAAATGTAAAAGTAGGTAGGGTATCAAACTGTTCCTTGGGACTCTCTAGGGCAATATGAATCTTTCTGAGTTGTCAATTTTGGGAATTAAGACGCTTCTGACCGACCAATACGATTGGATAGGGATAGGCGTGACAGTATGGCGCCAGACATCGTGACGTCCCGTTATTTGGTGTCGCGAGGACGGTAGTTTTACATTAGCTTATATTGACTTTTCATCGATGTAGGCGGATCCAAACAAATATGCTTCAAATGCTTCAAACCCCCCACGGACACTTAAGAATGGGGGGGGGGCATTTAAAATGGGGGTTGTGGGTATGGAAAGGCCTAGTGTTCGTATACGATCTTTTATTCGGACATGCCTCTTTAACAGTCGGGTATAGAAAGTAGTATTATATCTGAACAACATACAACAATATAGACTTTTCTATCGACTAAACTACACCCAATACTTAAACCGTCTACTCTACATGCATCTAGCTTCTTCTTGGTTTATTCCTGGACTCTTACTGAAATACAATTAATAATGTTTTAAAATACAGGTGTACAGGTGTGACGTCACCCTTTGATGTTGGCGTACCATTATTTCAAATAATCGTACGGGCAACTTGTCAATCGTACATTATTTATGCTAGAGAAATATTGGACTCGCGTGACACATTTCACTGTAAAAGCATATTAGGGGTGTCTGTATTTTAAGCCATCTTAATGAGACTATATTAGACGACTTTGAAGTTGTGTATTCAGTGGCCTGAATAGCAGGAAAACGTGTTTGCGGCCGTCAAATTTTCCCAAAAAAATTTGGCTGTCTCTACATAGTAAGCTCTAGCCTTGTACAATCTCATGGTTTTGGGCAGGATGTATCAGAACCAACTCTAAAGTCGGGCCACACCTTAGACTGTATTATAACAAGAACCACAGAAAATGCAGTTTATGACATCTCAGTAGGAGACAGACAAGTTTCTGATCATTTTTATGCGAACTTTAAATTAGATTTTAAGAAACCATTACCATCTAAATCAAAGGTGAAATGTCGCCAATTTAAGAAAATTATATTATCTGACTTATAAGATGACCTCGAGTCATCAAAACTCTGTTCAAATCCGCCTGAAGATGTTGAGGAGTTAGTTCAACTATTTAATGCAACGCTCGAAGATTTGTTGGATAAACATGCACCACAAAGTGTCAAACTCCTTAGAAAGAAGCCCAATTCACCATGGTATTGCGACAAACTTCGTGATACAAAGGCCCGCAGGCGATCAGCAGAACGTAAGTGGAGAAAGTCGGGACATTTAGAAGTTTATCGACAAATTTATGTGAGTGAACAATCTTCTTCGAAATACCAGAAAAATGTATTACAACAACGAAATATACTATTCAAAAAAAGTAGGGGATATTTGATTTTTAAGTGTTATTAAAGTCACCTAATGAAACTGACGAAGAAACAAATGACAAAATGAAATGAAGTTCACATTCATCGATTTATTCCAAATGATCGTTAGACTAAGTAAGGCACATACTGACCATTATAAGGGTAAAATGATAACCGGGGTCAAACAGCAAAGTTACCACAGCATCACAACCAAGTCAGTAACGGGTAAATCCTCCTCTGTTTGCCAAACAAGCATTGATCCGACGTGGCATACTCCTAATGAGACGTCTAAGGTCATTTTGGTCCAGATTGTCCCATTCCTGTTGCAACGCAGCAGCAAGTTCTTGGACATTGGCAGGACGTTGTTGACGTTGACGTAACCTCTGTCCAAGCATGTCCCAGACATGCTCGATGGGGGAGAGGTCGGGACTCAGTGCTGGCCAAGGTAATGTGGTGATGTTCTGTTGTTGGAGGTAACCTGTAACGATCCTGGCCCTGTGACATCTTGCGTTGTCATCCTGGAAGATGAAACGGCGGCCATGACGTCGTGCGAACGGCACAACATGGACTGCCAAGATGTTGTCCTGGTAGTACTGGCCTGTAACACGCCCTGCAACAACATGTAAAGCCGTTCTTCCAGCAACAGTGATGCCTCCCCAAACCATAACAGAACCACCCCCAAATCGATCATGTCTGATGACGTTAACGTCTTGGAAGCGCTCGTTTCGACGAC